CAAGTTCCTATTCAGCAGGACCTGCTAACAGAGAAGATTCTTGTGGATGGCCAGAAGTCAGTCATAGGAAGAGGAATTTTAAAACGCCCAGATGATCGATTTGGGGCTGAAAGAGCTGCTTCTTTCCAGTTACCGGGTGGATTGCAAACGGACAGATTGTTGCCTCACCAAAGAGAAGACGCTGTCCTGAGAGTTTTGGCAAATGATCCAGATGACACATGGTCCAAATTACGGGAAGCAGGACATCCAGAGGAGGAAGAAGAAATAGTAGAGGCAGTTCAAAAGGGCCTGCCTGCCCAAGAAAAAATTCCTGATGAAGAAATAACCACGCAGAGGGGAACAGCTGGAGCAGAGACTGACATTAGTGGCAATGCTGCAGACCGGTCAACTCTGGAGAATAAGTTAGCTGAAGTGATGGCTGATTTATTAGCTTGCCAGAAGTAATGGATGAATGCACACACAGCTAGTGAACTTCAAGCAAGAAGATACCACGAAATGAAACTACAGATTTTACAGAAGGAAATTACTGAGAAACAACAAGCCAGAGAATCAATATCTAATATTGACAGGAGAAACTTACCATATTACCAAGAGGGCGATGACATTTTTTCATTTTTATCACTTTTTGAATTTTCGTGTGCTGATCTGAACGTGCCAACACAATTATATTTAAACATTCTACGATCTCAAGATTCCGTGAAAATTAAATATTGTTGCAGATAGTCTTTCACGAATGTACGCTGATAATGAAACTGAGTAATTAAGATAACTGTATAAACACATATATATTATTTGATCTGGCCGCGTTTATGCTACCAAATTAGGGTCCTAAAGTAATAAAAAAGGAAGAGCAGATCTTCCAGATTGTTTATTTAAAATAGGGACAGACTTGGGCGAAGGAGTGAGAAGTCGTCTAGAGCAAAATTACAGGACCCGATTTTGCTGGCAATAGGGACGGATCATTCCGGACCCCTCTCTGTTTCGTGTAAAGGCAGTTCTAAGGAACGCTTTTACGACAGGCTCATTTTTAAGGAGAAAGGTGGGGTAAAAATATTTTAAATAAATACATATTTTAAATTATGGTAAGCAAAACGATTTTGGCAAGTGTTTCTGAACATTCAAGTGTTCCTGTATATCCTTGTACTGCCATTAGATTTTTGGCTTGCTCCTTGCTTCTTGTCCTTAATCTCCAACATATTTTTGAGTCCTAAGTATCATCATTGGCTTCCAGCTCCTGGTTTCTGGCTCAGCTCAGAAGGTTTCCATGGTCCAGCCTTGACATCAAGAAAGTTCAGTTTACTCACCAATGTGCTGTGCTAGCCTGTCTTTCTTTTCAACTCTGAATTTCCACATAGTTTACACACATAGTTTACACACACATTGGCATAAAATATACAACTTTTTGTTTACACAATGTGATTTACTACAGTAATGTTGATTGTTTGTTTGAGGGCTGTTGTACTAACTGCTTATTCTACAGAAATATCACCCTATTAAAGAATTAAAAATCAGTTAATTGTTCACTGGTTTTTCCAGCAGCGATGTATGGAAGTGAGAGCTGGACCATAAAGAAGGCTGATCACCAAAGAATTGATGCTTTTGAATTGTGGTGCTGGAGGAGAGTCCCCTGGCCTGCAAGGAGATCAAATCTATCGATTCTGAAGGACATCAACCCCAAGTGCTCACTGGAAGGACAGATCCTGAAGCTGAGGCTCCAATACTTTCGCTATCTCATGAGAAGAGAAGACTCCCTGGAAAAGACCCTGATATTGTGAAAGAGTGAAGGCAGGAGGAGAAGGGGACAACAGTGGACGAGATGGTTGGACAGTGTCATCACAGCGACCAACATGAATTTGACCCAACTCCGGGAAGCAATGGAAGACAGGAGGGCCTGGCATGCTCTGGTCTATGGGGTCACGAAGAGTCGGACACAACTTAACGACTAAACAGCAACTAATTGTTCACATTTCATCAATCAATTGGTTGAGGCTGTAGTCCTTGTTAACTTATCTAGGAATAAACTCCAGTCAGGAACTGAATGTGAATACAATTCTGCTGTAAATCTCAATAGACAAATATTGCTGAAGAAAAGGTGCTTTTAAATTACATTTGTGTGTGCTGCCTGAAAGAGTGGGGTGCCATCTTTGAAAAGGCATTCCCATTCATGTTTAAGCAATTAGGAAAAGGAAAATCTGTTCTAAGATGGCTATTATTGCCATAGAGCATTTTGCAATTACTTGCGTGATGAATAATTTTAAACTACTGCTTGATTTGTGCAGAAAGTCTTCTCTTCGTTCTTTTCAATCTTATATACTAATCTACATATCAGTCAATGCAGTCTTAATGTTGCATTTACCTGGATAGTTACGGCAGCCCCCTGCTGTGCAGCCTCGGACCCATCGCCCTTCGGTGACCGAAACCGTCCAAGTTTGAAGCTTATCTGTCTCTAAAGTGTCTGGTGTGAGATTACACATTTCAAGCTTTGTGAAGTACCTCAGGAAATCTTGGAAGGACATCCTAGCATGATAAACAATTGGAGAAAAAGTATGAAAATGATATTTTTTTTCCTTTGGATGAGTAGCACAAAATAAATTATGGAATTTGAGTGTTGGCTCCTAAATAGAAGTTCATGGCTGTGCATAAAAATGCAGGTAAAGAGTATATCTAAAAAAAGGTGTATTTTTTTTTCAGACAAACAAATGGAGGTCTTTACCAGAATTCACCATCTTCCGCAATTCTGTACTGCAAACGGAGTTTCTCTGTGCCATCAATAACATTCCATTCATTTGAACTGCAAAAGAGTTAGGCAGATCCTTTTTCAGTATACAGATAGTTTTTTTAACTAAGTACTGTACCTTGTAACTTCTTGAACAACAAACCAGAAAATAGCATTTTCTGTTTTTGATCTATGCATTGAAATTTGGTTCAACAAATACTGAACTGTTACATTATTGTCTTTAAGGGAGCATCCTTAGAAACAAAACACATGCTAATCAACTTCTAGGTTTTACTACCAGAACAGAACACAACTTTTTTTCTGAACAAGTCACAGAAAAATCAAAGCATATTAAGTGGCATTAGGTTCCCAATGTTCTTTTCACTCACCGATCGCTCCAAGCTCCATTCCATTCTACTTGTCCCCAAGGATTTCTCAGCCGTACCAGTTTTATCTTCTCCCCTTTAAATGTGGTCTGGAAAGGGAAAATGTACCACTAATTAAAGAGCCAGTCTGAAATTGCTCAGCTCACATTCTCTTACACACTCCAGCAAAACAAGTACAGACATTTGTAGATGTGGCCAAAACAGATGCTAAAATGAGTGGATAACCATTTTCTGTTCAAGAGTGCATTGGTGAGACTTCTGTCCCTCACTGATGCCAGTTAGTAACTTTTTTGGTCAGCTAATTTGTTGTTCGACCACTTATATTATGTAGAAGGATTACAAGCATTCAATTATATCCCAGCAAAATGTTTTTGTAGCTCATACTTATAAATGAAAAACACTGTATTATTTTACCTCATCCAGACCTGTAACTGAATAGGCATGAGCTGTGACTAGTCCATTAGTCATGCGCCTCTCAAACACCATTGGAGCTACAGTCTGTAAAACACAGGAAAACACAGAAAGGATAACAGTTGTGCATTTTGCAGAATTCTTTTGCAAGAGAAATACCTTTTGGCCTTTTATATTTTTTACTTATTTGCATGCAGTCCAATTTGGTTTATTTGAATGTCTGTGAAAACATAGATGGATAGACAGACGGAAGGACGGACGGAAGGACGGACGGAAGGACGGACGGACGGACGGACGGACGGACGGACGGACGGACGGACGGACGGACGGACGGACGGACGGACGGACGGACGGACGGACGGACGGACGGACAGACAGACAGACAGACAGACAGACAGACAGACAGATAGATAGATAGATAGATAGATAGATAGATAGATAGATAGATAGATAGATAGATAGATAGATAGATAGATAGATTACACAATGTCACCTCAATTTAAGCAACATTGTGGGTAGGCAATACCTTAACTGGATCACTAAAAAGTTAAAATTTAATTAGGTAAATTTAGTATATAAATTGGAATTGGGCCAAATGTAGCAGTTTTCTGGCTTTCTATTTCACTGAAGAAAAAAAGCAGGTGTCAGTTTTTACAGGCGCAAAAGAGGAAAATGAATGTAGGTATCCTACCAATAAAAGTATTAGCAATTTTAGAACTTTTTCTCTATGAATGAATCACATGGGCATTTTGTTTTGGATCTTTTAATTAAATCACTTCTGATCTTGCATTATTGCCAAGGAAGACTATAACAGTCCTTGCTGACTAAATTGGTTTTCAGTTATATCTGGCAGGAAGAAAATTTTACTAATACAGACTTAGTACTTTGAGGGGTACATCTAGAAAAGAGGGAAGAAAGATAAGCTTGTTTAGCTTGTGCAGACAGCTGCTGAAGGTCTCCAAAAAGAGTTATAAACATAGCAAGCTGTTTAATGGAAAGAAGTCCCTGTTTATAGGCCTGCTTGTCTGTTCTGGCTTCTCCACCCGGCCTTTTCCCTTCATTGGGGAAAGTACTGGTAAAGGGAAAAGGTTGGGTGACGAAGCCGGGGCAGAGAAGCAGAGCTGTAAACAGGATGGGGGCAACTGGGGCTGTGACTGAGGGTACTGAACTTTAGAAGCAAAAATTCACTGCTGAAAAGTTGCAAACCTGCCCATTGGTGCTTGCTGTTGGAAGGCTGCAAAGCTGCCTACTCTGAACATGTGTACCACCAACTTCTAGCCACTCTTCCTTGAGCAAAAGAAAGAAGGCTCCAGTGCAAAATAAATATGGCCAGGGCAGAGAAGCCCCAGGCACCAACACTGCTAGTTACAGTTGTCCAGAAAAAAAGTTGAGTTTTGTTTTTAAGTCATTTAATAAAAGAGTTTTGGGGAAAACTAGTTACAAGTAACATAGGTATCTGTAACTAGGTTTTTTTTATGATGAGCACTGCGAGAGCTTTTTAAAAAGTTGTAGTAAAAGTTATTTACTGATGTTACTTTTCAGGTGCAACAAGTAACATTTTCTAGTTTCTTTCAAAGCTTGTCTAGACTTTAAAGGTTATTTTTAAAGGCATTTTATGGCATAATTAGAGGCATTTTTACAAATTTTATGCCATACTCTCAGCCCCTCTTAAGCAAAAAAAAGGTCATATTTTCTAATGTTGTAAATACTTGCAAGATGTATATTAAAATTATATTAGAAAATGGTCACAATGAGTAGAACTTCTGAGAACTACCTGTACACCTGAGGATTACGAACCTTGGTTACCCTGTCTCTTTTCTCTTGGGCGGAATCATTTGGAGAGTCATAATTCGCATTCTTCAACATCTCAGAAATTAATAATCCAATGTTTGTTGAAGGAGTAGCTCCATAAATGAATCCTGAATTGTCCTGAATTTAAAAGAGAGAAAATAGAAAGAAAAACAATAAAAGTACTGTAGAGAAATAGCAAGAATAAGCAATGGAAATAGAAAAAACACTATTATTTGCTTCCTTCTGCTCACATTAGAGAACAATGTGTTTTTATCACGTAAAACAGTGGTAGAAGACATGCAAGCAATGGCACTGTGTCTCTATAATTTCATTCTATTTGTTATTGAAATTGTATCTATTCCATTATATTGGGTTTGTTTAGCTTAATTCTGGCTTATACACCTAAACCTGACCATGCTCACTATTTGTGTAAGCCAACAAACTGAAACCATGGTGTCAAATTGGTCTTTGAAACTTGGCCTGCACTAACAATGTTTTATTATTATGGCCAATTTGAGAGACTTGATTAACCTAAGATTTTGAGTCCCCAGTACCTGCATGACTATAGAGGTGTCAGGGAAGAACTTCTAAAAAATGAAATCACCCACACACCTGGCAGACCCTACCTGGTGCTCTCATACACCTCTCTTTCTCTCTTCACTTTGCATGACAACAGGCTCCTGCCACTCAAATACTTTACTGCCTGCTAAGCTATCTAATATAAAACCATAGCAACCTTATAAAGGAATCAAACTACTTTTAAGAGAACAGAGACACTTTTACAGCTATTTCTAGCAATTGAGACATGTTAAAAGGACGGCATTGCTTTGATCAAATTATATAAGCACTTCAAAAGATACACTTGCACAATATGACAGAAAGTCGTCCCACAACTGCTATTGCCACCAGTTATTCATTTCTCATAAATTTCTGCTTCTTGTACGATTCCTCCTGTGATTCATCATCCTCTTTTATATCTGAAAGAGTCATGTTATTGCCAACACTAGCTATTTTTCTTGCTCACCAGTAGATTTCGTGCACCTTATGTGTCACATGCTTAAAAACATTCCTTTTTCCATAGCCATAGCTTGATATTTAGAAACCTGAATATATACCTCCAGTTAAGGTTACAAGGCTCGCTAAACGCCCAACCAAAGCTTTCCTCTTATGGCTGTGCTCACAAGAGATTTTTAAAAGAATTTACATTTTAGTTTCTTTGTTAAAGTTGAAATACCTTCAGCAGAACAATACAATCAACAAAAGCCACAACTTTGTACAAATGTTAAGTGTCACTAATAATATAAATATATAGAGAGACTATTAAGCAAAGGTCAGTATCGATTTAAAAAGCAAATGACATAGATACAATGAAATGAACAATTTTAAGCTAGTGCTTGAACAGTGATATAGTTAGCACCAAGCACAGTTTTCTGAGGTGTGAGTGCTAAAGAAGAGTGCAGCCACAAAAAAGACTCTGTGGAAAATATATACCCATATGTACATAGAATCACAAAGAAGGAGGAACAAAGGTTTTGTCCATAATCAGCCTACCATAGGGATATGTTGAGACGTGTTTTCAATTTAATGGTAGACAGATATAAACTAATTAGAGGTGTGTGGATTTGCGTTTTCAGTTGTGCTGCCTGGGGATTTCCGGGAGTGGTAATTCTAAAGCACAAATCAGCACACCTCTGGTGTTACTGCCAGTACCTATCCACTGCCAGATCACCATCTTAATATTTGAACCTTGGGCTTATACAATGCAAACGGGCAAAATGTATCCCCGTGAAAGGATGGGATGACTGAGGTTTAATTATGCATATGGGGACTATGTGAGTATTCTCCCAGATGTACCTCAATGGAGCAGGCCATGAGTGAGCCTCTCTCGATGGCATGCTTCATGATTTTATACATATCTTTAGGGGCATCCTTTATCTCATAGAATTCGGTCACACCCCCTGTGAAATCTTCCATGGCCTCAGTGGTATTGCCTCCTTTAAGTGCCTCGTAGGATCCATGAACCCTGGAAGGAATCAAGAAAAAGAAACCCTGAATAATTCTGGTTAATCATTGTTTGCATATATACAGTCTTTGACTTCTTCCTAATATAAAAGGCATCTAAACAAAATTAAATTTATTTAGACTGAGATGCTTGCATGAGATTCATTTAAATATCGAACAAGAGTAAAATGACATTGTGGGCACCCTATGAGAGAAATCTAGCATCTAGGATGCTGTCTTTGTGCATCCTCAAAATCTGCTCCAGAGAATTGGAGGAGCCACTGGAAGAGAGCTGGGGATCACGTGAGACGGTGCGTAGGGAAGTCCTGTTTCATGACAATGGATGGAGCTTGTTAGACCAATGCATGTTCATTATATACAAGCTGAATGCAGGCCCGTTCAGATGTGGGGAAAAACAACAACTCTGCTGTGGCAATTACAAGCTTTTAACAGTTAAGGAATTTCCTTTTCTAACATCATATTGTCTGTAATTAATAGTTCTGCCCTCAGACTTGATTGACCAGGAGGGAGAGCAGCCATCGTGCTTTGTAGTAAATGAAATAAGAACTGAGAATAGAAGCGCCAAAATGCTGTTGCTTAGCTTAATCTTTTGACTTCTATCTTGAATAATTGTTAATTCTCTGTAAATGGTGGTATAACTGTTTTATATGTTAATTGTTTTATATTCTCTCTTGTGAGCCGCCCAGAGTAGACTGTGTCTAGATGGGTGGCATGTAAGTCCAATAAATAAATAAATAAATAAATAAGTACGTACGTACGTACGTACGTACATACATAAGCCAAATTGTAACTTTTTATCAGTGCCTCCCTGATAAACAAAGTATTGTCTACACAATCATTCTTGGGATATCTATTGTGAGCCAGATATAAGAAATCTGGGAGTGTTAAAACACTCTTGTACAAGCAAGCATGAGGTTTGACCATACACAGACTCAAGAGAGAACAAGCGCTGTTTATTTCGAGTGGCCACTCGGGTCCCCCAGACATGAGGGACATTGACCCAAAAGTACAAAGAGCTTTTATGCCTTCTAACCACAAGGAAATAAAGGTACAAAAAATCCTCATAGGCTGACAAGTAGGTCAGTATGCATTCTATAGGGTAGAACAGCAAAGGGGCATATGTTTTCTAAGTATGCAAGCTGTAACTTTTGATCAGTGCCTCCCTGATAAACAAAGTATTGTCTACACAATCATTCTTGGGATTCCTGTTCTGCGGTTACATTTTGATAGGAAATTAGGTAGACAGAATATTTGTGGTTGGCAGATGTACCACAGCCTAGCTTCAAAGTGGAACAAGTCCTGTTCTGCGGTTAGGTAGACAGAATATTTGTGGTCGGCAGATGTACCACAGCCTAGCTTCAGAGTGGAACAAGCAGGTGCATCTGTGACAGAGTCTAGTGACACCAAGTTCAGTGAGAAAAGAAAAGATTTTCTATGCTTTAAATAAAGCAAACAAGAAGAGTAAAGGTCTGGGGGGGGCACTGTGGAAGCTTGCTTTAATAACTTAGACATTCACATTCATAATATGGACATGCACCAAGCCAGCATGTGTGCATGCCCCTGAGAATTATAGCAGAAACTGTTTGTTTACCAGGGAGGAACAAACTGAAAGTTAGGATTTATCTTATGATATGCTGCAGCATTTTGGCCCTTATATAGGTGGAACATAGCTGTCTGAATTGCTCTCCAAAGAAAGCAGACTGATTGTTACTATACAGTATGTGTCCATGATGGCTTGTGAAAAATATCACTTTTTTATATGTGTACCATAGACAGCATGCAAGGACTTATAGGAGCACTATGTTTAGAGATTTACTTTGCATAGGCTTTTTCCAGTAAAGCACTCCAGAATTCATTCTGCTGGGAGGATTTGGTGAAAACCAGTTGCTTGCCATAGGTTGGTAAACGGTCATCAATGATAACTTCCACCCAACTTCCAAAACGCCAGAACTGGAAGATTTAACAAAACAAAAATGAAAAACAGATGTTGCTGTTAGGCCTGTGATCAAACAGCTGATTTGTACAATGTGACTGTATGAATTTTATGAGTATTTTCTCCTTAGCTGAATTTGGTCTTTGTCTGTTGGTATACTTCTGTATTATCTATTGTTGTTTCATGCATTATTACAGCCAAGTGGTACATCTACTGCCACTGGAACACAGAAGTACTCTAGATGGGACATAGAATTTCTGTTTATGTCCGTATAATTTTGTAAACAATTAATATAATAACATAAACATATATTAATGTATCTCTCGGATAAAATGGTGGAGTGGTTTTTTGTTTTTTGTTTGCTTTTGTTTTGTTTTGTTTTGGTTGTTTTTTTTAAATTGTTTCTGTCATGGTTGAATCCAGATTTTTGGGCAGAGTGATTGGTGGGACATAAGATATGAAAGGCTGAGAAGACTACTATAGCTGAACTACAGAAGAGCACATCTTCTTGTTTCTCACCAATAACACATACCTGGAAGTGAAAGATCCCAGCATAATCTTTCACAAAGCCCTGGTCTTGAGGTATGACCCTGAATAACAATTTTTCATGCAGAGTCAGACATGCAATCGCTGCCAGGAACCAGCAGTCACCTGAGAGAAATCGAATACTGTAGTTCAGGACAAATTAAAAGTGGGAATCATTGAAAAGAAATAAGAGATCAGTATCCTGTTAGTATCTCTAATAGAAAAACATAAGGACTTCTGCATATGACAGAATGTAGTGACTATTCTTTCATAGAAACATTGGGAAAGGACAATTGCGTACTAAAGAAACAGTTGCCTGCACAGTGGAAATGAAGAGGGTTCTGGAAAAAAAAGGCAACAGGAGAATTTGCATTTCTATACAATTGTTGTTATTGTTGTTGTTGTTGCTGCTGTTGTTACTATTACTGTCACTTTATTTGTCCTCTAGTGCAAACAGTAGTTCATTGTCTATGTTAACAAGAAAATGGTCTTTGATCCATTAAATTGGGTAAATCCCCATAAACTCAAAATAGTGAAGAAGAAAAGATGTACCTAGTTCTCCTTGACAAATGTCAGTCCTGTTGGCTCCACCAACTATAAAGCGTGGATTTTCACAAATTTCCTGTAGAATAGAAATAGGCTTTTGAGACAGGAGATACTATATGTCTGTTGTGATCAGGCATTAATAAAAATAATTGTTGTTTTTTTGGTTGAGTTTTGTTTGTTCTGTTGTTTTAGTTAGGGTCAGAACTTCTCATTGGATACAATTCACAAATATTAGAAAACCTGGCAGGGTAAAACCAAAAAAATGGAAATACTGTCCTTTGCTGTAAAATCAGTTTACAAAGGTTACATGTGCAGACATACTAGGAAATTTTATTGGAATGGAGCTTCTATATAATACTAGGCTATTTTTGCTGTAGATAAATGGAGTTGGTATTTGGTACATGTTCTGTTCTATCCACACAATATTTCTAAAGTATGTTTTTGTGGGTTTTTGAACAATGTACAAAATAAACTTGGGGAAACAGAGGAAAGCAAATGGAAGAAACTGAATTACAAAGACATTTGATTTCATTAATTTTACATAAATGGGCCATATCGAAATTTCACAGTGAGATCTACATTTAGTCTATCCCAGTACGTTCTTCCACAGTTCTTGTAAGAACTGAGAGAGATGGAGTCTTTATTCTAATTAACATATGAAATACATTTAAATAATATGCTATGAAATGTGTCTTGTCCTTGAGGATGATGAGTTTTTTTAAGTTGGTTTTAAAGTTTTCCATCAGTGCCCTAGTCTACAATCATGTATTCCATTGTTTCGTGGAGATTACTTGTTCTCTCTTCCAGTTCTTGGCAATGGTTCTTTGCAGCTACCCAACAAAGAGTAAGGAAATATTTGTATAGTAAACATTCATTGACTGAACTGCAGTCAATGAATGTTTACTTTACAAAGTAACTAGACTAGGCCCAATTGAATCAATGGAATTGATTGGTTGGTTGGTTGGTTGGTTGATTGAACTTATATACTGTCCCCACAGTGCTACAGCACTCTCTGGGCAGTTTACAACAAAATGATGCAAGGCACATCTTAGCCTCCAGCAACCTGGAAATTCATTTGACTAACCTTGGAAGGACAGAAGGCTGACTCAGCTACCTGAACCCATCGGGATTCAACTCAGATCTTGAGCAAAGACTTGTTTGTAGTACTGCAGTCTATCCACTGCTCCATGGGGCTTCACTCACCAAATCCCTACAGATTCAAAAGGGCTATTCCAGTTGTGATTTCAGCCATTATTTCCTTGACAAATGGATAGCAATGCCAGTACTGGAGATCCAGTCTGATCTGTAATTTATTCAGCTTCTGCAAATACTTCTTCCCACAACTTTTCAACCATTGGGCACTCCCACCACATAATGTATATACATTCCCAACTCAGTCTATTTTCTGCAGCAATTCGTAGATATCTATGGATATCACTGAGTTCATGAACTGTCTGTTCATGAGTTTGTCATTATTTTCCCTTGTTTCTAATGAATTTTCACTGGGGATTTTGACCATATGACTCTACTTTGGCCTTTATTAATCTCCTGTCCCAAGCATTTTCCTTACATGTGTCTAATAACTTCAGTGCCTTCATATTTATTGTCTATTAAGTTTGTATCAGCTTTGAAAGTCACTCGTTTTAATGATCCAGTTACATGTATGATCAATGTTCTCTCTGTGTTAATAGAGTTTATAATATTATTTGGTACAATGAAGAAGATACCAGTTCATAAAATTAATCTTTTTTTAATTTGCACAAAGTATACAAAACTGTGTGCACTAAAAGCTTCCTGATAAAAAAATCAGAAGTACTTCTTTTTCTTTCTCCATATACCAAAGAAGAAGAGTGAATTGTATGATTGGAAAGTCATTTCAAAAATTTGCATACCTAAAGTGCATAATTAGACTTAAGATCAGTTTTGTTAATGCAGGAACCCTCTATGTTCTCACTTTAAATTCTCACCCTTTAAAAGGGTGACTTTACATGGTTTTTCTGAGCTTCAGTTTTCTACTGCACTGCTATGGTCCCTCTGTTGCATACATACTCTAGGAACCAGTAATTACTTTCTAGGAACTTGGTTTCCATCCTTTAAGAAACGTATCTGGGAGGAATTTACAACAATGACTTTAAAGTATGTTTTAACTTTTAATCTACTTTAAGAAGTTTTTGATCCTAAAATGTGGTTTGAAATAATCAACATTCACATTGTCTGCTATTGTGGCTTGTTTCACATTACAAATTGATAAATAATTTAAAAAAAAACTATCTTGCTTTGCCATTAAATATTTTCTACAAGAAAACAGTGAGGGCCCTAGTCCGGATCAAGATGACCCTGGTGTGGTGGAGAGAGGGAGTTTTCATCCCTTTGCTCCTTAATCATGGAATCATAGAATCATGAAGTTTGAAGGGACCTGTAAGATCAGCAAGTCCAACCCCCTGGCTTCCTGTAACTTGAGCCCATTGTCATGTGTCTTGCATTCTGGGATTATTGAGAAGAGATCCTGCCCCTTCTCTGTATGATAGCTTTGAAAAGTGCTATCATATCACCCCTCAGTCTTCTTTTCTCAAGGCTAAACATGCCCATTTCTTTCAGTCTTTCCTCAAAGGGCTTGGTTTCCAGTCCCCTGATCATCCTTGTTGCCTTCCTCTGAATTTGTTCCAGTTTGTCAGCATCCTTCTTGAAGTGTGGTGTCCAGAACTGCACACAATAATCAAGATGAGGCCTAACCAGTGCTGAGTAGAGGGGAATGAGTACCTCATGGGATCTGGAGACCATTTTATTCATTTATATATTTAACTTATATGCCGCCCACACTACCCATACTTCTATTAATGCAGCCTAAAATAGCATTGAACTTTTTTGTGGCCACATTACACTGTGGGCTCATATTCATCTTGTGATCTATGACAATTCCAAGAAGCTTGTCGCTTGTATTATTGTCGAGCCAGGTATCCCCCATCTTTGTGTGTTTGGTTTCCTTTTCCTAGACTTGTATTATTGTTGAGCCAGGTATCTTTGTGTGTTTGGTTTCCTTTTCCTAGGTACAGTAATTTGCATTTATCCCTGTTAAATTTCACTCTGTTGTTTTCAGCCTGTCCAGATAATTTTCTGTCTTCCAGGTATTAGCTATTCCACCCAATTTTCTGCTATTCGCAAAATTGATTAACATTTCCTGGACCCCCTGATCCAGGTCATTAATAAAAATGTTGACGAGTACAGGGACTTCTGAGTATGATTCTATAGCCAACGGTGTATCCACTTGATAGATGTTCCATTCCAGCCCATAGCTAGTTAGCTTATTATCAGAATATCATGGGGCACTTTGTCAAAATCTTTACTGAAGTCAAGATATATGACATCTGCAGCATTCCATGTGTTTATCAGGGAGGTTACCCAATTAAAAAAAATGAGATCATGTTAGTCTGGCAGGATTGGCTCCTGACAAATCTGTGTTGACTTCTAGTTATTACTGCATTGTTTTCTAAATGTTTGCATAGCAACTGCTGTACAATCGGTTCCAGAATTTTCTCTGGGATTGATGTTAGGCTGATTGATCTGTAGTTCCCAGGTTCCTCCCTTTTGCCCTTTTTGTAGACAGGGACAAAATTAGCTCTCCTCCAATCATCTGGCACCTCACCCATTTCCCATGATTTCAAGAAAATAATGTACAGTGGTTCTGAGAGTTCTTAAACCCTTCAATATTATTGGATGCAGTTCATCCAGCCTTGGAGAGTTGAACTAATTCAAGGTAATGAAGTATTCCTTGGCTATTTGTCTATCACTCTCGAGCTGCAGTCCTGACCTGTAGTACACTTGCACTTCACATTTGTCTGGAGGGTCATGGTCAGTCATTTGGGAAAAGATTGAACTAAAACAGGAATTGAGCAATCCTGCCTTTTCTTTGTCTTCTGTCATCATTTTTCCATCTGGTCACAATCCAGATTAGTTCTTGCTCTGGCTACAAGATGAGAAAGAATCGTCCTATTCTTTCCAGTTGGAGTTCCTTCTGATTCATACAGCCAGCACAGGAGTCAATCCAGATTAACTGCCGGGTGTGGCAAAGGCATCGTCTGATGTACCGATCCATATTGGGCTCTATGACCTGATGACTTATGCAAAAAACCCTCTGAAAGGTCAGGGATCAACTGCACAAACTGTCTCGTCTTTAATAATAATGATAATTGTGTGCCATCAAGTCAATTCTGATTTACGGCAACCCTTTCCAGGTTTTTCTAGGTGGAGAACACACAGAAATGTTTTACCATTTCCTTCTCAGGACATCCTGGGACTGTGCAGCTTGCCCAGGGCCATACAGGCTGGCTCTTCTGAGATTCCCAACCGCTGGTTTTGCAGCAAGATATTTAAACTATTGAGCACTTCTTTACATTCCTGAAGTATTACAAACTCCCGCTGGACACAGTGGTTGCCACCACAAGCTGAAAATAGAACCAGCTTCTTTCCTTACAACATCCTTAAGAAAAGGGGTGCACAGGCGAAAGATAAGCGCAGCAGTGGTTTTATTTCGTTTTTGCACAGGGCATGAGGTTTTAAAGCCAGAACCTGCGCCCAGTGGTGCTGTGTGAATTTGGATATCTTAGGAGAGAGATGTTATGATTCTCTTGCCTTTTGGTTTTCCCCAAATGTCTCTGGGATCATGGTAGTCATGTAAACCAAAACCACTTGGGACTGGTCCTTTACTCACTACATGGATGTATGCTAGGCAATAGCAAAAATTACAGCCCTAAGTATCCCAAACAGAGCAATGAGCAATCATCCCTCTTTTTTTTTTTTTTTACAGATTTGGCTTACTTACTATATTGTGTTGCATTAGAATTGTGTATACATGATTAAAAAACAAACATTGCACTGTTTAATCTCCTGGTGAAATCCCTTAGCTTCAACGTATGAATTGAGGACAGATGTAATTAAAAACAACTTTAGGAAGTAATTTATGTAGGATATGCTAATGAAAAGAGACGGAAGCATTATACCTAATGCATTCACACATCTGTACAAAATGCTAAAATCAAAATGTAATGATCTTTGAGAGAAAGACATGGCCATGCAGGACAAAAAATGCTTGATACAAATTGAAATACAAGGCAAACAATAGAGGGGGGGGGCGGATTTCCTCAATATATCACCCATTTTTTTCAGGGTCAGTTCCTCCCACTGTCTTTAAGCACACAGCACAAGCACACCTGCCAAGGGACTGCATTGTTTTTCTGGCCTTTCTTTCTTAATGAACATTTTCCTCTATTTTTTTTTGCATTAAGAAAAAAAATGGCATTAAACAAGTAGAGAGGATTGAGATGGTCACCTGACCGTAATAAAATAAATTTGTTTGTCTGGAATCTCAACAACAATGGATGAAGGAGGCATGTTGATTGCATTTTAGAAGCCCTTTCTGCAAGTATTTAAAGTCCATACTTTCAGATGGCCCGACTTGCAATAACATATTTGATTCATCACATATACTCTCTGTGTGTTGCTACATTAGAAAAGAGTGATTCCACTTCTCTGATAATAGGGCCATCATGGCTCAGGAAGGGTACATAGTAAATATGTAGGCCAACCACGGGAGACATTGGTGAATCCTTTTGTATTGGGAGTGAGGATGCATCAGAGTTCATTTAAAAAATGACATAAATCACAAAATTGGAGAGATGTACAAATTGCTGCAAGAGTCACACTGCTCACCATCAGTATGCTGACACTGTACAATAGATTTTTTTTTTTTACACAGAGCATATCAGGTCAATAATATCACCCTTGATTGTGGTTCGGATTAGGGTTGTGGGAACAAGCTTAATTCTTCCTGCAGTAATTAACAACTAAATAAGAACAAAGTGTTTATAAACAAAATATGGTAGTTCTGCTGGTCATTTAAATCAGATGTTAGATTTGGGCTCTGAATCCAGATAAAACCAACTAACATGCACCATTCAAAGCTGAAGAGATCTGGCAAATCCTATTCCTTAAAATCTTGTTGATTCCAGGATATCCTTTTTTATATCAATCCTTTTCAATTTTGAATGCAATGGAATGAAAGATTATTAATTTGTATTTTCAAACATTCAGCAAGATCAACCTTTACATGAGATTAGCTGCCTACTCACTGGTGGCCTCTTCCACTCAAATTTGACAGGGAGCTTTTGACTGTAGAAGAGGGAGGTGTCATTAGCTGGGAAATCTGGATCCTCGTAAAGAACCTTCTTTTCCAGGCACTTCTTATGCAGCTCATGATAAGTCTTTTCCTTTACTCCAGTGATGGGCTGGTTGCGGCTGAGGATAGCAGAGTAAATCCCTCCTGTTCCTCCACCTGTTTCAGCAGTTGTGCTAGCATGGCTATGGGAAATTAGTCCAGTCCCAGTTTCTTGAACCACAGTGGCACTGACAGCTGACGGCATGGAGATAATATTTAAGCAAATTGATCAAATCAACAGTAACAACAAAATAAGGAAGATCTTGCAACTTGGAAGGAAGTGACAGCCAAGAGGAAGTTGCTCTGTAACGATTTCACAGGCAGTTCTCTGTCTTCTCTTTTGTCTGCTAGCTTTCAAACAACTTTAAGGAGAACCACATCACTAAGTTGTATGCATGTCATCTTGAGGTTCTTGCTCAATGTTAAAATCTTCAGTAGGAAACAAGAAAAATTGTTGAGTAATTTTCGTCTCCGAATTTCTGTGTGTGTTCGCGTCTGTTGATGGCACGCTTTGTAAAGGTTGCAGCTGGGAAAACTAAAAATAAACTCTGAGGGAGAATGTTAATGTGGAGGAGGGGAACACTAGAGGCATTCAAGGGGGACTCTGGAGGCACTGTGATGCTGGAGGCTTTCAAGAGAAAATTAGACTACCATCTGTCAGATCTGTTTTGATTTAGATTTCTGTATCGAGCAGAGGGTTGGGCTCGATGGTCTTATAGGCCCCTTCCAACTCCATGATTCTGTGAATAGAGAAATATTCCTGCTCAGAGTTAGTACTTCAGGATTGAAAGGGCTAGGCATGTTGGAGTAATGATTTGCTCATGGTAAGCAACTTTTTACTCATTCAAAAATAAAAACTACTTGAATTTACAAGCTGATGAAAATTTCTTAGGATAGTAATACAATCCTCTTTGTATGTAAGATAAGCTAAAATGTTTAATTACCTTTCCTTTACATTAAGTTGGCACAATAAATTTATTGACCAGTTCTAGCCCAGCGCATTTCTTTGTTAGGTAAACTAGAGACAACATAAGAACTACATAGTTGGCTAATATCTTCTTGATACAGATTGGGTGTGCCAGAACTTTTGATTGTCCTGAAGCCTAACCTAAAATCTGGACAAGAGGTTATTATTAGAGCAGAACGGCTGAAATCATGTTACTTAGCTTGGTAAGTCACACTACAGTAAGCCATTGAATCAATTTGGTAAGAAAATTTATTTGTTATGACTTACTGTAGTTGCGACTCACTTTAGCATAGTAAATTGTAACTATAATAGGCCTGTTTGAATCAACAAAACTTGTGAAGGAACTGACTTATCAAATCACTGATTCAATGATCCTACTCTAATGTGACTTACTACATGAAAAAACAGGATTTCAGTCAATATATAGAAGTACAATCATTCCACATCGATAAAAGTGTCTGACAAAGGTGCATTTTAGTTTCCTAGCAATCTATATGCAGAACATATTATTTGAAAAACTGGCTTAGCTTCAGATGGTGAAGGAATAAAAACTGGTGGGAAAAGCATAAAGAAAAATATACAGATGATATAATATTACTGGTAGAAAATAGCAAATTATTTCTCATTAAGATTAACAAAGAAACTACAGAAGCAGGATTACTACTGAGCATGAAAAAGACAAAAATAGCAACTACTGTACAGAAGGATTACATAATTTTTATGTTAACAGTGATGAACTTGAAATGGCTCAGGATTTTCTACACCTTGGTTCAATCATCAGTCTAAATTGAAACTACAGCCATGAAATCAGAACACTGAGATTTGGAATGGCAGCTATGGAGGTACTAGAAAAGATACTTAAGTGAAAAAAATATGTTGTTGGAGATCAAGGCTGAAATAATTTATGTAAGAATATTCTTGTTTACTATGTCTATATGTGGAAAATGGGCAATGAAGAAAACAGGAGAAAAATGAAATCATTTGAAATGTATTGTATGAAGCCCTGTTTCTGAAAAGAATACTCCAGATTTGGAGAATCCTGGACAAGAGAAATGTGGGTTGTTTTTATTAGCTTCCCCTGTTTCTTTCCAAGTTTTACGTGTTCAATATTTTTCTTCATCTGTCTAGTAGGGACGAGAAATCTGTTCTTTAAAATGAAAGTATGATCCCACTAGACCAATAAGTGGATTCTAGATTAAACCAAGCCTAAACAATGGTGAGAAGGTAACAGTGTTCCGTGTCTAGTTGCACTGGCCACGTGACTACGAAAACTGTCTTCGGACAAATGCTGGCTCTATGGCTTGGAAACGGGGATGAGCACTGCGCCCTAGAGTCGGACACGACTGGACTAAGTGGCAAGGGGAACCTTTTACCTAAACTCTTTCTAGAAGCCATAAATGACTTAATTAAGTCTGTCATTCTTTGAATATACAGTACAATGAAAAGATAATGCTCACTGGAAAATAAAATAATGCTGGGGAAAGGGGGGAAAATTGGGATGGCAACCTTGCCCAATCAATTAAACAGCACATTATTCCCCAATAGCTGTGGGGGAAAAATTGGGATGGCAACCTTCCCCAATCAAGTAAACAGCACATTATTCCCCAATAGCTGTGTGTTAGCTCAGGAGGCTGAGACTTGTAGCTGTAAATGTGTAAGCAACATGAACTGAGAAAGATGGTTAGAGAATACATTGACACTGAGAAAAACAAATAAAGGAAAGGACTCTTCACATATTAAGGAGTGCTTTGAGAAGAGACAAAAGTTGGGACCATGAGCCTATTTAAGCTTGATATGCAGGAAGTTGGGGATTTCATCTGTACATCATATATGTATTTTCTTTCCCTCCATTCCCTCACAGGTTTTACCATATGTCAACTCTGGTGCTACAAAAGGTTTCCAAAGGCCTGTTTACAATTGGTAGATGCCCACTTCTCCTTGATGTATTTTTTTTTACACATCACTCAACTGTCAGCTTTGACATACAGGAACTTATGTCAAACTTAAATCAGAATCTGTAGCATGATGGCATGGTTATAAAAGTCTGCTGAACAGTGAAGCATGATGAGAAGAAATAAGAATGGGGAAACCAATTGGCTAGTTTCTACCCTCTTCCCTAAATTTAAATCCATGAAGATATAAAATACTGTTATCTCCCTATTTTTAAGCTCATCTTGCCTTTTTCCCATTTCTCTGCACACATTGACAACTCTCTGTGCTATAATAACTTACCCTAGAGGATCAGGATTCTGGTTCCCAGCTGCTTTCTATCCTCATCTTTTTAACAACCCAATCTAGGTGCAAAGGCTGATTTAAATATTTTAAATATTGATTCTCATAATTTAATTGAGTTTAGTGATACCTTGACAGTAAAAAAAGGAGAGTGCAAGAAATAAACAGAGACTTGAAGACTGTTTATGTGGAGCGCATCTCAGACTTGGGAAACATGGACAAGAGATGTTGGGATTGTTTATATTAGCTCCCACCCCTTTCCTATTTGCATATGTTCCAGATTTTTCTTCAACTGTCTATAGGCATTAAAATCTATTCTGTAAAATGAAAAGAATTATTCTCATCATTTTGAGCAGTCCTATACAAATATTTGGCCCATAATCTTTTGCAGCACTACTCTAGGAAGGCAGACACAGACATAATAAACACTATGAAAAAGCTACCTCCATATTTTTCTCTAGTTTGAGGGATCTAAAATCAGCAACAATGCTGTCCTCTACATGGCCTACATTAAACTGAAGCCCACTGAATCTAATAGAGCTTACTCCTGGGTATGCCTCTGCACACTACTCTAGGAAGCCAGACACAGACATAATGAACACTATGAAAAAGCTACCTTCATATTTTTCTCTAGTTTGAGGGATCTAAAATCAGCAACAATATGCATTGCTACATGGCCTACATTAAACTGAAGCCCACTGAATCCAGTAGAGCTTACTCCTGGGTATGCCTCTGCACAATTACACATTTCCACAATGCACATTTTGAATGTTCTTGCAGAGAGAGACAGATTCACTCCTAAGGTTTTGGTATCTGTTGATTAATTTGCAGTTAGATTACCTGTAAAGTGTTTTGAAGAATTACACCCTAGCTGTGCAATGAAATATCCTACAAATAGACTAATCCCAATGTTTTAAAAAGTTGCTAATACAACTGGTCCCCTTTTCAGCTTCTTAAAATTTTCGAAACACGTTAAAAGCATCTGAAAGAGCAGCAGCTGTTGTCTAGAATCCCCCCTAAAGCAGCTGCCTAAGGGCAGGTGGCTGCTATCAGTGTCCTCTTGTATATCCCTTGATTTTTTCATCATACTTGTTCTTATCAAAGGAAATGCCCTCCTTCCCCATTACTCTCAAATTAGTAATGGGGGGGAAATCAGATCAAATTGCAAATGCTTATCCTACATTTATTTTATTTTCCTCCCATGCAGTTTCTTAGCAATTAAGTTTATTATCATGACACACACGCGAGCTATGTGCTGGCACCTTCGCAGAGGAGAAATCCAAGAAGCAGGGTGAGCTCATGGCTATGTGACTATTCAAGTGATCCAAGTTACTGCAGTGTGATCGTGATGATGATGATACCACCAAAGGCAGAATTCTGCAAACTGTGGAAGACATTTACCTGCTCTTCCTTTCTACATTTTTGGTTATGAAAACTTCAAGTCATTTGGAAATTGAAACAATGAACTTTGTATGATTTGCCACATTGCACACTTCTCAGTTAGCCTCATCTGGAATACATTTTTAACAGCAAAACTGTCATATAAAATATTCTTAAACAAACCTGGTGGAATGCTATATTGAAATCCCAGAGACCTTTTTGTTGTTGTTAAACATTTCAGTACTGCTTTACTGCAGCCTTATGAACCAGAACCTTGTGTGACCATGAGAGTTTGATAAGACTGGTGTTGCTGTTATCAGTCTCAAAACAAAAACTGTACATCTGTTCAATATTTGCTTTGGAATCTTGGCCAAACTTGTTTGAAACATACAGGATGCTTGGTCCATACAAAAATACAAAAGAAGACAACCTTACTTTTTAGAATAACTTTAATTATCCTAGCAATGTGTACACTTGTGAAACAGTTGCCATGTTTTTCCCCCAAAATTCATAGGTTGGTCCAATAAAATCGATTGATTACCTTGCTTATTTTGTCATGACTGCTCTGATTATATGTCACGAGTTAAGCTGAAGAAGAACAAATTCCTTGATCTTAGAAATGAGGTGGAAAGAACGTCTGGAAAGGGACCAGACAGGCAAAAACACTATTGGGGTTCACAGGAAACATGATTTTCAATTCAGCTGAATTTCACAGTAGGAGTAAAGCAAGCCATTTGTACCACTAGAGCTATATAACTACAACAAGTTATTAAACCCTAGGCAGCCTTGTATTGACTGGTACAATTACTGTTGCCTCTATAATTTATTTATAGTGCAGGTTGCTAGAGTTTCACCTATGCTGATGATCTTACCTTGACAGTCCAGAGAGAAACCTTTGAGGCCATTAAGCACCAGCTAACCTCTGTACTGTATTAGAGGATCTTTCTTTAAATAATAAAAACCACCATCTGAAACCAAACCCTTTAAAAACACAGGTCTGTGCCTTCCATGTAAAGAACAGAAAAGCAGAAAGGAAGCTAGAAAAGCAAGATTTTGGAACACTGCTCTATCTCGAAATATTTGGATGCCTCTCTGGATCAAACACTGACTTACAAAAAATATTGTCTAAACACCAAACAGAAAGTTGCTGCCATAAATAACATACTTAGGAAACTGGCTGGGTCAGATTGGGGTACAGACCCATAAACAATAAGAATGTCAGCTTAATCCCTGTGCTACTCTACAGCAGGATATGCTATGCTATATGGTATAAATCAGCACATGCCAAATAAGCAGATATAGGTCTTGATGAATCCTGCATTATTACTGGCTGCTTGAAACCTTGTTATTGTGGTTTAGTCATTGTGTCCGACTCTTCGTGACCCCATGGACCAGAGCACGCCAGGCCCTCCTGTCTTCCACTGCCTCCCGGAGTTTGGTCAAATTCATCTTGGGAGCTTCAATGACACTGTCCATCCATCTCATCCTCTGTCGTCCCCTTCTCCTCCTGCCTTTACACTTTCCCAACATCAGGGTCTTTTCCAAGGAGTCTTCTCTTCTCATGAGATGGTCAAAGTACTGGAGCCTCAGCTTCAGGATCTGTCCTTCCAGTGAGCACTCAGGGTTGATTTCCTTCAGAATGGATAGGTTTGTTCTCCTTGCAGTCCAGGGGACTCTCAAGAGTCTCCTCCAGCACCACAATTCAAAAGCATCAATTCTTCGGCGGTCAGCCTTCTTTATGGTCCAGCTGTCACTTCCATACATCACGACAGGAAAAACCATAGCTTTGATTATGCGGACCTTTGTCAGCAAGGTGATTTATCTGCTTTTTAAGATGCTATCTTGAAACCTACCCCCACTGAAAAGCTAATTTGGCTGGCATTGCCCCTCCAGACAAACGTCAAGATGTGCTGACAAATAATGAACAAAATAAAGTAATACAGTACTAAACTCATCCACTTAATGGACACCAGCCCTCTTGACCAGTGGTTCCCATCCTAAAGTAACCCAGGTGTTTTTTTAGACTGCAACTCCCCAAACCCCCGACAGCACTACTGGTGATAAAGGCTTCTGGGAATTGCAGTCCAAGATCATCTGGGTTACCCAAAGTTGGGAACCACTGCCCTAGATTATGGTTAAAATTGATGAAAGGTTTTCTGCATATATCTCAAGTTCTAAATTTAAACCAAAAGAGGATGAACTTGTGGAGAACAAAAACAATACAGCTTGCCAAATGGATGAATGCTGAAGAATGTCTCCCACCAGGACAAGACTCTAGCTGAAATTTCTGAATACACTTTGAAGCGAAGATGAAAGAATAATCAAGTACAGTGGTGCCTCGCGTAATGGCGATAATCCATTCCAGAAAAATTGCTGTTAAGCGAAAACGTCGTAAAGCGAAAATAAAAAACCCATTGAAACGCATTGAAAACCGTTCAATGCATTCAAATGGGCTAAAAACTCACTGTCCAGTGAAGATCCTCCATACGGCAGCCATTTTCGGTGCCTGTATAGCGAGGAATCCATCCCTAAGCACAGCGGGGAGCCATTTTAAGCACCCGGCGGCCATTTTGAAAACCCAACGATCAGCTGTTTTTGATCGCCGTAAAGCGAAAATCGGTTCCCGAAGCAGGGAACCGATCATCGCTAAGTGAAATTCCCCCATTTAGACCATCATTTTGCGATTGCAAAAATGTCGTCATGAAGCAGATTCATCATAATGCGGAGTAAGTGTTAAGCGGGGCACGACTGTACAACAGGGCTACTTGGATACAGAATTGGGGTTTGAGGTTCAGGAGCAAATCCTGCCCTCTTAAGTCTAAGGGACATATGTAGCCCCATGATTTCTGGCAAGTTGCCAAGCCCTGCTATACAGAAATTCCTATTCTCCCACTCCAAGAGCACAGTTACTTTTCTGGATCACTGAGGTTCAGACACTGGTCATCCAAATGCCTGTGAAAGGAAGTGGATATATATAGGATTATGCCATTAATCTGACATACATGATCTGCCTAATCTTATGTTTTTTCACCACAAGACTTAATGTTCATTTTTATAAAAGACGACAGATCCTGTTCTATATGGGACATGCACACAAATGCAGAATATGCATTCACTATTTCAGGTGTATCTATCCCACCTATTTTCTACAATAGAACTTCAAGTGGCATAGACTAGATTGCCAAGAAGTCTCACATGAAGGTGCAGACCAGACTCAAACCTGTTTAGCTTCACCACCCTGGAGACACCCTGTGCTCTCAGACTGTTCTTCGAGACTCACACATGTACTATCCTCAAAATAGTTCCACAGAAGAAGTAGAGAAATCCCTAACATTCCTGAGTAAGCTGGCCTGCCCAGGTCAGTTTACACGCAGCAGCTTCAAATGCAAAGACAGCAATTTGTTGTGACAAGTCTTGGCTGTGCCAAACATTCCTGCTATGGAAAGGGAGGGCAAAGGGAGGGCATTCAGCAGCAGGTGGTGCCAGGAGAGGTTAAGACAGAAAGGGAAAAAAAAACATTGTTCACTTTTGTTGTTGCACTTGGGCAAGCTGGACATTTTCTCTCCATTAGGATATGCTTGCTTGGCAATTCATATCTAGCTGTTAAACCATTGGGCAGCGCTTGTCTAAAATATATAGAAGATATGCACATTCAACCCCAGGAGGCACCAAGTATATCTATAAATAGGTCAAGTGTCAGGGGTTCCTTATTCCCATTAAAAATGGTATTAAAACCTACAAAGAAGTTTTCAGAGTAAGAGAAATGCTTGCAGATGACATAAAAGAGACAGTACGATAACAGAGCCATAAACTGTTTTTAGAAAAAAAACACTAATGCTACATATTTTGTAGCATATAAGACCAATTGGTGGGTAAGTTCATAATTAAGTTGTGCATTATAAAACAAACACTCTTAACCTGTCAACCCTTCCAATACGAGCTGACTGAAAGGCTCAGTGCTCAAGATGGCAAAGTCTGGCCCTGCTTCATGTTTAAATGATCCCCTGAGTTCCTTCTGCTCTGTGGTTTTCCCACTTTATTTCTAATTAATCATATTACTTCTTTGGTTTGTTCCACTAATGGAAGCATGGTGCTCACACATTCTGTGGACTCAGTTTAACTGATGAGCTTTCATTTCATAAGAAAATTTTGTTCCTGTTGTTCTGGAGCAAGATCTCTCTATAGAAACTGGCCATGGATGAGAAAAGCAGTTCTCGCTGTGCTTTCTTGTGTCCAAAATCATCTTGCAAAAAAGTCTCTGTTCTGTATTGTTGGCGTTGGTAAAAAAAAAAAATCTTCTAGCTAATTTCCTTCTCTGAAACATTAATGATACTGATGAGAAAGTGGTTTTCACATCTTTTCCACAATTCGCAGAAAATCTAGCGTGTAAGTCTGCGGAGGCAAGAATCCATGGCTAATTCTGGAGACTGCTGCTTGGAGATGTGGACGGCAACATTTAACCCACAGCTGCAGAATCCTGGAAGCAAGCCATCCTCAGCAGAGCATCTGTGGCAAATACTATTAGCAAGTTGTCACTCATGAAGATATTTCTGAATATTAATTTATGTTAAGTCTAGTATGTGAAAGTTCTTGTCTTCTCAGAGGTCAGTTTCACAAAACTGGGCAGAGTTATCTGAACTGTTTTCGTTTTCCATTCTTTTCCTGAATTTCATTTAATATGAAGCACCCAGTCAATGCCAACATTTAATGAGAGCTGTTGAAGGGTTAACACAGAGTTCTTGGCATCATATGTGAACGTCACTGCTTTGTCTTCACCATCTAAATGTGAATAGAATTAAAAAGAAACACATTACGTTAGTTAAAAGCCTGTATTGACTCATATATCTTCAAGATCTATTATTTTGTTGGTACAAGTAGTCCCCCCCACTAACGTAGACTGTGATTACAGTATGCTGTTGTGTTCACAATTGCTGTGGCCAATTCATCACTTTGTTGTGGACCTTTCAGTTATGAGTTCCTCTATTCTTAGCTAGGCTGGTCACACAGTTTAGTAGTCACAGACACATGGCTATTAAGCACACTGGTGGTGCAGCTAGCTTATGAGATCCAGTTTCCCCATCCCTATGCATTAAAGGAATAGCCTGTAGGCCTTGTTTAAAACCCTCAATAGTTGACCCTCTGTGATATCTTTAGACTGCAACATTACCTTCCTGCAAAGATCTGTCATAGCACCTAGAGAAAGACATTACTTGCATTCTCTAACTCAAAGGTGTTTCTTGTGCTTCTGGCTAAGCAGCGCAGCCTACAACAATGTGCACAGGAAGGGCCACCCTGACATAGCCTATGTGCCGTTATAAGGAAGGCACAAGTATAGATGTACCATACCAGCGGTGTCTATGAAACAGTCTGAGCGACACACCTAGATCACTCAAAGCAGCAAACTAGATCATTTGCTACCAGGGGGGGCAAAGACTATGGAGGATCAAAGGCACAAATAAATTATACGACACACTGAGGAAAGGTTCAACGGGGACACTGACTTTCCATTCCCTGCAATGCTCCTCTGCACTGCCTGCCCAAATCTTCACACAAGTTAGGGTGTAGGTAGGATTCTACTGATCCAGCAGAACTCCTCTGCATGCTTGCAATTTTACCTGCATGCTGAGGATCAAGCCAACCAACCTGCGCTTTGTCACCTGTAGAGATGGTGAGGTTGATTCATTGTTACTCAATTCAGGAGCCAAGATTCTTAATGGACAGAAGTAAACTTTTAACCTCAGAGTAGTATTCTTCAAAAGGCCACATAAACATGGAGAAATGTGTATACTTGTGATCCAGGCTATAAATATTCTATAAATATCCAGACCAATTTTTAATTCATACATATATTAGCATTTCAGCTATACTTTAAGGATGCTTCCACATCACTAGAAGAATAAAGAAATTATAAGAGGAAACCAGGAACCCAAGCCCATCTACCAATTTACCCCAATTAAAAATGGACATGAGAGAAACTCACTCTTCCACCATCTAAGAAGCAACAGAACAGACCAAGACTGTGAACAGAGGACTTTCAGTTACCATCAGGAAGGGTTTTGACCATGGGGAAGGCATTGCTAGATAACATAGTGTTGTTGCCCCAAATTGGCGAAGTGATGGGTTAGAGGTGATGGGAGATGGTACCACATAGGGTTAAGAAGGCTAATATGCATTATGTTGAGAGTGGAGCTTCCAGTTTAATTCCAAGGTGTTGGTCAACTGACTACATTCCGTATTGTTTCTTTGCCTTGATTGTGTTTCTTTCTCTTGACATGAGGTCATATTTTTATTGTCTTCATTGTCTTTAATTATATATGTACATCAGCATCGCATATGGGTAAAAAACAGTTTTTAGCATTCATAATGAAAGGAAGGAATGTATAAGTCCAATTCCAGTTAAATGCAGAAGAACCTTAAATGCGCTAAATGATGCTGCTTGTAAGTATTGCCAAGAGCAGAGTATCAACATATAACATAGTTCCTATCTCTTACCATGAATGCTGGCTGTCACAGAAGAAGGCTGTTTTTTCATTCCCAAAATCAGTATCTGTTCAATTACACATTTGGTGCGGAATTGCCCATTTTCATCTGCACACCTGGGGATTGAAGAGATGAAGAAGTGACCGAGGAATGGGTCAAAATGACTGCTGCTTATTAGGGTAGTCTTTGGCAGGCATCCAACCCCAAAAGGGGTGCAGTGATGTGCCTCCTTGTCCAAACTGTAAGTGGATACTATGGTTCCAGCTTCAAAATGAAAATGAAGCTCCTTGAGCGCTGGCTGTGGTGTGCCCAGAAAACCTCGCAAGACTGCTCTCTACATGAGAAAACTTAGGAGAAAGAAGAGGCCCACATAAGCCCTTCCTTGGTTAGGGTTTGCTGGGAGGCATTTGCTTGGTGTTTTTTCTACTATGGTAAGTCCCTGAGCAACTCTTTATTGTCAGTTCACAGCCAGATTCACACCCCCTCCACTCCTTCTGGACCAACAAACAGAGATCACCAGACCTAAAGATCATACCTACTATTAGCACTTTGACTTCCCCTCTCTTTCTTAATACACAAGCTTTGGGAAGAGTAATTTGAACCATTCAGTTACCTGCTATTGTATTTCTCCTGTATTTTTTAAACAATTGCTCCATGCACTATTTCTGAGCTTCACAAGGGGCATGTCGAGAGGCTGTTTGTAAAAACTCCAGTGCTTTGTAAGCAAGGGATGAAGCACAGATTGTGTACAGTGGTGCCTCGCTTAACGGGCACCCCGTTTAATGACGAATCCGCATAGCGATGAAGATTTTGCCATCGCTTTTGCGATTGCATTGCGATGTTCCCTATAGGGAAAAATCGCTTTGCAATGATGGCTTCCCCCCCATCATCGCAAATGCCCCATTTTTGCACAGCTTGCGATGAGGGGGGAAGCGATTGTCCCAAAAAAGAGCCGGGAGCCATCTTCTCCGCTCCAGCCCCTCCCCCTCCCCACCTTACAGCTGATCGGCGCTGCTCTTAGAAGCTTCCCCAGGCTTGCCCAGCAGGTAAACAGGCAGTGGAATGCACTGGGAAAGCCTCTGAAAGCGGCGCTTTGCCGGGGTGGGTGGGGATGGGGGTGGGTGGGGGCGTGGCAGGGGCAGGCCCGGCCCCCTCCGCCACCCCCCTTGCGCCCCTGCGGCAAAGCGGGGCTTTCAGAGGTGCATTTTCACTGCTGAAAAAGCCCCAGGAGGCTTCTGAAAGCGGTGCGAGGGGGGCTCTAGGGGGTGGGGGGCGGGCCTGCCCCTGCCACCCACCCCCACCCCGGCAAAGCGCCGCTTTCAGAAAGTAGTCCCCCCCACTAACGTAGACTGTGATTACAGTATGCTGTTGTGTTCACAATTGCTGTGGCCAATTCATCACTTTGTTGTGGACCTTTCAGTTATGAGTTCCTCTATTCTTAGCTAGGCTGGTCACACAGTTTAGTAGTCACAGACACATGGCTATTAAGCACACTGGTGGTGCAGCTAGCTTATGAGATCCAGTTTCCCCATCCCTATGCATTAAAGGAATAGCCTGTAGGCCTTGTTTAAAACCCTCAACAGTTGACCCTCTGTGAGTTCTGTAGACTGCAACATTACCTTCCTGCAAAGATCTGTCATAGCACCTAGAGAAAGACATTACTTGCATTCTCTAACTCAAAGGTGTTTCTTGTGCTTCTGGCTAAGCAGCGCAGCTTACAACAAGGAGCACAGGAAGGGCCACCCTGACATAGCCTATGTGCCATTATAAGGAAGGCACAAGTATAGATGTACCATACCAGCGGTGTCTATGAAACAGTCTGAGCGACACACCTAGATCACTCAAAGCAGCAAACTAGATCATTTGCTACCAGGGGGGGCAAAGACTATGGAGGATCAAAGGCACAAATAAATTATACGACACACTGAGGAAAGGTTCAACGGGGACACTGACTTTCCATTCCCTGCAATGCTCCTCTGCACTGCCTGCCCAAATCTTCACACAAGTTAGGGTGTAGGTAGGATTCTACTGATCCAGCAGAACTCCTCTGCATGCTTGCAATTTTACCTGCATGCTGAGGATCAAGCCAACCAACCTGTGCTTTGTCAGCTGTAGAGATGGTGAGGTTGGTTCATTGTTACTCAGTTCAGGAGCCAAGATCCTTAATGGACAGAAGTAAACTTTTAACCTCAGAGTAGTATTCTTCAAAAGGCCACATAAACATGGAGAAATGTGTATACTTGTGATCCAGGGTTGAATGAAAAAGGGTGAGAGACTCACCAAGGGATCTTTACGTTCTTAACAAATTAATCAATCATGCATCTATTTTTTCTAGATCAAGATCTCCACCCCTACCTCCACTAAGTGGCATTTGCAAACATAAAAACAACAACAACAAAGTTTCTCATATCTGCTGTCTCATCTGGTTTAATCCCCAGAATTCACACGTGATGGAAAGCTACAGGCAGAAGGCAGAAGGGAGTTAGATAGAAGAAAGTAAGATAGGTGTGTATAGGATTATATCCTTAAACAAGTGAGATGATGGAATGAATATGGAGGATGGATGAATTTGTGTGTGTGTGTGTGTATTGGGGGGAAACACCAGCCCTTGCCCTGAAACTGTGGATAATCATAAAATCACACAACTGTAATGCAGAAGTTAATGAAACAAATATGCCATCGGGTAATCTAGTAATTACGACAGTGGATGAACATAGATAACTATTTGTTACATGAGAAGACAAGGCTTGCTGGAAAAGACAAGAACACTATGAAAAGTTGAAAGCAGCGGCGAAAAAGGATGACCACACTATTAGATGGATTGACTCCATGAAGGAAGCCACAGTATAGTTATCCAGACCAATTTTTAATTCATACATATATTAGCATTTCAGCTATACTTTAAGGATGCTTCCACATCACTAGAAGAATAAAGAAATTATAAGAGGAAACCAGGAACCCAAGCCCATCTACCAATTTACCCCAATTAAAAATGGACATGAGAGAGGTTATGTTACTCACTCTTTCACCATCTAAGAATCAACAGAACTGACCAAGACTGTGAACAGAGGGCTTTCAGATACTATCGGGAAGGGTTTTAACCATGAGGAAGGCATTGCTAGATAACATAGTGTTGTTGCCCCAAATTGGTGTAGTGATGGTTAGAGATGATGGGAGATGGTACCACATATGGTTATGAAGGCATTCTGTTGAGAGTGGAGCTTCCAGTTTAATTCCAAGGTGTTGGTCAACTGACTACATTCCGTATTGTTTCTTTGCCTTGATTGTGTTGCTTTCTCTTGAGGTCATATTTGGAATTTTTATTGTATTTAATTATATTTGTACATCAGCATCCCATATGGGTAAAAAACAGTTTTTAGCATTCATAATGAAAGGAAGGAATGTATAAGTCCAATTCCAGTTAACGGCAGAAGAACCTTAAATGCGCTAAAGGATGCTGCTTGTAAGTACTGCCAAGAGCAGCGTATCAACATATAACATAGTTCCTATCTCTTACCATGAATGCTGGCTGTCACAGAAGAAGGCTGTTTTTTCATTCCCAAAATCAATATCTGCTCAATTACACATTTGGTGCGGAATTGCCCATTTTCATCTGCACACCTGGGGATTGAAGAGATGAAGAAGTGACCGAGGAATGGGTCAAAATGACTGCTATTTATTAGGGTAGTTTTTGGCAGCCATCCAACCCCAAAAGGGTGCAGTGATGATTTCTCCTGTATTTATTAAACAATTGCTCCATGCACTATTTCTGAGCTTCACAAGGGGCATGTCGAGTTAAGAAAGAATAAAATCATACTTCTGAACTACCAGCTTAAGAAGCTTAATAACCTCTGTCTCAGCTTAACACTATCTTCCTCTGCCCTTGGGTTTTACAGTGCCAGTTACCTAGATGAGAAGATATTCTCATGGAATATAAACTTCCTAAGCAGGAACTGCTTCCCATGGAGATACTGAAATGAATGGCCATCATCCAAATAGAGTTCACCTGCTGCAGATGCCTAAAAAACAAACAAAATACAAAGTGCTTATTAAAGCTCTAAAGAATTTACACAACAAAAAAAAATCAGACTAATTGCTATATGCTGATGTTCAATTGACTTAAATGAATCCTGATGTAAGTTCAGGCTGGAGACAGACAATGGGGTTTAAGAGAGCTAAAAGTGGTTTGAAAGAGATAAGGTGTCCATAGTATACAAACATATATCTTTTGCTGATCAGCTGCTTATGGTCAAAGACATTTCAAAAGCTTTTCTGAGCAAAACAAAGACATGTAAAGCCTAATTACTAGAGATGAAAATACAACAATCGGACACATTACATGCAATCCTCTCTCAGTTAAGAACGGACTGACTTTGCTCAGCCTCAGAGTTGAATGAAAAAGGGTGAGGGACTCATCAAGTGATCTTTACATTCTTAACAAATTTATCAGTCATGCATCTAAGTTTTCTAAATCAAGATCTCCATCCCTACCTCCACTAAGTGGCATTTGCAAACTTAAAAAAAACCCCACCAAAATATCTTATATCTGCTGTCTCATCTGGTTTAATCTCCAGAATTCACATGTGGTGGAAAGTTACAGGCAAAATGCAGAAGGGAGTTAGACAGAAGAAAGTAAGGTAGGTGTGTATAGGATTCTATCCTCAAACAAGTGAGATGATGGAATGAATATGGAGGATGGATGAATTTGTGTGTGTGTGTGTGTATTGGGGTGTGTGTGTGTGTGTGTGTGTGTGTGTGTCTGTGTCTGTGTCTGTGTCTGTGTCTGTGTCTGTGTGTGTCTGTGTTGGGGGACACACAGCAGCCCTTGCCCTGAAAATCTGGATAATCATAAAAATCACACAACTGTAATGCAGAAGTTAATGAAACAAATATGCCATCGGGTAATCTAGTAATTACGACAGTGGATGAACATAGATAACTATTTGTTACATGAGAAGACAAGGCTTGCTGGAAAAGACAAGAACATGATAAAAAGTTGAAAGCAGCGGGGGAAAAGGGTGACCACACTTTAGATGGATTGACTCCGTAAAGGAAGCAGCAGCCTTGAATTTACAAGAGCTCAGCAGGGCTCTTGAAGACAGAACACTTTGTAAGTCACTCATATATAAGGTCAACATTAAGTTGGAGGAGATTCATTGTCACATAAGAGCAGCAACAATTTGCTACATGGTAATTTGCCCACAGTATGGCTATAACTATTTAGTATAACATTTGTATTATCCTGTATACAAATGCTGTATGAATAGCAGGATATTACAAATAGAGATAGAATGGTAGGAAAAATATTTTTGTCATTTTACAGGGTATTACAGAAAACCAAGTTCCCAAATGGTTATATATGTGTACATGACATGTTATTACTTGTCAAATGGGCATCTATTTTCTTTCTGTTCCATTGTTTGTCAGCTTTAAAACATGAAAACCAACAAAAATGTGCCACTTGCTACACAGAGAGATGTAGAGTAACTTTCATAAACTGTTTGCCAGATGTGTGTGTGCATCTGAGGACAGAAGAATGACATTGAAATGGTGTGAGAGAGAGAACAGAAGGTGACACTGAAAATTAAATAATGGCTATATAAATTTTAAAACAGAGCAAAATTTTTATACAAAATGTAATTCTACTCAGAGTACCTTGCTATCTAAGGCAACACGGAGTTCATAAGGAACATCTGCCATCCATTCTGTGGATTTTCCTACAGAGGTTTTTAGAGGTATAATAGTGCCACCACGCTGAAATACTGGAATCTACAAATATGAACAAGCAAAACAATTTAAAATACAAAATATCTCATCTGAATGAAGGATGGTAGACAATAGGCACATTCCCTTATATTTCTCTTATGCAAATATTGCTATTAGACAACTAAAAACTAGGCCCCATTCTTCCAGGTCTGCTATCTAGCCATGGCTATATGAATGTCTTGCATTACAGAAAGTAAGTCTATTTATAAATGCGTATTTATTTTATACATCATGACAGAAAATTTACCAATAGTACAAGCCTCAGTGAGAGTTTTTTTATTTTTAGGAAAAAGATAAGTGTCACATTCACTTCCTCTCTACACTGTAATCTACTGTACATTCAGAATCTGCTGAGATCAGAAGATTCTTCACCACAGTTTAATATCTTTAACGATCTCATGTAAAACAGCCATATCACTTCTACATGATGTGAAGTTTATTCTTTTATAGAGTAGCTTTAATGATCTTGAAAACTTAAGGGAATATCAAATGCTACGTCAATAAATATGTATTTCCAGTTTAAAATGAATTGTCCTGATTGACCAGTGAATATTGGAGGAGAAGGTTTCTTTTAAAAAATTGTCAGATCAGTGATACTAAACCACAAACATACACTGTTCAATGTCACTGGGATCTTCAGTAGGCCTTGACCTTTCAGACATCTAAATTTTCGAAATTCATACCAGATCTGTAGGCAAAAAAGAGCAGTCATGAATCACAGATTTACAAATCTACAAACAGCTCATAAATAACCATTACCACAAAGGCAGTAAAACAGCAAAGGAAATAAGATTAATAAGATGCATCATGATGATCACTGAAATCAATGAAAAGCTTGTTGTTACAAAAAGGCTTTATGTTTCCTTGCAAAAACATATCACAGTGGCATAAATACACTTTTAGTTTCAAGGAAAATTCCAATGGAATTTCCATTATTTATCACCAGCAAGTCCCATTCATTTCAATGGGTCTTTTCCTCGGGACTGAAATTAGATTTAGCCCCATGTCCATTCATGTTTCATTCAAGGCCTTGGAGTCCTCACAGAGAAGACTTTGAACTGCTAGAGAGCAGATTTTATCTCACTGCTGTCAGCTTTAACAAATAAAGAGGTACAGTGGTGCCTCGCTAGACAGTTACCCCGCATGACAGTTTTTTCGCTAGACATTGACTTTTTGTGATCACTATAGCGATTTGCAAAACAGTGATTCCTATGGGGGAATTTCGCTGGACCATGTTTGGTCCCTGTTTCGCAAACTGATTTTCGCTAGATGACAATTTTGACAGCTCCCTCCGCGCTTGCAAAACACGTGTTTTCGGGACCTGAGCTTTGCAAGACAGCGATTTAAACAGCTGATCGGCGGTTCGCAAAGCGGCTTTCCTATGGCCGATCTTTGCTAGACAACGATGATTCTTCTCAATTGGAACACATTAAATAGGTTTCAATGCATTCCAATGGGGAAATGCTTTTCGCTAGACAATGACTTCGCTAAACAGCGATTTCAGTGGAACAGATTATCATCGTCTAGTGAGGCACCACTGTATTTCTATTTATGGCCCAAGACTAAAGAGGATTTCAAAGTTAAGGGCAACATCTTCATTTGGGTTCAGAATCCCAGAAGCAGCTTGTGCTGTTGTCACAATAATCACTGAGATTGCTTGGGCATTAGGAAACTGTTGTTTTGGTTGCCAAGGTTAGCACACCAATCAAACATCAGCCAAGACATTGGCTACCTTGGTACTTGATACTAGCTCTTCCAGATCTCCTAGAAATCATTTGTGACCATAAATCAGACCATACAGATGATCTTGGATAGTACTGAAGATATCTCCATTCTTGTGATTCTACTATTTAATTCCTGCTACAGTGGTACCTCGCAAGATGACGACTCCGCTGTACGGCATATTCGCAGGACGGTGACTTTTTGCGATTGCTAGGTACTTGATACTAGCTCTTCCAGATCTCCTAGAAATCATTTGTGACCATAAATCAGACCATACAGATGATCTTGGATAGTACTGAAGATATCTCCATTCTTGTGATTCTACTATTTAATTCCTGCTACAGTGGTACCTCGCAAGATGACGACTCCGCTGTACGGCATATTCGCAGGACGGTGACTTTTTGCGATTGCTATGGGGGAATTCCGCTTGACGACAATTCGATCCGTGCTTCGCGGACCGTTTATTCGCAAGAAGACGATCTTCGTTGTGTTCCTAAAATGGCTGCCCTGGGTTTTCCGGACCCATACTTCGCAGGGCAGCCATCTTAACAGCTGATTGGTGCTCAGAAAATGGCTTTCCCTATGGGTGATCTTCGCTGGACGATGAGGTAATTTCCCCATTGGAACGCATTAAATGGGTTTCAATGCATTCCAATGGGGAAATGCTTTTCGCTAGACAATGACTTCGCTAAACAGCGATTTCAGTGGAACAGATTATCATCGTCTAGTGAGGCACCACTGTATTTCTATTTATGGCCCAAGACTAAAGAGGATTTCAAAGTTAAGGGCAACATCTTCATTTGGGTTCAGAATCCCAGAAGCAGCTTGTGCTGTTGTCACAATAATCACTGAGATTGCTTGGGCATTAGGAAACTGTTGTTTTGGTTGCCAAGGTTAGCACACCAATCAAACATCAGCCAAGACATTGGCTACCTTGGTACTTGATACTAGCTCTTCCAGATCTCCTAGAAATCATTTGTGACCATAAATCAGACCATGCAGATCATCTTGGATAGTACTGAAGATGTCTCAGTTCTTGTGATTCTACTATTTAATTCCTGCTACAGTGGTACCTCGCAAGATGACGACCCCGCTGTACGACATATTCACAGGACAGTGACTTTTTGCGATTGCTATGGGGGAATTCCGCTTGACGACAATTCGATCCGTGCTTCGCGGACCGTTTATTCGCAAGAAGACGATCTTTGTTGCGTTCCTAAAATGGCTGCCCTGTGTTTTCCAGACCCATACTTCGCAGGGCAGCCATCTTAACAGCTGATTGGTGCTCGGAAAATGGCTTTCCCTATGTGTGATCTTCGCTGGACGATGAGATAATTTCCCCATTGGAACGCATTAAATGGGTTTCAATGCATTCCAATGGGGAATTGTTTTTCGCATGACGACAATTTCGCTTAGCAGCAATTTTCCCAGAACGGATTATCGTCGTCATGCGGGGCACCACTGTAATTTTGTTTCACTATGTAGCCAAGTGCTACACAGAAGTCTTGAGCAGCAGTACATGTTTTCATTAGATTACTGTTACTATGTGTGTAATCTGTGATCATACAGGTATACTGAATACAATCAGTAATCTGATTTTGGTCCAGAGACATACAGAAAGGCATATAAAATAAGAGAAAAAATAAAGAACAGCAGCTTTGCGTACCTCATGTGAGTCAGGGAGAAAGACATTGACAGTAGTGACTTTGGGTTCAGTTACTGGATACACTAACAAAGCATTTCCTGAATTACAAACACACAGATAGTAAAGGACAGTACAATGGAACAGTAGCATTATTTTGTGATCAGCTAATTGTTCTATTATGAATTCCATGAAGGTAGGCATCCTTCAGTCTCGAGGGACTATGGTAACGTGCTCTGAATAGAGGACTTGGAACAGTGTCTAGTGTGTCTGAGAAGGCCATTTCAAGAGTGACAATCCCTTCCACACTGAAGACAAATACAATCTGTCCCGTCCAGCTCCCTGATTCTGCTCGTTTCAGGACTGCCTCTTTGCCGCGGCTTGCTGGACAAGTGTCTCTTCAAAATGGGAGAGGTCATTATGCACCACCTGCCTCCAGGCTGAACACTCAGATGCCAAGGTTTCCCTTCTGTTGAGGTCCATTCCTAAGGCCTTCAGATCCTGCTTGCAGATATCCTTGTATCCTTGTATGAATTCCATACTGCATTTGGAAAACCCTTACTTCACTGTCTATCAGTGCTGTGTCTAATAGCTGTGCCAGAATGATTGCAGAAGTCTTATTTGAATATTTTAGCAGAGGCACATTCTAAAGTATTAATAATTTCTAAATACAGGACTATCTCCCCCATATAAAAAACTTCCACACCTTCATACAGTTACTGGACATTTTAAGACTTTCTTGGAAATATGGCATGTCTCCCAAGGAAAGTCATCAACAGACCACTCCAACAGCTACCATGGAAAGTCCAGTACTCAATTAACTATGTCAGTCATATAAGTAGATTTGAAGCAGCAAGTGCAGAATGAAGCAATTTCCCACTTGCACTGTGAAAGATGAGAAGTGCTTAAATGTCATCCCAGTTCCACAGATTAGAATTCTTTATATTAATCCCAATCACCATGATACATGCCGCCCTGCTATCCTGTTTTTGTGCATTGTCCTTCTGTTTAGCTGTCACCATCTGCAGATTATACCACTGCCATGATTTATAAAATATTTGTGCCCGTGGAACGTTTAAACTCACCAAGCATATACTCATCTTCAATGCCAAAGGTTTCCAGACACTTGGGGAATTCTACCCACATAGGCCTACAAAAACATAGGAAGTAGAATATGAAAATGGTTCTCCTTTACAAAGATGCACTTTATAAATTATACCAAATACGTAGGATGACAGATATCCATTTTCTCCTTCTTGTCCCACGGTTAATGTCATGGTTCTGATTCTTGGTGTTCAAATGGTCTTTTAGGCATTTAAACTGAACAAAGGCTCATTATATTTAAATAATTTTCTTTTAATTAAAAAGGGAGAATTTTCAAAGGCACTACTGATTGATGCAAAAGCATGGGCTAAATCCAATCTTAGTAACTAGAGCAGACCCAATGAAATATGTGAGACTTATAGTTCTGTTCTGTACTGTTTTCAACAACAGTGCATTCTAACTGTAACTAAAATTGGGATTTAGCCCTAAGAACTAATTATACTTGAACACATTTTTTGCTTCTGGCATACTTTTGCCTTCCTTGAAAGTTTAGAGAACTTTTCAGATTTCTACAAGTATTTTCTGTTAAATCTACCACAGTAAGATTCCCCCCCCCCCAATTAGTAAAGATGTATGCAGGATTAAGAAATCTGCCTTAGTTGGTATGAAACTTGGGTTATTGATTGTTAAATGTCTAGTAACATTAAAAGCCATCTTTATATTGTTTTATGTGTAGCAGTCTTGGGCCTGTTGGTTAAAGGCAAATTGATGTTTGTGTGGATTATACTATATCATGGACTAAAATGATGAGGACAACTCTCAGCAAGCCTTGGGTTCCTAAACATACCACAGCCCAGCAGGGTTATCATAAAACCAGAAATTTTGATTTTAGATTGAATATAGTTTAACATGTTGTCAGAATCCTAACATGGAGCTATTCTTAACCTTGATTACTAGAAAGTGACTATTCCTACAATCAACCACAGCTGGTTGGTTTTGAACAACACAAAAAGGTACAGTTAATAAAAAGGATAAACAAGCCCTTCTGAATGCTAGATGAGTTACAAGTAATGTCTATAGTGTAACATAAATTTTGATTCAAGCCTGAGACAAACGCAGAATCTTTAAAAATAATTTTGAGCAAAGCCAGAGAAGAATGCAGACTCTTTAAAAGCTTGTCTTTTCATTTGGGTGGGCTTCTACAAGCCCCTGATGTTTACATCTAAACCTGCCTTCGGCAAATCAACCATTGTCTCTACACAGAACACAGCTAAAACATTTTTTACAATTAAGTGTGCGTATCATTTTCCAACATTTTGTCAGATATTCTATTGATTTCTTCATGTCCTCTGTTCTTCTTGGACTGTGCTGTTTCGTTGATAGCTGGAACCAAAATGTGCCTGCCTTTTAAAAGCATAAATTTTAATATGAAGCAGAAACAATTCTCTTTCATTTACTAATTTACCTCATGACAGGTTCAGCAGCTGTATGGGCTCGGTAGAACAAGGAATACAGGTAAGGAAGAAGGGTGTAACGCTCCTTGATTGCCTCTCTGATGATCCGTGTGTTTTCTTCACCAAACAACCAAGGCTCACGACGCTTGGTGTGCATATTGGCATGGCCCCTAAAGAAAGGCTGGAATGCACCTGCCTGATACCATCGAACAAGTAGCTCTGGTTCTGGATCTCCTACAAATCCACCCACGTCCGCTGGAATTCAGAAAAAAGTGTATTTTTTAAAAAAGAAACTGCTTAAGAATGCAAATGTCCTGGACTCATCACCAGCTAGATTGCACTTTTTTGTGTGTGGGGGGGATACAAATCTTTGTCCCCACAGAAGCTGATTTAGAGGAAATAAGCTATTGGCTGAAATACTTTTAATTTTCGTCCAAAGTTTGTGTAACTTCCTGTGGCTAGTTGAACAGATCCAGAGGCACCTCTCAGTTGCACATGATGGAGGCATGCCCTGTCACCTTGCCAATTAGCCATGGCAAATTATGCAAATGCCCATAGAATCCTGGTCACTGTTAACTTTTTACTATGCCTATAGAAAGCTCGTTTTCTGAATCTACCACCCAAAAAACTGGAACTGTCTTCTTCCCAAAGAAGAGTGGTAGCTTAACAGCACGACACATTATGTACATTCCATGCAAATGTTCCCGAGTGTTCCTCACTCTTTGCCTTTTGCAAGAAGGCCTGGGAAAGAGCTCAGTCGGTGCACATAAAAATGAGCTTAAATTGACCAATGATCTGCCATGGTACAAAGCAGCCTTTTACCTTTTATATGGACGGATGCACTCACTCATAGCTCTCCAAATGAACATACTCCCATTGGACACCAACACCACAATCCTCAATACCAATCCTCATTTATCCCCGCCCCACCCCGCAGGCACTGTGTTTCAAGCTGCAAATTAGTTTATAATTTGTTTTAGCATTGTACTTCTGTTTGATAGTGGATTAGGAGGAAGGGCAGTATAAAATGTTATAAAATATTTACATAAATACAGAATGAAGTCTCAAAAACTTGTGAAGATCCAAGAAAAATGGTGCCATTTCCTTTGTTAGATGAGAGTCACAAACAATCCCCTACCTCCACAGAAAGAAATTCCAGCAATACTGATTGTCAGCAACATTGGAATGCTGATTTTCAAGTAATCCCACTCTGCTTTGTTGTCTCCAGTCCACACTGCACCTGGGAAGAGCAAAATCACACCGGAGGGTTGCAATCCTATGTACCATGGCAAAATTAATTGCAATCAATGGGTTTCATTCTAGGTGCATAAGCTTTAGGACCACTGGCTATGGAATGCCAATCCCTCTACTGTCCTTACAGTAACTGAAGGTGCACAGAGATCATAACATAGATTAGTCATACATTAGCTGTGCATCCCTGTCATGACTGCTGAGCTGTTTTCTGTAAGGAGGCAAAAGGAGTGTGACTGAATTGTGCTGGTATACATTGCACTGTTGTCACTAAGAGAACAAGGTGTGTCATGTTGCTCAGATTAGAGGAAATCCATTACAATGTTCAATTTCATTAATAAAGATGAGGATGGTAAATCAAAAATTTACTAAGGATGCAACTACACTGGAAAGCTGAATTGAAATGATTCACAAAGACGATAAATCAAAAATTTACTAAGGGTGAGACTACCCTGGAAAGCTGAATTGAAATGATTCAGCTTTCTTGCAATTCGATTCACTTGTTAGCGCTCACATGGAGGCTACAGATTGATTCAGAAATTCACTATTCATACTGGGTGCAATATGAGTTGCGTTTCAGCCCACAATCCCCAGTTCTTTGGTTTAAATCAAATCCGCTCTGCTGAAGAACAACTACAACTCTTTTTTGACACATACCATACTTCTGTGATCCAGCAAAAAAAGAACGTGTGAGAACAAAAGGCCTCTCCAGCCCTCCACTACGTCTGATTAGTCCTTCGGCAGTTGCCATTTGCTGAAAGACATCAGAGTAACTAAGAAGAAAAATACTATTCTCAAAACAATTCTTATATATTCACATACGTAAGGCCCAGAACTACTGTTCTGCCATAACAGTACGCTGTACTGCAGCTAAAACTGTGCTCACGACCTGGGGTTCAAAACCCAGGTAGCCGGCTCAAGGTTGACTCAGCCTTCCATCCTTCCGAGGTCAGTAAAATGAGTACCCAGCAGTTGCCATTTGCTGAAAGACATCAGAGTAACTAAGAAGAAAAATACTATTCTCAAAACAATTCTTATATATTCACATATGTAAGGCCCAGAACTACTGTTCTGCTATAACTAACAAATAAGACTCTGGTTGAGATTATTAATTCTACAATTATTTATTATTATTCATGTAAGAATAACTATATGTATGCCAAAGTAAAAAGGTAAAATAAAAACACTGTATTTTTTATTAAGAATCATAATAAAAATTAAATGTTCCATCTGCATTATCATACCTGGTAAAACCCATAGAGGTTATGAACCTCTCGATGCTCCCATTTGCCATGATGGATGGCATCCTTCTGCATAGTGAGTTCTACCCCTTTGAAGACTGATGGCTCATTCATGTCATTCCAGGCAAAAAGGATTTCAGATGAGCCCTATGAAATAACATTTAAGATGCTTTAAAATGACTAATTAAATCCAGGTTTAATTAAACTATGCACCAACCAGAACTACAGTTCTCATATGTTTTTTTAAAAAGGCTCTAAGGAGATGAAAGAAGGAATTATGATTGGTTGGCATCTACCCATCCATAAAATAATGGGTGAAACTCAATTAGTGTCCTTTGGCAAGAAAAGGCTTCCATCCTTGGAAAGGAGGAGGGATTTTCAGCTAATTCCCTTGTAGCCCCCAGACCCCGCCCCCTTCTAATTTAAAAGGGTTCTCCATTGTCCACAATACTTTGGAAAAACAGGGATCTACATGGGGCAGAGACAATGTTGAAATCTGCTCTCCTTTCCATTCTTCTAATAAGCTTTCTGGTTGCCAGAGGGATACAACTTCAATCTCTCCCACTCATCCTGTTTTAGGCATTGGCTTTATTGATAGTGGCACTTCAACATTTCTACAAGTAACTGGCTTCTTTGCAGATTGCACTAATAGCATTGACATCAGTGTTTTCCCTCCCTCTTTGGTCTGCACCTGGGATACGAGTAAGCAGAGCGAGTCACAACACAAAGTTTTCCTTCTAAAATGACATTCAAAATGACAAAATTGGGAGGTACATGTTGAGTAAGTCACTTTTAGTGTAGAAAGATCTGGAGGTGGAAGAGCTGCTTAAAAGGTACAGTCCCTTTGACTGCAGTCCATCCTCCTTGTGTGAACTACATTGCTCCCTTTAATCTCTTATGGTTTCTCTATCTTTCTGAGTAGAGAGGATTGTTCAACAGCCAACCCACCTTAAACCTGTCTTGTTATACTCAGGATCATTCTTATGTGCGCTCATCAAATATAAGCTCCTGACTTTGTAAAAGCTGAGTTTCTCTGCCTCTGTCCTCTGTTTTTAAGGATTCAGCCACAAAATATCATAGAACACAAACCTTATATGTTTTGAATGCAAATTGATCTGCATACCAGTTTCGAACTTCAGGATTGGTGAAATCCAAGTAACAAGAGGGACCTGTGGATATGGGAACAATACTGCATTTTCAGAATAAAGCAAATTTTTTTTATTTTGTTATCCAAATAAAGTTCTACAAAATACTACTAATAAGCAAGCAAATACAGTTAGTCAGGTAGACAGCAGAGAGATCTTAGGCTTTACTACTCTGTTAGGAACTGACATACAAATATGAGCTTCAAGAAAGATTTTCTACATGACTGTAGCAAGGAGAGGGAAAGGCTAAATTTCATTCCATAGTCGTAGTCATCTTGATAATTACTAGTTTCTCCTGGCTGACGGTATTTGCAATTAAAATAACAATGTGTATGTTAAATGTAAAAACAAATTTAACATCACATGGAACTTGGCAGGCAAACCTATCCACAAAAATGGAGACTCCGGGAGAGAGGACCTGGCTCTCTAGCTTCTTATACCTCCGTGCATGCTCTGTAATGTAGTTTTGACACTGGATCAATGCTGAATAATCAAATGTATAAGCTTAGAATAAATACTGAAGATACTTAGTTAGATGCGGAGTAATTTATTTGAACATGGGCCACATTGAAATCAATGAGACAAATTCTTCATGAATTAAGTCCCACGGTTTTCAGTGGAAATGAAGCTCAACTAACCTAATCTAGATCCAGCCTATCTCAGGACATTGTTAGCCATAAATATAGGCATAAAGTGTGTAGAAGTAGTGTATTTTTGGTCCAGCTGAACAACACCTGATTAACTAAAGCTTAAGGCACGAGATACCCAGTGTAGTGTAGTGGACAGAATCATGGACTGGGATTCTGGAGACCAGGGTTCTCCGCTCAGTCATTGAAACTGACTGGAGGAGTGGAACTGGTAAAACCGCTCCTTAAATATGTCATCTTGAAAGCCCTGTTAGGGTCACTATAAGTTGGTTCCGACTTGATAGGACTTTACAAATCAGGGGACAGAAACCCTTGGCCCATGGGCTTAATATGGCCCACATATGGTCCCATTCTGACCTGAAAAGGGTTTAGGGACACTCCTTCCTAAACCCTATCTTCAGGGGATTCTCCTGCTCTCCATTCACTGTCCTTACAGCAGACAGAGTGAAGAGGAGGGGAATCTCCGATTAGTGGGGATTGTCCCATCCAATTCACAAGCCAGAAGCATGAGGTGGAATCCCTGCTATTATCACCAATTTCAAATGAAGACAGAAAATTAGCATGAAGTTTTGTATTTAAATTTGGTCACAAACAGAAGATGATCAAGAAATCATGTTATTTCTGGTGAACAAATCAGTTATAACAACAACAAAATTTATACTAATTTATTTCTTTAATGAGATTTGTAGCAGTAAAGATGAAGGATCATTACCTGGCCAACAGATACCCTCAAAATCATCACCTTTACGATCTTTTACAAAATATCCTCTCTCTTTTGCCTGTGAATATATGGTATACAGTGGATCGACCTTAATATGGGGGTCCAGAATAACAACAAGCTGCACATGAGAGGAAAAAAAGTAAGGTAATTTTTTTTGTTGACTGTTCAGTACCTACCTACCCAACCAAACCAACCAAACCCACCAAACCAAACCCTGTCCTCTGAAGATGCTGGCTACAGAGACTGTCGAAACATTAGGAAGAACAACCTTCAGAACACAGCCAAAGAACCCAAAAAACCCACAACAACCAAAAGCCATAGAGACATAGCCTTGAGAGAACAAGGCTTCCTTCATAGTGTCTTTTGAGCAACTGGGACTGCAACACCTTAAATCTTGTAAATGTAAAGACTGTACTGTTCAATATGCTCCAGGAAGGTTTAGGAGTTACAAATTTCTAATCATTTCAGAGAAAGGCCTAAAAAAATTACAACCACTTCATCAACCACCTGGGTTTTACAAAAGCCTAATGCCGCCTGAAGAAGTATTTGATTAGCTCACACTGAATAACTTTAACATGGAGATATTTACAAATGTGTGATACCTTATAAAATAAAGTAGGGTCACGGTACCAGCAGGGGATTGGGACTAAGCCCCTGTGTGGATGCCTAAAAACTGCAGATACCAAACCCTATGTAGAGGACTTTCTCTAGTTCCCTCTGGAAGCTTGTTATCTTGGAAATACATATTTCTGGGCGTCTTCATATAAAATTTTTAATTTTTCCAGAGTGAGGATAAATGAAATTATGGATACTGATCCTGTGGATACTAAATTCCTACTGTATTCTAAGAGGTAAGGATCTCTTAGCATGCTTCACCACACATTCCTCTCATGTTAATTTTTAAATTGAGTTCCAGCTTTGAGTATGCACTCTCTTATATGTAATAAAGAGTAGGAGCGGGACATTCAAAGGTGGATGAATTCACGGTAAGACTAGGATTAATACAGTGCTATAGAACTTAATTTTTTCCACACATTCAAACAAGAGAATGCAGTTCTATATTTCCTACAGGAAACTGTTCATATCTCTAGAAATGTAGGTACCATAGGTTTTTAAATGAAATGTAGATGCTTTAGCTCTGCATTAATTGGGCACTGGACTCACTGCCTTTGGACTACCTTCCAAGTCTACAATTCTATGATTCCATTAGTCCTCACTGGCTATAGGAATAGTAGTTTATGTGCTTCCCTTTTAAAATCCATCCATAAAACACATGCATTTTAATACCACTGTATCTAGTTCTCTGTATTAATGCTGAAATATTTTAATGACGCTGCTTTAGCCATTCCTAATTAGCCATTGAAGAAAGTCTACTTGGAAAAAGCTGTTTCAGAAATGAAACATGTTTCAGAATTTGAAAAGGAAGTTTACCAGCATAAAAGGCTTCTCTTATAACTGTTTCTGGATTCAAGCCATAACATTCATTTTAAAAATCTGGCTGTGAATGTACACTCTGGATGTTCAGTGCTGTTCTGGGAAACCACATGGGCTATAGACTTCTGTGAGAGGGGGAAAAAAAACCTCTCTCTAATCTACCTGCGTTATGTACCTTCCGTTTTTTCTTCATAAGTATTTGCTTTTGCATTCGCTCAGGATTGCCAAATTTCTTTTTATCCCAAGTGAAGTAGCGCTTGCCATCTGTATGCTCAATATCCAGCCATATAACATCATATGGGATGTTAGATACATCAAAGCTTGTATCTACCATTTCCACATCCTTCTCATCTTCATAATTCCAACGGCACTGGTGGTAGCCAAGGGAGAAGAGGGGAGGCAAGGCTTGAGTACCTGACAGAAGCAAGGAAATAAATAACAAAGTCCTCCAAACTAAAATCAGTACCATCACTGAGTACTCAATACCTTCATTGCTCTTGCTTGCTCTTTTAGCACATGTCTCCAGAGCAGGTCCCTGTATTATTTATTTATTTATTTATTTANTTTGTTTGTTTGTTTGTTTGTTTATTTATTTGTTTATTTATTTATTTATTTATTTAGTTAGTTAGTTAGTTAGTTAGTTAGTTAGTTGAGCACCATACTAGCATCACAACTTCATAATTAAGGCAACTTTTATTCCTTTTCCTAACTTTGGGACAGGAACAAAGATTGCACACAATATCCAAAGAAAACAAAGCAAAACAAGTAAAAAACATGTGGCACCTTAAAAACTATTATATTTTAATGGGAGCATTTGGGGAATAATCCATTTCATTAGAAATATGGAAGCATTTCAGGATCACAATAATCATTTATGTGGCTTTGCAAGCAGGAGTTAGTTCTAATGTAATGGGTTGAAGACACAGACCACAGCAACCATGCTGAAGCTATGCAGCGCTGTGTATGATTAGTGACTGGAGAATCCAATACATGCCTTCTTGAATTTGATAGTTCATAAAAGTGGTGTATAAAATGGCACATACCTTATATTATTGCATGCAATACAATGAACAAAGGGGAAAAAACACAAATCCTTCTGCATCTATTAGACACATAAGCGAAGCTGAAGTAGATAGTTAATTAACCTGTCTGTGAGGTGCTACTTTTAAAAAGTTTATCTACAAGACTCTGCTGTAACAATGCTTTTGTATTTTAAGTGTAAATAGATGGCCCTTTCTTTTTTAAATATATTTGTCGGATTTGTCACCTGAATGTTTTAAGTCTCTCTTTTTATCATTTTCCATTTTAAGAAAGAGTAAGAATACTACAGAATTAAATATTAAATGTTGCCTTTTTGCTATGAGACCATACCTGTCAACTGTGCATACTGCTTAAATGTATGAAAAGGACTGGGTCCCATTAGGATGAAAGTGTCAATTATTCCACTTTCTGACATCCAGCGCACATCAGTTTGAGGCAGAATTCTCTGCTTTGAAATATCTGGAGTTCTGGAAGGCAAAACCTTTGAAACACATACATACAGAAACTGAGACAACTGCATAAGGATTTTCCATTCTGGCAGAGATATCACATGACTTTTTACAGCATAAGTAACCAAACATAGACGTCTCAGAAGAGGTGAGGATGTCAGTTCAACGTATGTTCTTTTACTTAAGTAAACATCTAGAAAATTACTATGAGAGAAGGGGACAGTTGTTTATTTTTACTACATGTCCCACAATACCCAGCCAGTATGGCTACTGGCCATGCTGGCTACAGTATTCTAAGAATAACTAATTCTCAATTTAAAAAAAAAACCCTCCCCCCCGCCTCCGTTACTAATCCCCCAATGCACTGCAGCCCCACTTTCACACACAAGCAAGACTGCAGGGCTGTGCTCACCTCCAGAGCCGCTTTTGTATCAATCTCCACCAGCGTTTCTGAGGAATTCAGCCAAAACAACCCAATGGTCCTGTCAGGCTTGTGTGCTAACAACAAGGGCACTGAACCATAAATGCCCATTTTACTGTGGATCTGGTATCCAAAGACATCGAGGTTATAAAGCCGGTAGACGTCGTCATCACTAGATCAGAAAGACAGACACAGGGCTTGTAGAAAGGATTTTGCTTACACTCGATACAGCAGTGCTATTTTGGTTCATCCCAATGTCAGAGATGGACATTAAAAATTTAACAATTGCCTTGGAAAGCCAATAGTACCAGCAGAAGTAGTTGCTCACATTAATAGTCTATGGGATGAAGTGAGCGATTTCTGAGCTGTGTTTTATGCTAGAGTACCTTCCTATAGAAAGGCTGACGTATAAAATATGTTTTGTGTTTTTTCTGACTGCTGCTATTCTGTTCTGTTTTAGTATTTTCAACAAAAGAATAGCTCCTGTTCAATCGCACCAAAGGCCTCTCTGTTCTAGAACCTTCTTTCACACAATGCCCGATCATGCGCTTGTGAACAGACCAAAAGCAGGACATGACAGCAACAGCACCCTCCCTCTGTAGGTCCCCAGGAGCAATTCTTAACACCAATATGTGTCCTGGTGTGAGCAACAGCACCCTCCCTCTGTCCTCAGGAGTAATTCTTAACACCAATATGTGTCCTGGTGTCCTTGTCTCCTTTGTTTATATGCCAGGACTATGAACACCCCTCCCCTGTTTTTTTCTGAGCTGATGCAATAGCAAGGAAATTCTGGATCACAATTACACAGCTTGAGAATGTCAATGGCCAAATAAACAACACAGCTTCTGCGAGAGATGCTGTTTCTGGGTAGAAAATGAATGAAAACAATCTGCAACAAAAGAAGCTGTGTGTGAGGCTGTGGACTAAGAAAGTGAGCAAAAAGAGAATTCACGTAGCATGGAAAGGATGAGAACAGGGTTGTAGATGAAGTATGGCTTGAATCAAGGAGTAGAGTAGGCGATGGGCTTTGAGTCAGTGACATGTTTGGTGGAGGATAGAAAGAGGTCAAACACAAACAGGAACACGAGGAATATTTCATACAGGGTTTTAAGAGAACAGAGGCTATTGGCAAGATGTTGATATTAAGAAGACAGTGTCCTTGTATTGGATGACCAAAGAAAAGGAACAGAGCAGGTAGTTGGCACAGAAGCAGAAATCTTTTAAAATATGGAGTGATGGGGGAGACACAAGTAGAGGAAAGGAGAATCAAAAGAAAATGGTGCTTGGAAAATCTTTAGACATTACCAAGGTGGAGTAGAGGCTGTTTGATGCAGGCAAGAAAGGATAGGCAGGGTGTCTATAAAAGCTGGTGAAGCGGAAAGCAGGGTAGGAAATGGAGAACAAAGCTGAAAGTGACAAGAGGTTGAATTCCATTTATTACTTTAATCCAACCAGTCAATCTTGGACTGCGGGTTTCTAATCCTCGGAATGTTTGTGACCACTCAATGTCTATCAATTTCATTACCTGGTGTTTTTAAGAAGAAGTGTCTCTGCATGCTGAGGTATCCCATAGATGTGTTCAAATCCATACAAAGAAAAATCTAAGCCTATACTGCTAGGACCTGGAAGAACAACAGTGAGACAGAACAAGCACTCTGAGGTAATGGAACACACAATATAAATATGGTCTGGTTGGTATCTGATTCAAAATTGATTTCCACTGAGGGTCTTTGTTTTCTATTATGCATAGACAAGCTGTCGTTAGTCGCAGAAATCCTGATAATACCACAATACAACTGAGCCAAGAATCATAGGTCAACTAAGTGGCTCAGCCATCCCATCCAAATACTGTATACAAAGCAAAATCACTAGCACCAGCCCCTCAAACTAAATGTAAACATGAGTCACAATTAGCCAAAGTGATAAGCTAGAATTGCAGAAACATTTTAAGACTACATTTACCATTTGCTTTGATATCTAAAAAACTGCCAAATTTCTCTTCCCATAGACCTAGGTCTTCTTGATTTTCCTGCATGGATAAACATAATAAAAATGCAACTTTACTGACTTTTCATACATTGCCAACAAAATCCTCTATATGTACATTTGGAAAACCTAGCTGTGTTATTACAGAGGCAGACTGAATTTGAAAAAAAAAACCCAGGCAAGAGTGAGAAACCTGTCTGGCAAGGGTGCTCAAATGGTGATTTGGGATGTATATCAGGGGTCACATTTGAGCAGGGCCTGAATGTACAGATCCAGGGCAGGGCTAAGGACACAGCAGATGGGAACAAAGCAAAGTGGGCACAAGCAAGCAAGTTCCTTACCAATTTGGACCTTTTCTCACCAAGCATAAAAAGCTTTGTGTACTCAGGAATAAAGCCAGTGCAACAGCTTTGAAGCCTGCAAAGCACAACTCTGCTCTACATATGCCAACTCAGGAATAAGTCCCAGGGCAAAAACTGTCAGCCATGTGATTATCCCTATGTTTAATGTAGCCCACAGTTCTCAATTAGGGGAGAAATATGTCCTGGACAAATTCACAAGGCCAGTGTCTACAAATATAAGGTAGCTTTACCTTTGGAGAATCAACAGATCCATCTTTCTTTTTTTGCAGTGTAGACTCCCTAATAAAAACAAGCCCAAGAATAGTTACTTAGCATATTTCAGTTTATTAACTTACCAACAATTTCAGTGGAACTTACTTCTGAGTAACAACATTTAAGTTTTGCAGCCTGAGATGTTTTATCCCCTCTTGGACTGAAACCAACACTGAAAGCTATCACACCTGATTTGGGGGGGTGGTTGTAGCTGCTCCAAATACAACAAGCCATTTGAATTGATGCTCAGTACAACTTCTTTGTTTGAAATAAGCTGTATTTCAAAAGGATCTACTGTGATGCGAAGCTGCTGGTCTTCAGAGGCACAAACCAACACAAGCTCATCTGCATTCTTCTCTGATATTGTTAGCCTAGGAAACAGGAAAAAGAAGCAGTAGATAAAATATCTGAAAGCTTGTTTGCACACTATAACCAAGAAGAAACCAAGCAAGTGAGGAGATATATATATAAATCACTACATCCTAGTTATGTGGGGCACGGAGTACCTTCTGAGATGGCCCATAGTCCTAGCTGAGGAAGGGTATCTCACCCAGAAAAGTTATCTTTCCTTAATCCACAGGTGGCTGATGAAACTCCTTTCACACTTGGATACATCTTGGGACATATAAATATATGTAGCTAAGCATATGACCATCTTAACGTAATTCATATTATGCAATCAGAGTAACTCATATAATAAAAATGCATCATAAATACACAACTGTTCAGATTCCACATTATTTGATAATAACTTTACTAAGTGTTCAGCTTTTCAAAGAATCTCAAGATTCTGGGCATGCAATGAGGGAAGAGAAGGAAAGATGGGTATTGAGTACGGAGAAACCTGATATTGTGAAATGATATTATAGACAGGACAAAAGGAGGAGTGTTCCTTACTATCAGAAGCAATAACCAGTGCTTCTCTGGCATAGATTATATTTTTTTGGGTACAGGTGTGGAAATTTACATTTTTAACTGTATACCTCCCTGGGGAAATTCTGAGAGTTATAATCCCCGCCCTCTGTAAATCTGCACATCTCTAATTCTGAGACCTTTTTCTGTCCATAACGTGAGATAAAGTTGTACTTAAAAATCAGTCAGTCAGTCTTATCCTGGAAATGCATGATAGAAAAATCTCAGAAATATCTACTCCAAATGAATACAAACACTTTTGTCAAAGCTTAATCCTTTATGGATTTGGCTATTCCTTTCCTGTATACCTTCTATTTTATTTATTTATTTATTTATTTATTTATTTATTTATTTATTTATTTATTTATTTATTTATTTATTTATTTATTTATTTATTTATTTACAGGTAATTGTAATTTAATCTATCTATCTATCTATCTATCTATCTATCTATCTATCTATCTATCTATCTATCTATCTATCTATACCCTGCCCCCCTAGACAGCGTCTAGCTTAAATAACAATAAAAACAGCACAATCAAAATAAACAACATTCATAATTAAAAAAAACATATTTGAACATTAATATAGCATAGTCAAGATGGGGAATAAAAGAACAGAAAAGACAGAATTCAAGAATTGACATGAGGGAAAGCCTGCCTGAAAAGCCAAGTTTCTACAGTTAACAGGTAAATAAAGGCAAACACGTTATGATAAAAACAGACTTGCGTGCTACTTTGTGGACATTGTTTCCTTAAAACAGCCAGGTAGAAAATAAAACTGTTTGTGAGAAGAAGGCCTTCTTTGTACAATGAATCCAGTGCTCTTCACTACAGTATTTGGTTTGTTTAAACACTGGCTTCTAACACTGTTTTCTCTTACTTTATATTGTTATTGGACCAACACTGATGACTATGTGTTTCTGTATTTCAAATAAAAACTATATACAAACATGGTACAAATTGTGTTTGTTTTTTTCTGCATGTGCAACAGCTCCTTAAGTATGCAGCTGTCTTTTTACACCAACCGTGGGAGGGGTATTCATTGCTAATGGAAGTCAGCAATTGTTCAAGCAATTATGGAGCTCTCTGCCTGTGGATCAGTTGTGCCCTACAGTTGCTAAAAGGATATGGCAAGTCTCCAACAGTTGTTTGGGATGAAGAGGTGCACAAGATGCCAAAAGCTGCTAATTTTTCTACATTACAGCAATCAGAGTAGATCCAGTGAACCAATGCACACTTGGTAACAGAGATGCTCCAGCCCAGTGAGTCTGTTCATGATTGGACTAACTCAATTAAGGCATTTGTTTCCTTCTGACCTTTGTCTAGTTTCACCTCCATCCAAGTATGCAGCGTATATACCTGATATGTTGTCGTCTGATAAAGTGGGCTATAATCCACAAAAGGCTCATGCTATGACAAAGTTGTTAGTCTTTGAACATACCACAGGATTCTTTGGCAAAACCTCTATACCAGTGGTTCTTAACCTTTGTTACTCAGATGCTTTTGAACTGCAACTCCCAGAAACCCCAGTCAACACAGCTTGTGGTGAAGGCTTCTGGGAGTTGCAGTCCAAAACTCCTGAGTAACCCAAGGTTAAGAACCAGTGCTCTACACTATGCTCTCACATCCTGGTTTACACAGAAAAGAAATGATGTAATCGCAATTCCTCTATGCTGCTTATTTATTTGTTTGCATAACATTTGTCCCTCTCAGATCTCCCTAACCTTGAATAACCCTGAGAAACCAGATGCATAAACACCCAAGCTGTTTCTTCCCATAGCTTACCTGAGACTAGCAGGTTCTTTTATGAGAACATCGGGGACTTGGTATCTCGGTTTGAGTGGTGTTATTTCATTTATTTTAAGCCTGAAAATATTGCCTTCTATCTCATAAATTTCTACTAGAAGAGGAGCCTGGTAATGAATAAAAACAAACAAACAAACAGGTAACAATTAAAATATGCACTTAGCACACAGATCATGCTGGATTTGAGTCAGACTTTCCACCAAAAGAAGTGACTAAGATGTAGCAGCAGCTCCCCATTGGGAAATATGGGGAGAGTAGTTTTGCCAAATCTCCTTTCCTTGAAGCCCCTAGCACCCCCCCCAAACTGTTCCTGAAAACTCTTCAGCTTTCAGAATGGCTTCTCAAGAAGCCAAAGGGCTGCAGAGAGAAGGAAGAGCTGGTGAAAATTTCCTCTTCATCCTGCCATTTAACCAAGAGCTGGAATCTTCCTCATGGGAAGTCTGAATAAAACCCATTACATTTTTATTCTATTTTCTCTTCATATCACGAGGCACGGTTTTATTCTGGCACAATTCATATTAATACATCACTACAAATAAGAGCAATTATTAATTTCATATGTGCATCTGTATGCATGATAGGAAAATCAGTCACAAGCACCCCCCTCAAAACACAGAAAATACTGTAGATCTTGTTGTACATGAGAAACATGTACTGAATCCTGTCAGTGTAACTTGTGCTGTGTAAGGCTGATGATGTAATCTGCAGCACTTTTTCTGAAATCAAAAATTTCCAACTTCTGCCCAAAACTCTTGCAGTCTCATGTAATCCCACTCATCTTCAGGAAGCTGTGGGGGCTGTGAAATGGGAGTTGGACATCCTTAACTACCAAAACCACCACTGCACTGAACTTACATAGTTGTATATTTTAGCTACTCATGGTTACTCCTCTTACTAGTGTAGAAACAATGCATCATGGCAAGCTGGAAAAGGGTAGGAGAGCATAATTGTGTCAGAGATTAAGCGACAGAGAGAACTAAGATGACATTCAGTGTGGTATAGCGCAGTGGTTCTTAACCTTTGTTACTCGGATCCTTTTGAACTGCAACTCCCAGAAACCCCAGTCAGCACAGCTGGTGGTGAAGGCTTCTGGGAGTTGCAGTCCAAAACTCCTGAGTAACACAAGGTTAAGAACCAGTGGTATAGCGGATACAGTGCCTGATTAGGATTTGGAAAACTAGGTTCAAATCTCAGCTCAGCCATGAAAACTCATGTAGGGGGGTACCAATTATAAACCACGCATTGAAAATCTCACATAACTTAAAAATCCTTTTAGGGTTGCCATAATTTGGAAGTGACTTGACAGCACATAATAACAAGAAGGAACACATGGACATTGTGTGACTCTCCAAGCCAATGTGTTATACCTCTATATCCTCCAACAGTATGTTTTTAAAACACAGCTATGAGATCTTCCATTTTAAATCAGCAATACAAGTTCCAGCTGCTTTTCAAGCTCATCTTGCAGCAATTCTATAGTTATTCCAACTTATTTGGAATAAATATAGTAAACAACATTGTTTACTACATATATATAGTATATTTCCAACACCAGTTAAACCAGAAGAAAGCAGGGGAGTACCTGGACTGAGATAAGATTTTCTTTATAGGATAAGGCAATAAAAGTAAAGAAATACAATTTAAATTTGATTTTGAATTTGGTGTTGTTTATGTATGTGAATTGTTGTGTTTAATTTGATTTTGTGTTGATTTATCACACTATAAACCACCTAGGGTGGCCTTGATAGCCTGATGGGACAGTATAAAAGCTGAATACATGAATAAATAAATAAATAAATTTAAAAGGAAGGCTGTTGACAATGTTTCACCATTAAACTAATAGAAACAAGTTGGAACAAACAAAATAACCACCAATAAAGTGGGGAAGCAGTTTCTCAATGATTTAAAAGAGTGGATCTTGTCATTCCCGTCCCTCAGGGCTATTTTCTGTGCAGTTTTCCCCCCTTATATTGTATGGCCCCTAGTTTGCCTTCAAAATTAGAGATAAGCCTTCAGATTTATTGAGATCAACTACCCCTTCTGCACGATGATCCCATACTGTATTTAAAAGATTGCCTTTCTACCAGGCCCTGTTTATTCTTATTTGTAAAATAAGAATGCCTATCTGGTTCTGGGCATTTTTTGGGGAGGGGGGGAGAAAGCCATCTTGTTTTACTAGATACACTAACATTTTAGCACTGCTACCATGATTTAATAAGTACTAAGAGAAAGTAACAACTAAGGCCTCAGATAGCAACAATTTTATATTGTGGTATTTGGGCTTTTAATTACTCTTCAATAGTTATATTAGTTATTTGCCAAAACATGCTTCTCTGCAATGATAGGGATTCTTTGGCTATCCTTTACTGGTTGTCTGCCTTTGCTCCATGCCTCTTAGCAGACTTTAGGGACATCCTGGCAACAGGGCAGCCTGAGGGCACCATGAGCAGGAGTCAGGTGCCCAGGGGGAATGAAGGAGGCAGATACTGATGAGCCACACCTGTGGGCTGGGGTGGAAGCTGGGTAAGGTTGGCAGGACCAGGGCTTAGAGGAGGAGGAGGAGGACGAGGGACACTCGGGCTACTCGGGCTCAGACATGTCACTCTCTATGGACTCCGAGGGCAGGACTGGGTGGAGGCAGCAGAGGAATGGGTGCTTGTCTTCTCAACTCTCATAGAGAATGGGTTGCTGGAGGTCCAGAGCCCCTGGACTGGGGAATGGGTCCCATTCTTGCCTGCTAAAGGGTGAGGGCATGGGGGAGGAGCATTCCTATTCAGCCCATGAGATCTGATGAGCCCCAGAAGATCAAGATGACCTGCTGGGCTCCCCAGCTCCTTTCCTGGGCTAGAAAATGCCAGAAGCAGTGTCTTTGGCAGAGCACCAGAGGTAGGATGAATTCAGGGGTACGAGAGCAGGCAAGGGTCCAGCATTACCAACCCTCCTTGAAAAGCATCAGCTGGCTGGCATCAGCCTGGGAAACTATACCCTAGGTGTGGACTGTTCTTGACTGCACCAGCATAGTGACAGGAACACGTGCCCTGGTGAGAACTGGAAGCGGCAGGGCTAGTGGAGTTAATAACGCCCCCACCCCCATGCAGAGTATTGGGCTGGGGAGAACCAGGCACCCAACCCTATGTGTACTGTCCTCTCCAGCCTAATAATGGTTAGTTCAAGGAGCAGCAAAAGTCTAGACTTCATGGAGCCCGTAGTAATGGAAGACCCTCCCTGCCACTCCCACCCTGGGTGGCGGTGGCGGCAATCACACTCTAGTTGAGTGGTGTAAACTTTGGAAGAATAACATACAAACTTAATAGTTGCTGAATACTTTTCTTAAACGATCCCAGCGTATGATTAACTAGTTGTGAAAGGAAAATCTACAATGGTGATGATAATATAGTGCTTCTGACTTCTTTCAGAAGGCTACTGCTCCCAGTTAAGCAAAGTTCTCAAAGCTGAATAAAGATTATTCAAGATATATCTACAGTAATATATGAAAATATTACTTAAAAGGTAATCTATTAAAAAGGTAAATTTAAAAAAAACTTAAATAATACAACCACAATACAGATTATCTCCAACAATTCTGGGGTTATAATAGTATAATTTACTCTGATGTGTTTATGATCTTTGTATGCTTAATAATTTTAAACAGTGTTTATGGTAGGATGTTTGGTTTTTTTATTTTAACAATCTTATAATTACATTTGGTTTTTTTATTTTAAGCATGCCATACATATAACAGCAACAGTAATATGAATATAGACACAACGGCTAAAAAGATGTGAAACTGAAACAGGGAAACAATATTTGAGAAATGAATATAGACACAATGGCTAAAAAGATGTGAAACTGAAACAGGGAAGTTTCTTCTTTTAGAAAGAAGAAAGTTTCTTCTTAATACAACAATGTCTATACTTTACAGGTTAAATAATCTCCTGCCACTCTCATTTTAGACTCTATAATTTTTTGTATGGTAGGTTGCATATAACTTTTCTTGATCAATTATATTCCAAATATATTCCCACCTTGCAGTCTCCAGAAGTAATCTGGAATTTGACAGTGTTTGTTAATTCCACTGTGTCCAGTATGACTCTGTATAAGGGCTTCCCAGGACACAAAGATTTCTGACGCCTGATGAAAGAGAGAAAAAGAGAACTCACACAATCCAATCACCTCTGTAGTTATCTCCAAAAAGATAAAAGGCCTCTGCTCAAAATTGCAACTTAAATTCCATTGGCTTCAGAGGGACTGAAACCGGATTGCAATCAGTGAGTAAATCCAGTTGTTAGTCTACAAGAAGACTAATCAAATCAGAGACTTGCACAAGTCTCCACCTAGAGTGGTCACAAGACCAGTTAGATGGGATATAAATCAAATAAATAAATAAATAAGTGCTGACCTACCCAAATTCCACTGATTCAATATGTCTACTCTAGCGAATCAGTTTCCCATTTAGTAGTAGCAAGACTCAAACTAGACATCAAATAATTGTGTAACTGCAACTAGAGTAATCTGCACAATGTTTATTTTGTGTCGTTTTGTTAAGATGTATACAGCCTCTCTTCCTGCATTATGGATGAACTGTATCAACACAATGATTTTGAGGCACGTAAGAAACATGCATATCCCTTACCTATAGAAAGCAATTTGTTTGCATGTCTTAAACTCACTTCTGTCCACAGCCTCATCTTCAACACTGAATAAAAGAAAATACAATTTAAAATTCCAAGGGGAAACAAGCATGTTAACTATAACTAACAAATTCCCTTAATCCTTTGTAAAAAAATGTTGTGTACAATTAGCTTGAAGTGACTGTCCCATAACTACAGTATGTGTAAAAACTCCATAAAAACCTGGATACCCCTCAGGGGTGGCATATAATAGCAAAGAAGTGGCAGCCATTGGGCAGAAGCCTATAGGGTTAGCCTGGAATCCCAGGGAACTGGATTTGCAACAGATCCAAGGTTCCACTCCTTATAAACCCTTTCTGCAGAGAATACTGTATAGTGTTTTACATGAAGAATTTTCCTGCAGGAAAAATAGTAGTTTATAAGAATAAATAGATGGTCAATTAACATGCTTGACCACAGTGTTCTAAGTGTAGTGCTATGGTGTTTTGAATATTTTTCCAGAACAGATCATATTGAGGGTCATACTGGTGGATTAAAATAAAGAGATTTAAATTATACAAAATAAGGCATGCTTCCTCTCACACACAGAGCTTCCTTTCCTTCTTCTGCATTTTCACCAATGCATCTCTCCATTACTGTTATTTTCCAGGAGTTTGGGTTTTTTTTGGCAGAGAATCTTAGCAGAAACCAAGAAGATGGGTCTGCTAGTACTCTTTCCTTCTTGCAATGATGAATAAAAACGTCATTAACACTGACTTCAGTGTGACATGATCTACTTTTTAAAAAATAATTCTCATGGTCCACTTGTTCTGTGTTTTCAATTTAAAAAGCAAGAGTGTATCAGCAGGATTTGTAAGCAAGTAAAACAGAATTAATGTTATTTTTTGTTAGTGAAACTGTGAAGTGCACTCTTCCTTAACAATTTCCAAAGGCTTACTGGATTAGACTAAAGTTCACTTTGCCCAACTTTTCTTTCTTTCTTTCTCTTTCTGGTATAACTGCTTCACTCCACTGGAAATTGGCCAATGGAGAACTAAATGGTAGACTGTGGTTTTTACCTGCTCCCCACTCCGTAGCAGCACTACAGTTTTCTCCACGGTATGTATATTCCAGTACTGTATCTATTATCCCAATCCACTGCTAAAGATAGCAAGATTTGGGTGAAATTAATTGTAAAATTCTCTTTTGCAAACTGTCCTCGCCTTATATTTCTCACATCTAGCGTAAAGGCTTTATGCACAATACTTCAAGGTAATCACTGTAAATTTGGGGATCACACCGATCATTACCAAATACTGAATTAGCAGCTCTGTAATTGCCTACCATTACTCGTCTTAATGAATCAGAAAACACGCGTCTTAGTACTGAATTAGCAGCTCTGTAATTGCCTGCAATCATTACGCGTCTTAATGAATCAGAAAACACGCGTCTTTACCTGATTTTTTCCTGGCTGTCTGATTCCATGGACTCCTGTATTTTTGAACGATCACACCGATCACTGCCCTCACCACCCTCGCTGCACATTCGTGAGAAGGGAACACAGGCTAATACCCTTTCTCAGCCAATAGGAAGTCTTGTTTTCACTTGCTCTCACAGCATGCTGGGAAACTGAGTTTTTATTTGTGATTGCTGGGTGCACCAGTTATCGTGACAGTATCGCTAACTACCACTACTTTGTTATTGAATCAGTTTAATCACAGAAAGTCATTAGAGATTGTAACTTTGTGATTAAACGGCACCGAAAACAAACCGAGTCACTAAAATTCTGTGAGAGATCATCCTACCCAATGACAAGCTTTACATGGATGGATTGCTTTTTAATCTAAACTAGTTCCAAATCCTATGTTAGTTTACTTAAGGAAATTCCTTAACCTCTCTAAAGCACTCTACATATCAAGTATGAAAAACCGATAATCCAAGTGATTACTAAACAGGAAGTGAAAAGGTAAGATAATTTAATTTATTTTTTATTTACAGTATTTTACTTAAAACATTCATAGCCTAGGTATATGCTGTACACTACCAAACAGATTATGTTTTAGGGTGACCCATCCCAGGGTTTCCTAGGTATACCCAGTAGTATTCTTCTGGGGGCAGCCTGAGATGGTGCACCTTGCCCAAGGCTCCACAGGTTGGCTGTTCTCCCAGGAAGGATAGTAGGGAACTCCCAAAGCTTGGCTTTGCAGTCAGATTTCTAACTCACAATCTACAGAATATTTTCTCAAACCTAAAGGGGTTTTGTGATTAGTTTTGTTACAGATTAACTTTTCGTTGTTGCTTTTTGCCAGAAGGTTTCGTGGACTCCAACCCACTTCTTCAGAAGTGGTAATCAGATTAATTAGGCATAATTAAGAAATTTTGTATATCTTGGTTAAATCATCAATCCTAATGGAAACTGCAGCCAAAAAGTCAGAAGACTGGGACTAAGAAAGGCAGCAATGAAGGAACTAAAATACAATATATCATAAAATATAGGGATGTGCCATTGGAGACCAAGAGCAAGACCTGCTTGATCACGATGTATTGGTGTGAAAGTTAAGGAAGCTAATTGAAAAAAAAGTGATTAATTTTAATTAAGGTGTTGAGAGAGCGCTTTGCAAATACCCCAAGATGCCAGAAAAATAAACAGGTAGATCTTAGATCAAATCAACACTGGACTATCACTGGGGGCAAGTAGGTTGAAAGTGAGGCTGTCCTAGTTTAGAGGCAGCCTTCTCATGAGAAGGCGGGATTAAATGACCCCCCCCCCCAAATAATGCTAGGAAAGGTAGAAGGCAGCAGGAAAAGAGGAAGACCAAATATGAGATGGACTGACTTCCTAAAAGGCGTCACAGGCTTGCGTCTACAAGAGCTGAGCAGAGCGGCTGACAGGACGGGACGTCTCGGAGAGTCGCCACATAGCAATTGGATTAGTGCAACGTCCCAAAGATCTTCTGTGATTTATTTTTTAAAAATGGCACTTTAAATATTGACGTTTTGCCCATCTTTGTGGAGGTGAAATTATGATGCCACCCGGGATATTTCTGCGAATGGCGGGTTGTAATTATGGCGTCTAACTCCTTTTACAGGTGCGGCTCAACTTTCGTCCACCTTGCCAATGTAAACAAACGCGGTCCCTCCACCCGGGGCCGGAAGGAAAGCGCCCACAACTTGAAGAGAAGCGGACCAGCACATTGGCGGCTCGTAACGGGAGCGGGGGAAGGGGGGGGAGAGGCGCCCTCCGCCCCTCGCGACTGTGTGGCCGCGAGCCGGGTCACGAGAACGGCGGTAACATAGCAGGGCCCTTGGCTTCAGCGGTCCAAGCTGAGGGTTAGAAGGCACAATCCGGGAGGCGGGACAGCGGTCGCCCCGCCCACCTCAATGTGTCATCTTCCCGGTCCAATGCGGAGGCGCCCCATCACCGAGCCCCTGGCCTTCAGAAACGGAAGGGGCGGGGCCAGCGCTGCGGAGCGGGGGGTTCGCTGCTTGACCCTTTTGCTGCGGAGGGATGGCGGCGGCGGCGGCGTGGCTCGGAGGAAAGCGGCAGGCAGGGCTGTGGCCGCGGCGGCGGCTCCGCTTAGGACCGACCCTCCTGCTGCTCCTCCTCCAGCTCTTGTTTCTGTGGCCACCTGGCCCGGCCGAGGCTGGCCAGCTGTCCAAGTGGCGACTGCCGGTGCCTATGGTGAGCGCGCAGGGCGGACCGCCGCGCTATCCTTCCCTTCGCCCCCTCATGTGGAGCGGGTCAGGGACGGGTCTCCGGGAGAGAGACGGGAGGGTGGCGTGGTCTGCCCTGGAGGGCGGGCATCGGATATGCCCTTGGTGGGATTTCCCCCCTTCAGGTTCAGGTGGGCTCCCGGCCGGCGACTGGGACGCCTCGTGTCGACCAAGTGGGCAGAATCCGGAGCGCTCCTGGGTGGCTCTCTCCTTCCCCGTCTTCCGGGTCGCTCCATCTGCATCGGAGGGAGAGCCTTCGGTGGCTCCTCCTTGTTGTGGTGCAGCAACTTAAGGCCGCTGTCACTCCGGTGTGAGGAAGAATTTCTTCTTTATTTTGAGCTCTTTAGTAACTTAGCGTATTAAAAAAAAAACGGGCGTGATTCTGCTTCACTTCCTCATCTTGATTCTTGATTATTCAGTTTTAATTGGCCCACGTGTAGGCTATTACCCAGTTTTTCATGCTGGGCAACCTGAGTGTAAAATAATAAGGCAAAGCAGGCCTTGAGCCACTACAGAGTGCGTTACCCTCAACACTTCCATTTGTTACATCTTCCCCTACCTGAGATTAGAACATTTGGTTAAAAGGAAAGGGAATCTTCCTTGAGAGGTTTCTAAGTTTTGCTGTAATCCATTTCCTTTTTAAAAAGCTGCCCCCCCCAAAGGTCCTAATATTAACTTTTATAATAAAGCATATGGTTTATATTATACTGTATTACAGAACATTTCATCTATCACTCTTCACTTATCACAGCAATAAGAGCCAATGCAGGTGTTGTCCTGCACAAATAGTTGCTCATGTGAGCTGTTTAAGGTAGGCGTATATTTTTTAAAGAAGATCACAGGAACTACTGTACTTTTCTCCTGTATGCAGAAGCGACCACTAGAACATTGGAAGTAACTCTTCCTGTGTCACTTTATGTATTTGAATAAGAAGACCAGTAACTTGATTGGTAGCTAGGCCTTCAAGATAATAATTTTCACTAGCTCTTGATAATGTAATTGAGAAATGTGCTTTTTATATTCAAAGTTTGTGGGGAAATAAATATTGGGAGGGTTGTAACAGAAGCCGCCTGTTGTGGTGATAAACCCTTTGTAGGATTCCATCCAATTGTATATTTATTTCATTCATATCCTATTCTTCTTCTAATGAACATAATTCTTCTCCCCTACTCCCAGTTTTATTCTCAGAAGTCCTTGAGTGGTAGGTTAGAATGAAGTGTGGTGACTTGTTTAGGATTATTCACTGAGGATGTGCACCCGGGTCTTGTGGATCAACACAAAGTACTCTACCACACTGGCACCATATATCTGTAATAATTAGGTGGAATTTCTGGTGCATAAGTATTGCATCTGTAAAACTTTTCCAGATCTCAGATGTACTATGTATGTGTTTCAAATAATATAGTCCCCTGTTGATCTTTCTGTAACATTAATTTTGATGGAGATTTGATGTTGCCTGAAGTTTGCATACATATTTCACCAACAAAGATTTTTGTTCCAGTTCTGCCACCTTTTTTTTTTGTGGATTTTTTCACATGTTTTGTCAGCACTTCTTGACTATCTCATCAAATGATGAATTGCACATATGTGTGCCATAAATGAAATATCACTGGATCCTACTTGAACCATAAGTTATAAATTTTAAAAATGTAATAAAAATGACTTAAAATACAGTGATACTTTGCAGAATTGGTTCACACATGACTTATTTATTGGCCAATCCCCTTGGTTAAATTGTACCAACACAGGGGAAATGGGTTATCTTGTGGCAACAGATTGCTGCTAATTAAAGAGTCCCCAATTTGATTTTGCATTTCTTAAATGTAATCTCATTGCACTTGAGTTGGCTGGTGTCGTGGATGATCCGGAATCAAAGTGGCAACACTTGGTGGCAGTCTGATTCATGCAAGAATCCAATAGGGTACTGTGCTTTGGATTTTTGCAATTAGATTGCTGCTAATTAAGGAGTTCTTGCTTTGGTTTTGAGTTGCATGTGATATCACTTGATTTGTACACTGTGAGATTAAGGTTAGGCAGTTGGTTTGGACTCTTTAATTAGCAGCAGTCTGCTGCTGCAGGTTATGCTTTTTTTCTCATAGACTGGTGTAACTTAAATGAGGCTTTGGACCACTGAATTGTATATGAAGCCAGCTTTGTATCTTCATGTTTAGATACATTTCACTGATTTAAATAGGATGTAGTCCCAGAAAAGTGAGTATAGAATTGCAGGTTTCGTATTTTTCTTTTGTTACATTGTAGCAGTAGTCTAGAAAGAATATAATATGAATGTAGGAAAGTTTTACATTATTGTTTGAAAAATATGTAATCCAGTCAAAACTATGGGAAAAATATAATGCATAACACTATGTGATGACTGTTAAGTATCTAAATATTAATATTTATTTGTCTTCCATACTGTTGCTTCTTCACTTTGCTTGCTGTTTCCTATATAGGGGAAGAAATTTTTTAACTTCGGAAACATCCTCTTCAGCAACACTACAATTTTCTTAAAGTGTAAGTTTATTAATACCATAGATCTTAGTGTCTTCTGAAACTGGTACTGTTCTACAATCATTGTCCTATTATTTTTGTAGTTTCCAACCCTCTTTATCTAAGCATTTAAAAAAACACTGAACTGTATTTAACGTAGCTTCAGAAAGGCATAATGGTGCTTTTTTTTCCTTTTTAACCACTTGATTCTCAGTCCAGCTAAAGTTAGGTGTGATTAATTTCCATTAAAACCAAGTGACATTAATCACAGCTAATGTAAGCCCATTGTATTCTGTGGGATCTGAAGTAGATTCTTTTAGTATGTTTGTTCAGAGTTAGGCCTTTAATTTTAGTGGAAGTTGATTTCAGTTTAAGTGTATATGATTGTAATGCTAGGCTTCAATCTTAAATAGTGTCCTGGCAAGTGCATCTTCTTCCCACTGGACCTCTGCTCATAGGATGCTGTACTTTTGGAAGGGGTGTGTGTGATTTTTTTTACAAATACATTCGCTTGTGTCCCCTCAAAATCTGATTCATAGGCCTAGGAGACCATCTTAACATGTGCATGAGAAGGTGTGTGTGTACATGTGCATTTGTGCACACAAAGTTGGGGAGAGAACTTGCTGGCTGTTGAGGAGAGGAAATAGGTGATTGTCTCTTGCCCTTTCCTTCAGCAGAAGCTTCTTCTGTATCAAAGTCTCTTTTGTGGATGGAACTTTTCAATTTTAGGAAAAGAACTAATTCTAACCTGTTCTATTTAAGTAGATTTGGACCAAGATGTTTAGTTTAGTTTGATGGTGGTTTGAATTACTGCAATGTCATTTCTTTTATGAAAACATTAATGGTGATTGTTGTGAGCACAGTATTACTAAATGGTGTCTATATTTTTTTGCCTTTTACATCTCTGTACCACACAATACTGCTGTCATTAAAATTTTATTTGCTTATAGCATGTTTAAATGTAGCTTTTTTAGTTTAATCTCTGTATTGTGAATTGCACAAAGAACTTCAGCTTATTGGAAGGATAGAGAGTTGAATATTTCTGATCTGTTTATGACACCTTAACAAATTGATATGGATTGGTCGAACTGCCTATAACGGTTGGGCACTTTGGAAATAAAAGCATTCGGTTTATTCAGACCTGTCATCTATTTTAAATGGCCTAAATTGAACTGATAATCCCCAGTGGATTTATCATTAGCATTTGGTTGAATAGGTCTGGTCTAACTGAAATTTAGCAGTTGAATATAAGTCTGTATGTTTTCTCTTTGGAAAAAACCACATAGTTTTCTTATTGCTTCAAAATAAATGGTTATGAGCAAAAAGTTCACATGTATTTGTCTCAAATGTTATAATAGGCCATTATTAGCACAATTTAGTTTAAAAGCAGAAGGCAAGATATGTTTAAAAAAGTAACAGTGCACTGTCATTAATGCTTAACATAAAGAGCTCTATTCATTTAAATGTCCTTTGTGTACTGTATGTTTATGGTATCTCTGTGTGTTTAGCATGCAGTTCAATCATAGCATTTTATATTTGGCCCTTAGGGTTATGTTTCCAGCATTAACAGTCTGTTTGCTGGATATACTATGAGAATAGACATTTGAGGTACAACTGCATGGAATAAGCTTTTGGATACATAGCAAGGCATTCTATTTTCTTGTCCTTTGTCTCCTTGTAGTGTGATATACTTAGGTTACAGGTTATGTTAGATCTTTTGTGGAACAGGTTGTTGTATTGAGCAAAAAGTTCACATGTATTTGTCTCAAATGTTATAATAGGCCATTATTAGCACAATTTATTTTAAAAGCAGAAGGCAAGATATGTTTAAAAAAGTAACAGTGCACTGTCATTAATGCTTAACATAAAGAGTGCTATTCATTTAAATGTCCTTTGTGTATGTTTATGGTATCTCTGCGTGTTTAGCATGCAGTTCAATCGTAGCATTTTATATTTGGCCCTTAGGGTTATGTTTCCAGCATTAACAGTCTGTTTGCCGGATATACTATGAGAATAGACATTTGAGGTACAACTGCATGGAATAAGATTTTGGATACATAGCAAGGCATTCTATTTTCTTGTCCTTTGTCTCCTTGCAGTGTGATATACTTAGGTTACAGGTTATGTTAGATCTTTTGTGGAACAGGTTGTTGTATTGGAGTGAAACACTACAATGTTGTTGGATGAGTTTGTTATGTGTTGGTAGATTGTTGGAACTCATTAGATGATTTGAAAGATTGTTACTTTGTTTCTAGATTGCTTGCAAAGACTTGAGACTGCAATCCTACATATACCTAACTTGGACTAATACTCATGGGCAGTAACTAGCAGGAGAAGGTTTCTCCTAGCAGAACAGTGGGATCCAATTAAATCAGAGGGTAACACCCTTCCATGTTCCAAATTTGGAGGGCTGGGAGTCCCTTAGGGCTGTTTTTTGGGCAGCACAGAGGGCTAAAGCAGAGAGTGGATCAGAGGGATTTTTTGCTGTGACTGCCAGTGAAGCCTTGTGGTGCAGTGGTTAAGCGGCTTTACTGCAGCCAAAACTGTGCTCTCGACCTGGGGTTCAATCCCAGGTAGCCGGCTCAAGGTTGACTCAGCCTTCTATCCTTCCGAGGTCGGTAAAATGAGGACGATTTGAAAGATTGTTACTTTGTTTCTAGATTGCTTGCAAAGACCGAGACTGCAATCCTACATACACCTAACTTGGACTAATACTCATGGGCAATAACTAACAGGAGAAGGTTTTTTCCTTGCAGAACAGTGGGATCCAATTCAGAGGGTAACACCACCACCCCTGCAGTCTTGAGACTGCAATCCTACATATACCTAACTTGGACTAATACTCATGGGCAGTAACTAGCAGGAGAAGGTTTCTCCTAGCAGAACAGTGGGATCCAATTAAATCAGAGGGTAACACCACCACCCCTGCAGTCTTCCATGTTCCAAATCTGGAGGGCTGGGAATCTCTTAGGGCTGTTTTTTGGGCAGCACAGAGGGCTAAAGCAGAGAGTGGATCAGATGGAATTTTTTGCTGTGACTACCAGTGAAAAGTGATTTAGTCCTATGATTTAGTTATTTCTCAGTAGACGTAAGTGCAGTATGAGTGTTCTCCACAAGACAAAGTCAAAGTATGCAAGAGAACTGGAGTAATAATATTTTAGGTCAGTTAGAAAATGCCAGTGGGTATTTACCAGACGTTTACTTAGTGCTTAGAGACTACTGGAAAAGTCTGGGAATTTATAGATTGTAGTGGAAATGATAACTTTGTATCTTCTCATCTTTATTGGTGACCCTTGTTACATGAAATGGAATTAAATTGCAGCATTTAAATTAGGTAGACATAAATGCAGTATGAGTGCTCTCCACAAAACAAAGAAGTCAAAGTATGCAAGAGAACTGGAGTAATAATATTTGAGGTCAGATACAGTGGTTCTTAACCTTTGTTACTCAGGTGCTTTTGGACTGCAACTCCCAGAAGCCTTCACCATCAGCTCTGCTGGCTGGGGTTTCTGGGAGTTGCAGTTCAAAAACACCTGAGTAACAAAGCTTAAGAACCACTGAGATAGAAAATGCCAGTGGGTATTTACCAGACATTTATTTATTTTATTTATTTATTTTTGGACTTAGTGCTTGGAGACTACTGGAAAAGTTTGGGAATTTATAGATTGTAGGAAATGATAACTTTGTATTTTCTCATCTTTATTGGTGACCCTTGTTACGTGAAATGGAATTAAATTGCAGCATTTAAAATTACCGCTAAGGCCTGAACTATATTTCTCTAATAAGGGTTATATATCATTCCAGCACCTTCCAGATTTTTCTTCAACAATATGTTGAATATTTCAGTATTTTCCTTTTTCTAGAACTCCATTAATTTCCTGTTGCTACTTTTTCATTTGCAGTGAATACTTTATCTCTGATCAAAGTATTTTCCTTTTTCTCTAACTCCATTAATTTCCTGTTGCTACTTTTTCATTTGCAGTGAATACTTTATCTCTGATCAATGAGATGTTTTAGTGATAGTAATACTAAGAACAGAAGATGATGTATCATGCATTTCATAGACACTGTTCTCATTTGTTTAGTTGAAGGCAATGAATCTGCATGTGATCCTTCTCAAGGTTACAATGTTAGCTGGTACTTGAGATATTCTGATTGCTACAATGAAGTCTTCAACTTTGGGGTAAGAAATTGGTACTTTGTCACTTCCTCAGTCATGCAATCTGCCAGTCATCTCCATAACTGCAACAGGCTGCAACTGCAGATAACCTTGTGCTTGGAGACTACTGGAAAAGTTTGGGAATTTATAGATTGTAGGAAATGATAACTTTGTATTTTCTCATCTTTATTGGTGACCCTTGTTACGTGAAATGGAATTAAATTGCAGCATTTAAAATTACCGCTAAGGCCTGAACTATATTTCTCTAATAAGGGTTATATATCATTCCAGCACCTTCCAGATTTTTTCTTCAACAATATGTTGAATATTTCAGTATTTTCCTTTTTCTCTAACTCCATTAATTTCCTGTTGCTACTTTTTCATTTGCAGTGAATACTTTATCTCTGATCAATGAGATGTTTTAGTGATAGTAATACAGTACAAAGAGCAGAAGATGATGTTTCCTGCATTTCATTGACACTGTTCTCATTTGTTTAGTTGAAGGCAATGAATCTGCATGTGATCCTTCTCAAGGTTACAATGTTAGCTGGTACTTGAGATATTCTGATTGCTACAATGAAGTCTTCAACTTTGGGGTAAGAAATTGGTACTTTGTCACTTCCTCAGTCATGCAATCTGCCAGTCATCTCCATAACTGCAACAGGCTGCAACTGCAGATAACCTTTGCTTCAGCAGTGTCAAGACCACTGGTGACTCTCATAGCCTAGCTCAGAGCCTTGATATCTATTTATATAGATATCATATAGATATCATATATATCTGTAGTCCTGCAAATTCATCATGCCTTATGCTCAGTTGATAACGATTCTTTTCCTCATTCACAATCTAAGCATTGCATTTCTGTGGTTTGGAGGAACAAATGGGGATGCACTGAAAATAATGAATCCTTGCTATTTGCAAATAGTTTCTTGCTACTGTTATTTCTGTTATTGGCTAATTTTGTCCCCATTGTCAGCAGTGATCTTTTTGTATCAATTGCTGTCTGGTTATGCTAACTTAAAATGCCAGGGATTGGTGTTCCTTTTGAGAAGCAACCTTTACTTCAGCTTTTAATCTGATACTCCTTTGTTTTAATTGGTTTGTCAGCTGGATCAAGTCATATTATGTGTCTTCACAGGATGAGCAGGCAGATATATATTTTCTGGACACCTCAGAAGAACGCTTGGGTTGGTCAGGATACTATGCAATGTCTTCACTCTACTTCCCCAACTGTTCTGAGCTCTTCAAACCACAGGTACAATATAGGCACAGGAGGACTTTGGAAAAGTGATTTTTTGTGGACTGCACAAAAAATGTGAGCCCAAGACAGAGCTTATGACAAGAGAAAGTGAGATTGGAATGTGCCACACATTTCTGGGGGGAAAGCAGTTATATATATGTCTATAATACCACTTTTCTGTGCAAGTCTGGCCCTGCTAACAGGAAATGCTTGAGCAGTCATGCTAAATAGAAGGAAAGAACATGGGGCATTTTGCTTACAGGAGAACTGTTTGAAATATGTGAGAAAGGAGGCAAATGGGATTGTGAGTAGGATTAGAGTACATGGCATTGGTATTTATGTGCCCTCCATGATCAATATTTGTGTTTGCATGATTGTTCAGATCTGTTTTATTTGTATTTTTATTGCTTTAGTTCCCTGAGAATTTTTATTGAATGGTAGTATAAAATGTCAGTAATCATAACTAACTTATGTTAGGTATGCATCAATATTGTTTCATATTATTTCATGCGTTCTGCCCCACCTTTTATTTTCTGCAGAGCTATACTTTCTTTGTGACCTACTGCCAGTTCCTATCTACATTACACCATCTTCCATATGTTCACAGCATGTATTTGGGGCAATATATGTATGCCACTTTGCTAGTAATCCCAGACCTATTTAGATCCATTGCATTTGTCATTGATGTCTTGTCTTTAGCTTTAGCATGTGACCTTATGACTGTTTCCGCCTCTTGCTTGTAACCAACTGTTTTCTCAAGTATATCAAGCAAAATTCTGCAGCATGTTTCAGGTCATGGGAGGTTTAAAGTATTGTGCCCAAGGGACCCGATTTTCCAAGGCCCGACAGTACATTGATCAGATCCTTCTTTCTGCTCATAATACCTTATTCTTCAGTAGCATGGCTATAAAGAACCCTGACTTAAGAAATTTGCAGGAGAAGGGCATTAGCCAAACAGAAAATGAGCTAAGGGAACTTGCACCATTTTTCTGCAAGGTTTCTGCCAGGATAAAAAGTGGCACATTCCATGTTTTGATTCTGGTGCACGGGGGGATGGAAAGGGCCAAGAAGCAGCATGAAGGAGGGCTGGTAATGTTATACAGGCTACCAATTAGCTATCCTTCTCTGTAGTGAATATGAATATTGTGCTTCATGAATAACACAAATGAATGAAATGTTAGGAACATACATAAACCTTTCCTGTGATTGTCTGCTTTTTATTAAAATTAGGGCAGCTTTTCTGCCATACTGGACCTTGTTAGTATGTCACCAGTTAATGCCAAGGAGACCCATTTCACATTGTTTTATCTACAACATGAAAGCATTAAAAAAAACATATTTCAGAACTCAAGTGTAAATCATATATGTGAGGTTCAACGTACCCTCTAATTTTCAGCCCCGCTGGGCAGGGCTCCGCCTCTCTTTCACACGACTTCACCCTTGTGTGCATGTGCAGTTCTGTCCCCCACATGTGCACAAGGTACTGCTGCAACTGGAACCAAATGCAATCGCTGCACCGAGGAGGAAGAGAGCTGTGCAGAGGAAGGTGGTGTCATACCTGCCCGCGCTTGTGCCCAGCTTAGAGGGAACCTTGTTGAGGTTATTTCCATCTTGAGGAAATTAGTTCTCCCACTTAAAAACCATGGTTGATTTACTAAACGTGCTTTTGCTGATGTACTGTAAGTGCATTTAGTAGTTTAAAATGTGCTTGCATCTCTGTGAGCTATTCAGATAAATTACATAATGCTCTGCCTATCTGCTGTATGTAAACATGAATTTTGCCTTTTTTCCCCCCTCCTGGTAAGAATTTCTACACTGAATTTGTTCATCCAGAACTCCTCTCAAATGGAAAACAAGAGGTATTTCAGTTTCAGTATTTGGAGGTTTGCATTAAAATATATATATTTAAAAAAATCTGTGATTTGATCAGACATGTCTTTGTCTTTAAGATATCAAAGGACAGAAGAGAGAATGGAACTAACATTACTACTGTAGCAGAGACCCCTGTAAGTAGAAGACAGGTAGTGTGTGTATCTATGCATATGCATGCATAGTACAAAAAAATGCCACTTTTGTCTTTATGTTTTGGCCTTGGCTTCTGCTGAGTTACTCTCTTTCCCTTTGCCTGATTGTTGGTTGCCCTGGGTATGCTCCTGGTTATGCCTGTGCTTCCCTGTCTGCCACTAAAAGCAATGGGCAGAATCCTATTGACATTTTCCACACACATAAGGGCATTAATGGAAAAACTTTTCATGTGCCTTTCATGGCATGTCCAGTTGCATGATTAATTGTCCAACCAGAGGAAGGTGCAGGGAGCGTGACAGACAATCCAGGAAATAGCTGCCACTTGTGCAGTTGCTCTTGTGCACTTGTGTATAGCCACTGGATTCTGGCCATTAGGCCTTCAACAAGGTTACTGTTCAGTCTATGAAACATACTGTTGATTAGTGTGAAATGTGTTTGTTGGCATGGGATGCAATTGTGATCTTGTTTCTTTGCCACTAAAGTAATGTTTATGTTGTTGGAGGAGCCTCTGTTTCTTGAATTATTAGGAAGCAAGATGCAGAAATAGAGCTGGTGTGTTTATGTCTTCTACTCATGTTATTTTTCTTACCCTAGCCAATGAATGCTGTGATGAGAACCTGGCAAGATGGGCCTTATATCTTTATTGTGCACATTAGCTTTCCATCCTTGAAGGAAGGCAGTGTGAAAGTTAAAGAAACAAGTGATGGATTCCCGAAAGTTCCAGTTTCCTCTGGTTCACAAGAGGCACTTTTTACCAGTGAGTCATGCATGATGATTTGGTCTAAAATTTTACTAGTATTTAGGGTACCACATGATAATTGAAGTCCAGCACTCATAGCTGTGGTAGGACTTGGGAATGAATCTTGGGGGCAAAGTAAGTGCTTTCCATTCCAGAAGAAAAATTAAACAATAGTTCTTGGTTGTTTTAAACTATTCCTTTGGCATTCAAGTACAGGGCTTTATGCACACCTTTGGAAGTCTTTTCCATATTTTTTTCTGGTTGGGTTGCTATTTAATTCAGAGCAAGAGAGTTTCAAAGCCCAATCTTGAGACAGAAAAAAACAAGAGAAATCCCAGACTTAACAAGAGTGCTGGCTGTTGCACTTCAAGAAGAGTGGGGACTTGTTTATACATATTAACACAGAAAGAAATGAGACAGCCCACACTTGGGAAAGAAGCAGAAGTTATGTTGGATTAGAATGTCCAGGGAGGACAGTTGCAGACCACCGGATTGACACTACAGGATATGTATTTCAGCAATAAATGTAAGTTTTCATGTTCCTGTAGATCAGGAATGGGAAATATTTAGCACTTCAGGTGTTTTGGACTGCAACTTGCAGAAGTCCCTATAGCTAGTGGCAAGAGGTTACAGGAGTTGTAGTGCAAAACAGCTTGAAAGTCAAAGAGTCCTTAGCTTTGCTGTAGATCACTGGTTCTTAACCTTGGGTTACTCAGGAGTTTTGGACTGCAACTCCCAGAAGCCTTCACCACCAACTGTGCTGGCTAGGGTTTCTGGGAGTTGCAGTTCAAAAACATCCGAGTAACAAAGGTTAAGAACCACTGCTGTAGATGAATGGAAACTTGGTAAAGTCCCTATTCCTGGCACTCTTTGGATAACCTTTACTATAGTACAGCTTGATAACTCTCTTTCACAGGCTCTGTTGTCTACCACAGAAAATATGGCTAACTGTATTTTAGGAAGGACTGCAGTGGTTGCAGCTAATAAAGTTTATTAAAAGACAAGTAATCATGAATGTGACTTATGCAATCATGTATGCTGCTGAGAATGTGGATAGAATGAAGTCTTTATCTTGTTATGTGTTATTAATAGAATACAGTGTTATCAAATAGAACTGAATGGGAGAGGTTTCTGGATCATTAAGAAAAGTACTAGCTAGTTGCCATGATGGCTGTACACCTACTTCCAAGGTGAACAGTAGCATGCTTTGGGAAGAATGGAGGCTGAGGGATATTTCTTTGTGCATTTTCTAGAGGCATCTTGTTGGCCATTGTAGGATACAGGATGCTGAACTAATTCAGCTTTTGGTCTGGTCCCAAAAGAATATTCTTATGCATAGTTCTAATTCCCTGCTCTCTCTCTCTCTCTCTCTCTTTTTTTACAGTGATTGTGGAAGTGAAGGGTCCCTATGAGTACCTCTCTCTAGCAGATTATCCTCTCATGATTGTGAGTTAATGCAATTACTTTATTTTAAATGGCAGTACTTGGTTATCTTGATTTATTTATTTATTAAACTTCTATAGTGACCATCTAGAACGTGTCTACTCTGGGTGGTTTACACAAAATATAAAAAATAAACTAAGAAAGAATAAATGAACTAAAGATACAACCCAAAATAATAGCAGAATCCAAGATGGAAAAAGAAAGGAAAAAAGCAAAAAAGAAAGATAAGCTACGTGATGGCTGCAGGGAAGGCCTGCCTGTATAGCCATGTCTTCAGATTGATCTTGAAGGAGCTCGTAAAATTAACTTCCAACACCACATGTTGGGGATGTTTTCCCTATTAGCTTTCTACAGTGTCATGTTTTAAAATCTGTATATAGTAATCAGGAATACCCTTTTACGGATGATCTTGGCCTTGGCCTCCAGGAACACATCCTCTTTTCTATTAAGGGGGCCAGGTGAATCTCTGCAGGTAAATTGTTCTAGAGACGAGGGGCCACTGCCAAGAAGGCCCAGTTTTTAGTTTTTTCTCTTCGGATCTCTCTTGGTGTTAGGTCCCACAGCCGCCCGGCCTGACTGGAATGGGCGATACGGGCAGAACTAGGTGGAAGAAGGCGCTCTGCCAAGTATCAAGGGCCTAAACCATTTAGGGCTTTGTATGTAATAGCCAGCACCTTGAAATTGATGTGGAATAGGTAGCCAGTGTAAGGTGGCCAGGGTGGGGAATATATGGCGGAATCTTTTCACCCCTGTTTAATAGCCTGGTCACCATGCTCTGGACTATTTGAAGCTTCCTCATCAGCCTCAAAGGAAGCCCCATGTAGACAGCACTACAGTAGTCTATTCTTGAGACTATGAGCACGTGGACCAACGTGTTGAGTACCCCCATGTCTAGATAGGGATGCAGCTGGGCAAAATAACAGCAGAATCCAAGATGGAAATATAAAAATAAATATAAATGAATAAATAAATAGGAAAAAGAAAAATAGGCTAGGTGATGGCTGTAGGGAAGGCCTGCCTGTATAGCCATGTCTTCAGATTGGTCTTAAAGGCCCTCAGCAAGGGGGCCAGGTGGATCTCTGCAGGTAAATTGTTCTAGAGTCGAGGGGCCACTGCCAAGAAGGCCCAGTTTTTAGTTTTTTCTCTTCGGATCTCTCTTGGTGTTAGGTCCCGCAGCCGCCCAGCCTGACTGGAATGGGTGATACGGGCAGAACTAGGTGGAAGAAGGCGCTCCGCCAAGTATCAAGGGCCTAAACCATTTAGGGCTTTGTATGTAATAGTCAGCACCTTGAAATTGATGTGGAATAGGTAGCCAGTGTAAGGTGGCCAGGGTGGGGAATATATGGCGGAATCTTTTCACCCCTGTTTAATAGCCTGGTCACCATGCTCTGGACTATTTGAAGCTTCCTCATCAGCCTCAAAGGAAGCCCCATGTAGACAGCACTACAGTAGTCTATTCTTGAGACTATGAGCACGTGGACCAACGTGTTGAGTACCCCCATGTCTAGATAGGGATGCAGCTGGGTGATCCACCGAAGATGTAAGTGGGCAGAACGAACCACGGATGCTACCTGAGTCTCCATGGTGTGCGCTGGGTCAAGATGGACCCCCAGACAGCGAACCGCATTCTTTGTGGTGAGAGTTGCCCCCAAAAGGAGAGGGAGTTCCCCAAACCACTGACATTGGGGGCACCCACTCTCAAGACCTCCATCTTGTCTGGGTTCAACCTCAGTCCATTCAATTGCGTCCATTGTAGGACAGCCTCCAGGTAGCGCTCAAGGGACAGAACGGCATCCACTGCAGATGGAAGAAAGGAGATGCAGAGCTGGGTGTCATCAGCACATTGGTGACACAAAGTTCCATATCCTTGGATGACTCCCCCCTCTCCCCACAAGTGGCTTCATGTAGGTGTTAAACAGCATTTGGGAGATGATCGAACCCTGCGGAACTCCACAATTGAGGGACCATGGGGCTGATACATTCTTCCCAAACTGGACACTCTGGGGATGGCCCTTCAAGAAGGAACGGAGCCAAGCAAGAGCAAGGACACCAATCCCCAACTCAGAGAGCCTCCCCAGGAGGATACTGTGGTTGATGGTATCAAAGGTGGCTGTGATACCAAGGAGGACCTGCAAGGACATTTTGCCCCCATCGGCCTTCCTAAGTAGGTCATCCAGCAGGGCGACCAATGCCGTTTCTGTGCTGTGGCGCAGCCTGAAGCCCTACTGAAAGGGGTCCAGGGCATCAGTTTCATCCAAGAGGGCTTGAAGCCCTTTCTTACATGCTGAAGATTTCAACTAACTCCGGGAGGCAGTAGAAGACAGGAGGGCCTGGCGTGCTCTGCTTCTGTGCAGTGGTGTGGCCTGAAGCCGTACTGAAAGGGATCCAGGGCATCAGTTTCATCCAAGAGGGCTTGAAGCCCTTTCTTACATGTTGAAGATTTCAACTACAAAATAAACAAACATTCACTTCAAATGAAAGTGAAAAATCCATGATTCAGACTTGGTGTCACCACCTAGTGTATGGAATCATTGGCAGTGTGCAACTGGCAGGAGCCATTCATTGGTACTGTGCTGAGAGCTTTACCGAGCATGGTGCTAGTTTTGTTTTTATTGGTTTAGAATTACAATACTAAAATGTATTCAGAATTCTGTCTTATGACAGATCAAGAATTCTGTCTTGTGACAGATTATTATTGTTGTTTTTCTTGTTTCAATTTGTATACCCCCTATTTGGCTACTAAGGCCAACAACAGATTTTTAGCTGCTACATAATTAAACTGTAAAAAACTGTTTGTAGTAGGAGTAACTCACAAAACAAGCAGCTATAGAAATGCTAGTTGTAGCTGTCCTTTAAGCTCCATTCTACGTTTGTTTTTGTAACAGTTTTTCATGGTGATGTGCATTGTATACGTATTGTTTGGAGTTCTGTGGCTGGCATGGTCAGCTTGCTACTGGCGGGACCTCCTGAGGATCCAGTTCTGGATTGGTGCAGTTATCCTACTGGGAATGCTGGAGAAAGCTGTTTTCTATGCAGAATTCCAGAATATCCGCTACACAGGAGAATCTGGTACGTGTGAAAGACATTTCTAGATACGTTGAGAGCAAAAGAGCATGGGTTACATGCTGTCATGAATACAGTGGTATGCATAGTTTTAATACTATTCTTTATTGGAGAGAAGAAACATGCAAAATGTATCCATCTCTGTCATAGTTTATAAGCAATATTTACAATTAGCTTCTGGAGAAAATGTTTTTACTTGCTGTAGGCAGCCAAAATATTCACCTTGAAGACTCCTGAATAATTTCGCTTTCTTCTCATCAGCCTTGACTAGATGTTTATCTGAGATAAGTTTAAGCATGTTTCTTCAAAATCCCATTTAGATTGGTGGCACTTGCTTCTTAGTGCATATGCTCAAAGTTTTTATAATTGTACAGGTACATCTCTTAGCAAAAGTCTGGATTCTAATAAATAAATGCCTTTGTCTGGAATCCTGTTGCATATTTACGCCAGTATAACTCAGCATAATTCTGAGCAGTGACAGTGTGCAACAGCAAACTGCTCAGATTTACACAGTTGGAGTTACTCTGTCAGGTGGAACTAATAGGATTCTAGCTTATATTGTACTATCTGTTGCAACGTCATGCATGCTTTGGATTGTAGACATGATTAATAACCCAGCTGTCTTGTTTTTTGTTTGTTTATTTTTCCACAGTCCAAGGGGCACTGATACTGGCTGAGCTCCTTTCAGCACTGAAACGTTCACTTGCTCGAATTCTTGTCATTATTGTGAGCTTGGGATATGGCATAGTCAAGTGAGTAGTTAGTGCTGAGAAAGCACACGAACATGTCTCCTGAAAATTATCTATATCTGAAGCACAGGAGGCAAACATCCAGTTCTCCCAGAGGTTTTACTCTGAACATAGCTGGCCTGAAGTTACCATGCCAGCTATGTTCTACCTGCCACCGCCTCTATCTGTGCCATTATCTAGGTGATGCAGAGGAGGACTCCACCATACTGGGTTTATAACACCCACATCAGAAGACAGGAAACATGTGACTCTGGGATAATTTTTTATTTTGTTTTATTTGGTAGGCCTGCACAGCTCTGGTTGGCCTTACTGCTGCCTCCTCCTCCCCCTTCTTCTTACTCTTTATTTTCCCCGTTTCTTTCCTCTTTTGGTGAACTGTTCCTGGTTTTTCTGCTGCTCTTCTGCCTCACTAACCCCCTCCCCAACAACAAAGGCTCCCTTCTTTCCTTTCATCCTCCCACCTGCCTGATATGTTCCACTGGCATGGGGAAGCAGGATTCAAACCCCCGTACTCGTCCTTATCCTGTAAAGGAGAGAGGGGGTATCAGGTGGGCTGTAACAAGGATGAGCCTCTCCTCTAGTATGAAATTACAGTCTTTTCTTCTGACTAGGGATGATGGGATTCAGATAGAAGTTTCATCCTTTCTGGTAGGAAAAGATACTTTTGTGTCGTATCTGGGATGCTATTCTGCCTCCTACTCACTATATCTTCTCTACATTGAACCTTTTATCTCTGTCCCTTTGAACAGTGGTTCCCAAAATCAGGACTCTAGTTGTTATCGTACTTCTCCCAGTATCCCTGAATGTTTGCCATGTTAGTTGAGACTTCCAGTAGTTGAAGTCTGCTCTTGGATCTGGGGTTCCAAGACTGAAAACTGTATCCTTAAGAGGATGAACAGAAAGTAGAAGGTTGAAAACATAGAGGAAGTGTGAACTTAAGGAGGGAGTTTGTCTTAGATGCTTGTTGGTTTCAGCACACCGTAGGTTGAGCAGCCTCACTTGAACATCTCCAAAACTAGCATAATAAGAAAAATATGCAATTAACACAGCTCATAGCTGCACCCAGAGAACCAAAATAAACCTTTTTAACACAGGCAAGTAGTATGTTAGAGAGTTTTAATTAAGTTAAGGCTTGACTTAAATTTTTCCTTTTATTTCCATTACAGACCTCGCCTTGGAGTCACTCTTCACAAAGTAGTTGTTGCTGGATCCCTCTATTTACTATTTTCTGGCATGGAAGGTGTCCTGAGAGTCACAGGGGTTTGTAGTCACTTACTGAATTTTTTAAAAAATTATATAAGTTGATACTGCAAGGCAACACTATACAATAGGCAGCAAAGGACATTTCAGATTTTGCTCAAAAAGCTTTTTACTGTATGCTTTCCACTAAGACATGTTTAAAGAGAAGCTGCTTTTCCTTTTGAACTTAATGTGTTTTAAAACTAGAGATGGAAAAAGTTAATTTTTTCGGGCTACACATTCCAGAATTTTGAGAATTGTAACCCAAAAAGTCCTTCTCTGTGTAAAATGTTATACAGATCAATCTTGACTCTTTTTTGGTAGAAGAACACCTGTTCCTTTCTTAGTCTGGATGTGACTGCACATATGCCTGTGCATACATACAGGTACACCCACTCTCAAAAGAAGATCAGACATTTCCATCCTTGTTTAATTGGGCTTGTGTTCTTTTTGTTGTTGTTATGTAATGTATAACTGCATTAGACGTTGTGCAACTCCACAGGCAGAAGGATGATACTTCCTCTGATAGAACCAGTTAAGCAACTATGGACATGTAGGTACTGCAGATGCATGTCTTGTGTTATGTGTAGTGGTGGTGGAGGAGCTCCACATGAAGTAGATTTAAAGGGAAAAAATACGTTCTTTCAGTGGCAATTTTAGCAGGTCTTTGTGATTTTTTGAAGAAGCCTGAAATAACATGTTTATATTGACCAGAATCCTACTACATTTTTACATGTGTGGAAGAGGAATTGTAGAAGTCTATGTGGAGAATTGATGAGGTGCTGGGCACAAGAGGCACTTGAGCATGAGTGCTTCCTGTCATGAGTGTGTTATAAACTTACTCTCTTTCTGATACTTTTCAGTCTTTCCATGGTGTTACAGCTTTGGTAGCTAATGTCGGGCTGTCTATCATTGACTCGTGTATTATTTATTGGATATCCTTTCAAAAGCTGAATAGCATGATCCTAATTTAGCAATATACATCCAGAGATTTTTGGTGCAATTTTTTTGTGTATGTTTGTATCTATACCCGAGGAGAGAGTGATCAGCTAGTTAATTTACAGATAATTACTTTAAACCAAGGATTTTATGGCTTGTTTTTAGAGCTCAATATTGCATAGCCACCTTGTGGTTTGCCCATATTATGAGCATTAAGAACTGGCGTCTTCTAGGAAAATTTAAGCCGGATGTAGTTCTCACAAATATACTTAAACTGATTTTAACAGGACTTGAGACTGCTTATTTGTGTCTGGCTTTAAGAGTAAACAATGCATTTGAGTAGACAGGGAATGCTGCTGCTCTGCACTTGTGGCCTATTTGCTCCTCAAATCCTCCCCTTCCCAATGCTTTTCTCTTCATTTGAGCTTCATCTGACTCTTCATCAGAGCCAGAAATAAGCGGCATGAGAAGTGTTTTATTTCTATCAAACGTGTCCCTATTTGCTGTAAATAGTTGCTCTCGTCTTCCTTTACTCTGTACCTAAATGTACACAAATTTGCTTGGAATTTGGTGGTGGATGGAGCTACCCCCTTCTTTTTTTAAATTTCTCTTTCTCTCTGCTACCCACATTCTCTCTTCCTCTCTCTTTCCCTGCACTATGGGCTGCTGAGTGAGGGACAGATTGCTCTTGCAAGAGGCTAAGAACCGCTCTGCCCAAGTTCAGGCTTGCTCCTGCTTCACACCGGTCTTTCCCTGTCCCATCTAATTTTTTTGGTCATACATGATTATTAATGGACCAGTAGTTTTTTCATTAGACAGAGTGGTTGAACAGCAGTCTTGGCCACCAACAGAGACTGAATCTTGAGAGTCCATTTTTTCTTTTGAACAGGATGGGATCATGAGGCCCTTCAGATGTTTTTGCACAGTAACTTCCATCATTAGCTGCACTTGCAATGGTGATTGTGGAGTTGGAGTTCCAACAACATTTCTAGGACTGCACGTTCCCCAATTGTAATGTAAAAAACATCTGTATCGAGGCGGATTTGATGTAAACCAGATGGATTTAAACCACAATTTAAGTAACAATTTAAATATTAAAAAATGGATTCATGTTTTTGAATTATGATTTAAATTAATCTGATTTTTAAAAAATCATAGATTTTTTTATCCACCTTGATTCTGAATATTGTAAATCTGAATGATAGACAAGTATACTGACTGGTAATCAGCTTTTCTGCAAAGGATTTTTGATTGGCTTTAATACGAAAGTCTTGTGTCACTCTTGTGAAGAAAAATATATCTACTTGGTGTCTTACACTAGTTGTCTTTTGAAAGCAATGTAGTAACTGACAAGTGCACACTTGAGGCTGCAGTCCTGAAGATCCCTTTCTGGAGCATAAATTCCATGAAACTCCATAGAAGCTATGCGTAGGATTGCACTGCTGGCCTGATATCTTGCCTCCAGTCTGCCTTGATCTCAATGCCTTTTTCTCTTTGTCTCTCTAGGCACAGAATGATCTTGCCTCCTTGGCTTTTATTCCACTGGCTTTCCTAGATACTGCCCTGTGTTGGTGGATATCCTTCTTCACTGGCATACTGGGTGGAATGCTAATTTCTTCAGTGATGGTTTTTCATGGTGGGTGGTATATTCTCTTCCTGCAGATGCTGTGCCAGACTCTGATTCTGCCCATTTCCTTTCACAAACATAATTCTTTCAGGCTGTGATCCTAACTACACTTACTAAAGAATAAGCCCTATTTAATTAATTGGAATGAATCAATGCACTGGAAGTCTGTGAATCTGAGAGCACTGTGAAATCTGAACATTTTCATTTCAGTTGACAAATCAGATGGAATCACAAACCTGGTGGAATGAATTCTGGAAATCATCTTGTTCCTCAGTGTAGGGATATCATTGGTCCCAGCAACCACATGGATCTTTAGTCTGCCTCACTGAAGCAGGAAGATTTGTGTACTGTGAAGTACTCTGCCTGTTTTAACACTCTTCCTGCCTGCATATTACATGCACCATAAATGTGGAAGAGATTGAAAATTGTGTTCATGTGATAGTAGTTTGCACACATCACCACGTGAAATCTCAATTGCATAGAGGGTCTCTGTTTTGCATTTTCATGTGGGATGAAATATCTGTTGCTTTCAAGTGAAATAGATTTTGAAGGACTGCCACACAGAAATGCTCTTTGGATGTCCTTTCTGTGAGGGTCATAATATTTAAGTTAGTCCTGAGGGTATGTGGTGTTTGAAGCAGAGCTAAGGGACACTGGGAAATTGTCGCCCTGATTTCTACGAGTACTTTTATTACTTTTAATGGGCTGCCATTCATTTGGGGCTAGTACTAAAATGTTTGCATAGAATTTTACTATTTCTGTATATACTGAAACTCAATATCCTTGCTAACATTGGCCATTCCTGCTGTTACGTTTAATTACTTTTCTTGACTTATCCTACATATTTATCAGCTTGACTCAGATAATGAAGATGTTAAAACTTAGAAGGAATGTTGTGAAACTTTCTCTCTACCGACACTTCACCAACACACTCATCTTGGCAATAGCAGGTGAGCTTCCTTAAACCTTTTAAAGCTGATTTTGAGGCGAGAATTTCTTTAAGAAAGCTACTGTATCAGGTGTCATGCTGTCAAGGTGCACTTCTACATTGTAGTTTTCCTTGTTTTTAGTGCAGTGCTGATAAACTGAAAAGAAAGTGTAGAACAGAAATAATAAACCGGAGAGAGTCACTTGAAAACAAAGAAACAAAAGCTGCTACCACCTTGTTATGGACCCAGCTTTCTTGTTTTATACTTCCCATATAAAATAAACAAATTTATTTTCACCTTAAAAAAATCTGGCAAACTAAATATGAATTTGCAAGAGCAGAATAGTTACTGTAAAATAATGTTTATTCCTCAGTACTTTTATTTTAGTTTGATGACCAAGACATCATTTAGGGATGTGGTGGTGCTGCGGATTAAACATGGATGACCAAGTCATCATTTAGGGATGTGGTGGCGCTGCGGGTTAAACTGCAGAAGCCTCTGTGCTGCAAGATCAGCAGTCATAAGATCGAATCCACGCGATGGAGTGAGCTCTCGTCACTTGTCCCAGCGACTGGACTAAATGTCAAGGGGAACCTTTACATTTAGCCGAATAATGCCCATCGTTGCATGGTATAGCTCATGTTTATAGGTTATTTAGAAATGAATAATGTGAAAAATCTTAATGATGAATTCTGCATTTCAGAGTGATTTTCTAATATTTTACTGTGTGTGTTTTAAATATTTAGCATCTGTTGTCTTTGTCATCTGGACAACTCTGAAATTCAGGCTGGTAGATTGTCAGTCAGTAAGTATGAGTTTTCTACCTTTTTTGAAAAAAAATCATGAGAAGTATATAAATACTTAAATTATTTCCCTTTCTGCTTGTTGAAAATGCTGGCAATTTTCTTTTTAATTCTGGCTTAATGTGTATCACTTTTATTTTAACAGGACTGGCAGGAGCTGTGGGTAGATGATGCCATTTGGCGGCTTTTGTTTTCAATGATTCTTTTTGTCATCATGATTCTTTGGAGACCATCTGCCAACAATCAGAGGTATAGCACTCATTGTCTTTATTCAGAAAGCACAGACATGCCATGCAGAGCACTCAACTCAAAGCACCTGCTTATTTCTTATATCCAGCAACTTCTCATTTGGATTTAGATTCTTTGACTACTCTTATAGGCAGAGCAATGTGTGGCCTGAGCAGGGAACAGTTCATCCCAAAATGTATGGGTGAGGCACTTCCTGTTGGGACTGTGGGCCACCTATGCTTGTATTTAATGAAGAATAGGTTGCAAGAGATTTATGAAAAGCATATATTGGTTTGGTGGAGTAGACATTTATTACTGTATGTTGTCTTTCACAAAGATTTGCCTTTTCACCGTTGTCTGAGGAAGAGGAGGATGATGAACAGAAGGAGCCAATGTTGAAAGAAAGCTTTGGTAAGTAGAAGACCTTTCTGCTTTATAATTGCAGCATTTGTTCTTTGAAAGTGTAGCTTCTGCTAAGGAAACTTGTGAAATTTGACTTTTTTCTGGATAGCAAGGACAGTTGTCCTCATGTTTGTTCAGAAAGGCCTTTTTGATAGAGATGGAAGTAAAATAGGCAAAATTTGTACTCCTTTCTATCGCTTAACCAATTGCTTGCACAGCTGCTTTCTACCTGCTTATCTTATTTACAGAGCTTGGATATACTGTAGTAAAATTAATGTATTAACCTCAGCCTTGCTATTTCCCCCATCAAATAGGAGAAAAAGCACCAATTTAATTAGTGCTTTAAAAATAGTGCTTTAAAAGGATTCCAGTGCATTTTCTAAGCATAAAAATAATTATGTTATGTTTGTGTGCCCACACACCTCCCCCCCCCTCAAAGAAGTTACTCATGTACTGTACATTCAAATGAGAGTTCTATGTAAGCCTGGTGAAGATTCCCTTTGTCCATTTATATTGCTAGGCCTGCCTTTTCTGTCTTTATCATAGATGGCTTTTATAGCCAGAAGCAATAACTGCTGCATATGCAAGCTATCACTTAAGCAGATCAAAATCAGACCCAAGTAGAATCAGGTCTAGAAAAGCAACCCTGTGGTAAAAATCTGGTAGATCAACAGCAGTAGATCAACAGCTACCTCTATTGTCCTGTTTCTTTCCTCAGAGCTGCCTCCCCAAGGAATGTATGTTCAGTTTTATTACCTCATCTTCCCATAAGCCATCTTCATTTCTTTATCCTGTTTTGAGTATGACACAAAGATAAAATACTGAAGGTTGCCTCCTATATATTCTAGTTAAAATATTGATACTTTCTAACTATTACCATTCTGGTGGTGTAGTTGAATGAGCTTTTCTTTGCGTAGTGGAGAAGAACATCCTACAGATGGAATTGCCCCCCTATTTGCTTCTACAGGCAGGAACATATGACCAATCAGGTGTCTCCATAGCTTCCCTTATAGAAAGAAGGCAATTTTTGCGTGGTCAGTTCTTGCTGTTGTTTCTCATAGAGTGCTTCTTGGAGCTCTTCCTTGCCACCATAGCTTTTAGATTCTAGCCTACTTTGTTTTGAAGAAGAAGACAAGGAAGAGGAGTGGGGGGGAATCTTATTCATCTTCCATACAATTCTGCTGCATTCTTCTGCATGGACTTTCATTCTTACCTAGCTGCCCTCATGGCCTCAGACCATGGCTAAGGCCAAGGGACAGCCCAGGTCTATTGAGGAACACCTCCCTCTGGAAATATTGTCTCTGCCCCCATAATTCAGACTGGGCCATGGATCAAAGATCTTTCCTTTTTTATGGCTCACAGGAGCACACACCATCTACTTAGGGGTTCAGGTGGTACAAGAATACAGCAGCTAGGGAGATGCTATCAGAGGAATCTCAACACGTTGAAAAACAGCTCTGATAATTGCTTTGTGTTTGGGTGACAAGTAGTTAATTGATGAAGAAAGGAGTCAGCTTCTGGGAATTTCCTTGTGTGGTGTCACTTTATGAATGATAGTGAGCATAAAATGGTATCCTATAGACCAGTGGTCCTCAACCTTGGGCCTGTGTTGTCAGGAGGAAAAACGATGCCAAGCTTTACATAATCAATGGCAGCAGTCTAGATGGTCTATAGCAGTGGTCTCCAACCCTGGGCCTGCAGATGTTCTTGGACTTCAACTCCCAGAAATCCTGGCCAGGAGAGGTGGTGGTGAAGGCTTCTGGGAGTTGTAGCCCAAGAACATCTGCAGGCGCAGGGTTGGGGACCACTGCTATAGACTATCTAGACTGCTACATTGATTATGTAAAGCTTGGCATTGTTTTTCCTCCTGACAACACAGGGACAATATTGTGCAGCATTACTGAGCCATTTATTGGCATTTTGAATCATGGATACAGGAAGCACAGTATCCCACATTTATAACTGGAGGTTTTTTGGAGAATTGAATTAGCAGTATACCTTAGAATTTAAAAAGCTTTGGTAAGTCCACATGCATTTTGTGTAATGAAAAGAGGACATCTTCCCTACCCTGGGGTGACTTTTGGACTGGCAGCGGGATGCCTATGCACCATCTGTGTATCCTTTGACTGTTCTCCTTTCTTATTTTTGGTACCTATGTCTATCTGCACTTGAAGAAAAGAACTGACTGAGCAAGGGTTGTCTCTTCCCTAATAAGGGGAAGCATGGTCATCCTTGATTGGTCGGCTGTTCTTGCCTGTAAACATGAGTAAGAGAGGAAACCTGATCTGTAGGATGTGCTCCTTCCACTAAACAAAGTGAATTCCCTCACAGTGAATATCAACCTTCCTTGTTCTTTGTATCCAACACAGAGGGGATGAAAATGAGAAGTTCAAAACAAGAATCAAATGGAAATCCTAAAGCCAACAAAGCAGTAAGTTTTTCATGTAGCTACTATTGGAAAAGATGGTGGGCTTCTGTGAAAAAATTGTTGTAAGATTATGTTTAGATAGTTCTAAGGAAACACATAAGAAAGAGAAGGAGAGAAAGCAGTTGATGCCAATTGTTGGAAATGTTAAAAAGAAGAAAACTGATCAGATTAATATGTGGTTTTATTTTTGGGTGGGGGAATAAGAGGCTTAACAGAAAAGATAATCCATGACTTATAACAGTGATTCTTAACCTTGGGTCCCCAGATGTTCTTGAATGAAAACTCCCAGAAGCCTTCACCACTAGGTGTGCTGGTCAGGATTTCTGGGAGTTACAGCCCAAGAACATCTGGGGACCCAAGGTTTGAGAACCAATGACTTAGACCCATTGTTATTTTTATTAAGCCAATGATTCACCAGTGTAATTATCTTAAAACAATTTTATACATGGTCTGCTAGACCTAAGAAAATGGTATGTCAAACCTTGGAACACACTGTTCATGTCTACCTTGGTAGAAGGGGAAATAAATATATACAAATAATTTTTTATTACTGAATTAGCTAACTGTATAAGAGTTGAAGCAGTAAGAAGATATAATATTTTTCTTTAAATTGGAAATTGTGTGACAAGCACTGTTGGAACGAAGTATTTTGGACAATACATATTTATTTAAAGTACCCCAAAAAGGAAGTTTAAGCTTTTCGTCTTAACGATTTAATTAATTCTGCATATCATTTGTAAAATTTTAAATGGCCAAAATCCTTGTGCTGAACTACACATGCACAACCTGAGGTTGCACCCATGGTAATTGTGCAACGGCTGAGGCAGGAATACAGGCCCCAAAGTACCCCTGTGGGCATATTGTGTAGTTGGTTGTACTGGGGCTGTGTGACTGAATGTTCAGTTACATGGCACAATTCCTTCTTGTGCCAGCACACCTTTCTTTTACACCAGCATGAACAGGATACTGGCCAATGTAAGATAATATGTATATCCTTCCGCCATACATTCACACCCATAGAGCACACAAAAGAAGAGGATGTCGCATTAATAAGGTGTCTTGCAGGAATACAATGGTTTATTCTTTTGGTATATTATAATTAATGGCAAAATGTTAATAGAAAAAACAATGTGATACTTTTTACAAATAGAACAACCATCCACTAATTACATTTTTTTTAAAAAACATGTCAAGCAGGAAGATGATTTGAAATGGGTAGAAGAGAATGTTCCTTCTTCAGTGACTGATGTGTAAGTACATGTAATTTAGTTTATTTAGATATAATATATTGGAAACAACAGATGAAAATTATTGTCATTTGTAAGACATAAGTAAGGGACGTTGCTAGTTACATTCTAGAACAGATGTGGACCGGGTATGCATTCTGCCTGTGGATTGCCAGATACCAATTCTTGTATGTGCCTATGTGTTACTTTGTGCAGTAGAACTTGCAGGTCTGTCTGGCTCACAGTGAGGATTGCTAATTTTGTGTGTTGTTCTGTTAAAGACATATACACAGTTTTTCTCTAGCTGTACATACTTATATTGTGCTCTATATAGGAAATAAAAACATATAGTTATATATGGCTCTTCACACAAGTTCTCTAGGGATACCAGTCAGTCTTAATCCTTCTTGTCAATACTGTGTGTTGTTCTTTCTCTCTTTGCCTCCCCATTCAGAGCTCTCCCAGCACTTCTGGATTCTGATGAGGTCAGTAAATAAGCCTTAAGCAACAACCCAAGTCCTATGACATGACAGAGAAGTCATGAGCTAAGAATTAAAGAAATATTGGCTAGTTAACAAGCAAAAAAGAAATACTGAGGATTATTTAGGTCAAAGAGTTGTATTGAGAACCTCATTATGCTGTTCTGGAGTTGTAGTCTTAACTTTTCCTGTCTCTGAAGTAAATGATACACGTCTTCTCCAGTAAGGTAATTCTGAGCACAACAATATGTGTCCTAAACTCGTTAATAAACAAATGAGGTATTCTGTCGAATTCCTTTTATTCATTTCTCATTTGCTTCTGTCTGACTGGAGGCAGGCTCATATGGTCACGGTTCGCACACATGGTTCATTTTTTAGTGTGTAATTCATTGCAGTAGGACTTTCATCCATTATCTTTATATGGTAGATAGGACAAGCCCATATGTGCTCAGATGTGATAGGTCCCAAACCCTGAAGAACATTTAACTTTCAACCAGTCTTTAGGGCATGTTGATTTTAACATGTACTCCAGTGTATATTCAGAAGAAAGATTCAGCAAATCTGAGTTGTCGAAAGACCAGATAGGCGGGATAATAGATAGATAGATAGATAGATAGATAGATAGAAAGATAGAAAGATAGAAAGATAGAATAGAATGGTACACTATTTATTTTTTCATGCTGAAAATAAACATCAACATTTAGCTACAGCTAGTTGTTTAAAAAGTACAATTTCGTTAATGTTTGTATACTTTTAATTATGGGTATCTTATATTAAAATAATGTAACATTTTTCAGGAGAGGAGATACCAGCTTTTGTTGTAATTTGTGTGCCAATCTTACAGGAAAGAATGATCACACATTTTGAAAGATCCAAAATGGAATGAAGAAAGATAACACTGCAGAACAAGGCTTCCTGCTCCTGGAGAAAAGGAACTTCTCTCTCCTTTGGAATGTTCCAGTGCTGCATCCTTCTGATGTGTTCCATGATCTTTGGAACCATACATTGTTCACAGAGGGAGAGCATTTTACTTGAGTCACTATGGAAGGGATTAGATGCTTGTTGGTAAACCTACGGGCCATTTGGATTTGCATTGTTGCTGAAGGTGTGTTTTTAAACAATGGAAATGCCTGTTATTACAGCACATTGTTTATTTTTAAATGTTTAAGTCAAACTAAAACTGGTTTTACAACTGCCTGAGAAACTATTAATTCAATATTACAGCTAAATCCCATCTGTTTCAACTACAAGGGGGTAAGGGTGTGTGTGTGTGTGTGTGGGGGGGGAGAGTTAGGAATAATTTCCCCTAACCAGTCTGGATGATTCACTCAGAGCAGAAGCAAGATTTGTCCTGTATACCAGCAGTCCCCAACCTTTTTGGGACCTTGGACCGGCTGAGCCTCTGAGGAAGGTGGGGCACCTCCCCCTAATGCACACTCTCAGGCACATGTACAAAGTGGTGGGGGAGCATGCACGCGCCCACAAGCGCCAACATGAGTGCTTCCTCACCCCTTCACACATGCGCAGGAGCACCTGCATGCCCACCCACCCCTTCACGCAGGTGCTCGGGCACATGCATGAAGGGGTGGGGGAGCACTCACGCTGGTGCTGGCATGTCCAAAGCAGCTGTGGGGAGGGGAGTGCATGGGGGGGGGGCGGGGCGGAGGTCTGTCTCCACAGCCTGGTCCAGCTCAGGCCATGAACTGGCACTGGGCTGCAGACCGGGGGTTGACAACCTCTGCTGTATACCATTTCCAAGAATCCATGCGTATCTGGGGTTGTGCATGGGGGAATGAATCCCACCCACTACCTTCCACTTCTCAGTGGAGAAATGGCACTATCAGAGCAGACAAAATCCATTGTGTGAAAAAGAGACTTGCACACTGCTTACTGCTATGTACAAGAGTTTGTAGATCAGGATCAGTGCCTTCATTTCTCGTAGATGTGGTGGCTTTTCTTCCTATTGCTAGAAGATGGTTGGCTTAGGGAAAGGAGAGAGCTGTACAGGAAGAGCTCTTTCTATGGCTAACAACTAACATGAGAAAGTATTTGGGAAAACTGATGATTCCCCAAGTTTTGGCAAAACTAAGTGCAATTTTATTCACTCCAGTGTGCAGGAAAATTTGTCTATTTTAGGTTTTACATACTTGGAAGCAATGGTAGCATAAGTCTATTTTTTTTTGTATCTCATTGCTGGCAATGGGAGGTGAGCATGCCCAGTAAACCATTCAAGTCAGAGCTATAACAGCACCCAGGCATATATTTTATGTTCTTAATATGGTTTTTTGAAACTCCTTTTGCTAGACTCATTACCATGTAACAGATTTTTGAATCAGGCTGATAAAAATTTCGACTGCCAAAACAAGCCCTGCTGATCAGTCATGTATTGTAGGTGGCCAAATGCCTGACAAACCTTTTTATTTTTGTAGGTCAAGATAGGCAGCAAAAACTGGTTATCAAGACCTGATTATGCTGGATTTGGCCACAAGTTCTGCTAGTTTGCTCTAAACTGCTGCATATAAGCTTAGAACATTAAAAATGAATGCATATAATGGCATGCTGAAACCACCAAGAACTAACTAGTGGCAGAATGATGCTCCTGGGCGATGGAATACCATCCTGCCACTGCTTAGTTATGGATAGCTTCTGCATGTCACTATATAAATTCTTCTTAAAAGTAACTGTTCTAGTTTTTTTGAAGAGGCAATGTCGATTCCTAAATGGATTATAATGTTACTTAGATTAACTTTATTAATCCACAAAATATGCATTCTTTTGAGTTTTTCAGAAGGCTTGCATGTTGTGAATGTACAGTTGTTCTTAATAAAGATGTTGCCTGTTTTTCGGTTGTACTCAGAGGTACATATGTTCTGCCCATAGATGTGATCACAAATTGCTGCTTTTCCTTTGAACAGGGCTGGTGCCAGAAGTTGGCACTGATGGGCCCCTGTTAGGTTTCCATTGCTTTGGCATGATTTATTTGCCACTGATCCTTGCCCTTAGTCTGATAGTAACCTTTGAAGACTGGTGTGCCATGTATGATCCTTGAGATGCCTTTGGGGTGTCACACTCATCATTCATCACCATGACTCAAATTTGCTAAGAATTATGGGAGTTTGGATCCAATAGTACCTTGAAGGCCATATTCTGGATACTACTGGACTTATCCCTTTTAAGTCTTCCTAATGTAGCATTGCTTCAGGACACTGGGAATTTTAAATGGCATCTCATAAGTCCCATCACTGTAGCATAAACTCACCTGTATATGAAGAGGCATACAGGTGTGCACTTTGACAAGGGCTCATTCAGACCTGGCCCTAAGTATCTCATTCAGAGATCACATGTGGCTCTTCCTCATCCATCACTTTCAATTGCATACTTGTATCATTACATTTATTTGAAGACTGATGTACCTAATGGGATTTTGTAGAGGAAACTCACCAGAAGATTGAGCCTATTGCTGGGAAGGTAATAGAAGTCCTGTTAAAAGTGCAAATTAAGTGTCTGTCCTAATGACAAATATTCTGCTGCAATAATTTATGCAAATATGTGTGCTGGTATGTTTCTGTTCCAGGTGTCTTTTAATAGAGATGAAATTGTATCAAATCTTGTGCCACAATTTGGGTTTTATCACTGAAAGAATGAATTTTACCTAGATTAGGATTTCATGTAAAATTTCATGATAAAATTTGCTACTCTTTGAATTCTGGTTCACAGATTTGTTTGAGCTGTACTTATTATATATAAGTGATTGGTAACAGGTTTCCCTATAACTTACAGGCACTTCATTTGATTCTGTCTGAGTTGCAGATTTATGTTATATATAAAAATTCTTTTTTTAAAAAAAGCAGTTGGATTGAGTCTTGTTATTGTGTCTTTTTGGCCACGTTTGACTTGCAATTTCTCATACAGTATTTTGATGGTAAGTGAAGTTATAGAAAAAGTGGACTTTGTATTTTAGTTGTCAGTAGTCAGAAAAATTGAGTTGGAATGAATAAGGGAGAGTAAGGGGAAAGTGCTCAGAACATGCAAGTGTGGTGTACAACACTGGTTCTTAACCTTGGGTTACTCAGGAGTTTTGGACTGGAACTCCCAGAAGCCTTCACCAGCTGTCCTGACTGGGGTTTCTGGGAGTTGCAGTTCAAAAGCATCCGAGTAACAAAGGTTAAGAAGTATAAGATCCATTCCTGTTAGTTTTCTGTATATGTGTTTCTCAACAGTAAAATAAAAACAAACATTTCTTTTTTCACTTCAAAATAGGACAAGAGGGTGCCATCCACAATCATGGCCAGACCACTCCCACCTCTACACATCACCATTGACATGTAGAAAGAACACCACCACCCCAACTCCATACTGGAGTGACCGTGGTAATCACACAGCAAGAAAACTGTTTATTTGAACCAATCCTAAGAGTTCCAAATAGTAGGGGCCAACCCTAGACTAGATTGGGACAAACTGGTCCCCATTAGAGTTGGATTGGAATGCTCTAAGAGCCTTTTGACACTTCATTGAGCCACTCCCACACATTTTTGGTTTATGGAACCCTGATGGCACTGTTTAGCATGGGGGTGAGCCTTGTCTGCTTTTGTTTCTACTTAGAATAATCCATCCTTCCCGTTTAAGAGCTACTTTCACCAGAACACTCTGGGTATGGTGTAAACTGAGTAGACAACCCTGTGAGGTGTTAGGTGGGTAGAAGAATTAAAAGAACCCATATCTATATTCATCTTTTATTTTTAATATTTCCCTAACTGATGCAGTGAAATTCTGATACCATGCCAGGTTGATGCATTGCCATTTCAATATGCCACTTACTCTTTTAACAAACAAAAAGGAAAGCCGGGTTTCTTACAGTTCTGCAGTTCTAAATTTTTTAGTATTATTAATGTTGCCTCAGCCCCCTGAAAGAAGTCTGAGAGAAATGGCAGGGAAGGGGTCTATGTTGACTCCTTAGGATCTGCCTCACAAGGTAGCAGAGCCCCAGTTTAGGAAAAAGGGGAGGGTTACCTCTCCTCCCCAATCTTCATCCCAATGTTCTCCCTGTAGCTGCTGTTTCCTTGCTTATGAATAAACCAGGTAAATCTTGCTTTGCATGAATCTGCTGCATGGGAGAAAAGGACAAGTGGGAATTAAAACAAATTGCATTTAAGAACCTTTTAAACTGGGACTGGATGGCACCAAATTTCCCACTGTGGACAGGCTGTTATAAGAACATGGTGCAGGTGACAATTTTAGAGTGATTTTTAGAGTGATTCCATGGGGGGGGAATGTACACAGCAGGATAAACTCCCCTGTAGCCTACCTCTGTCTTTGGATGCAAAAATAAAAAATTTCAAGCTGTTGTACTTCGGGCACATCATTAGAAGATTCTCGATATTGCTAGGAAACGTTGAAGGCAGCAGGAAAAGAGGAAGACCACAGTTGAGATGAATTGACACTTCTAAACAGGTTTGAGTTTGCAAGAGTTGAGGAGGGCTGTTGATGACAGGCCATTTTGGAGATCACTCACGGTAAATCGGAAGAAAGTAAGAGGAATCAAGAATACCTCATTGCCTCCCAAGCCGGTGGCGTGCCATCGGACAGGCTCCAAAAATGACTAAACCAATTTGTGGCCCTTCTCAACGAACCTGACAGGGCATGGCTCAATGAAGCAAGCCACCGCTTTGACTTTGTCGAGGTCTGGGCAGGGCTTTGAATGACAGAAGACTTTTGGAGGTCGTGAATTCATCCGGTCGCCGTGAGTCCGAAGCTACTGGACGGCACTATGGCTGACAACAACCAGAAAAGATTGTCCCGTTTGCCTTTTACTCCAAGCCACCAAACTTCCATCCCGCGCAAACTTGAATCCCGGTGTATCTTCTCTATTGCTGAGAGACAACGGAGGTCCCTTGTTCTCCCCACTACGCCTGTCGTTTTTGAAGATCCCGCCCCCCCCCAAAAAAACGCCGTGCCAGGGAAGAAAAGCAGCGCCCGAGGGTCCTCAGGCTGCACTGCCTGAGGAGCTTTTTTCCACGCCGTGGGGGTGGGGAAGGTGGAAAGCGTCCTCTCAGCCCGAAACACGACACCCCGTCACGAGCACCTTTCCGACAACAGATAAGCAAGCCGGGCTCCAGGGAGGCTCCCGGAGGTGGAGCTTGGCTGCGGAAGTGAAGAGAGAGCCGGAAACGAAGCGGTAGGCCTGGGCTGGGCTCCGAGGAACTCCCCGCTGCTGGACAGCCTAGGTTGACTCTCGGAGGGCGCCTCAGGTGAGGCGGGGGCCCCCTTTCCCCTTGTAGGCCGCGGCCTTGTCGGGAGGGAGCGACCAGGCCTCTCGCCTGCCCGCCCTCCCTACCGCCGCCGCCGCCGCCATGCACGACGCCTTCGAGCCGGTGCCGATCCTGGAGAAGCTGCCGCTGCAGATCGACTGCCTGGCTGCCTGGGGTGAGTGCAAGGAGCGGGGCAGCTGCTTCGTTCCCCGGCGGTACAGTTGGGACCCCCTGCCTTGCTGCGCTCAGTGGCTGCGCCTTCGAGCCACATCCAAAGGATGACACCCTTTTCTGGGAGCTAACTTTTGGCGCCTGCCTGCCTGCCTGCCTATCTGTCTATCCTCCCCTCGTTCTGTGCTGCCTCACAGCGACTGACGAGTTGGGTTGCAGAATGTCTCAGTTTGATCCATAGGCCTGCGTCCGGGGGGGGAAAAATCTCCCCCTTTATTTCTTTTGATGACCGGTGGTGTAACAGGACTAAATTGGGAAATCTGGACTGGGGCCTCTTAATCTTTGCTTCCTACTTCGCATGAAGTATGTTCACCTTACATTAGATGATATAAGCATCAAGAAATAAAGGCCTCTTATTGTTAGCACCAACTAGAGGAGACCCATTGAATCAAATTTTGAAGCATGAGTCAAAACCTATGTATACTCTTGATTTAACAGGTCTGCTCTATTAGATGTTACCAGTAAGACTCGCCAATGTGTGAAGTTACGGGCTGTTTGCTTGTGGCATCCCTTCCATCGTTTCAGTTTGAGGGCAACGAAAAGGAATACGGATTATCTGGTATATAATGTGGACCTTACTACAGCAAACCTTCAGATAGAAATGCAGTATAAAAAGGAAGATCGCTCTAAATACTGTACTGTAGTCTCATGCTTTCTAGTGGAGTGCATAAGAAGTGAGTTTAACTTACCTGAAGTGTAACCTGTGGGTTATACTTCTTGGTTGTAAAAGTAGGTGTCCTTGTCCTCTTTATTGACGTAGAAGTTGTTACTACATTAGCAGCACACGTTATGCCTCTGGGAACTACAGTTGGGTAAAGCTCCTACAGAAACACTTCTTGTGTGCGAATGGGAATGCATTTCAGAGCCAGTGTAATGTAGAGTGATGAAGTAGGGTGCAAGTTTTAGATTCAGGTCTGTGCTTGGCGGTGGAAACTTTCTGGGTAGTGACATCGGTCAAGAAAAATCTCTCACATACCTTGAAAACGCTATTAAAGTTGCTAGAAATTAGATGCGATGCTGCTGCAAGACAATACATTGTATAGCTAGTGTACAAATATACTTGAATTATTTCCCATCCCCACCCCACATTCCTTTTCAAATAGGAAAAATTATAATAATGTGAGTTTTCAAAGTTGATGCATTGTCAAAAACATGTAGCTTTCCATATCAGTCATGGCTTTCAGAATACTATAATTTATAACCCTGATGAGTTTGTTCTTCCTGACCAAGATGACTGCATTTTCCAGTCACAGATCTTTGGAAGGCTGAGACATACTGACTTGTTAAAGTGGTATACTGCTTTATGTTCTCATAGGCATTAAAATGTATTAATTTAATTATTTGATAGAATGTTCTTATTCCTTGTGGGTGGGGAAGGTAAACTTCTTAGGAGTCATGTATTTTCCATTCTTGCAATTGGCAGCAGTTACAGTCCAAAAAAAGTAACATGAGTTTTATCCAAGACAATCAAGCAGTGATGGGCCTGAATCCTATTGTTGGTTCCAACTGGAGCAGTTCCAACTGGAGCAGACACATAAATCCCATTTGTGTGGCTATGGTCATAAGGCTGATTATGCAGTGTTCCATACATTTTTTAAAATTTATTTTTCCCCAGAGGTCACAAGACTTCAGTTGACTCTCCTTCATTATGGGGAAGCTTTTGGGGGGACATAAGGCAGGGGGAAGTTTTTAATTTCTAAAAATTGTTGCCTGTAGTAAAGTCATCCCAGGGCAGTGATTTTTGGAAATTAAAGACTCCCCTGCATCCTGTGCCCCCTCCCAAGACTTCCTCATGATAAAAGGGATTGCATGGGACCTTTGAAACCTTTAGGGAGGGGCAAGAGAATCTGGAAATTCTTTGTTTCTAAAAAGTGCTGCAGCTAATGACACCAGCCTTACACAGAATAACTTATGGGATAGGGATTCAGCCATTGAAAACTGTACCTGGGAAACTGGTAAGTCCACACTCCTGCACATTTCATTGATTTAGATTTCTACTGTTTTAGACTGACACTGGATTTGGCTGTGTAATTTGCAGCAATGGAGTTTGAGGAGAGAGAAATGAGGGAGAGAGGAGAGATGACAATGATGCCTGTTGTCATGTACCGTAATGCCATGCATATGATTTTCCAATGTCCTAAATTGACTAATAACTATTTTCGGCTGAAATCCTGGGAATAGTATTACTAATAGTGATTCATTGATGATTAGAGACTTCCTTATGTGATCTGTATACTGTATATATATGCATGTTTGTCACATTGTGTGCATCCCAAACTTGCTAAATATATTGTTTAATCAAGAGCGAAGCCAGTATGCCTGTGTGCCCCCAAGTATAACAACAAGGATGATTTGTTTATGGAGGAGAAGTGGTCTGGATGATATGATTTCTTTTATGCTGAGAAACAGGATTTGGGCTGATGTGTAATGTATTTATAGAAATTTGTTCAGATAGATAAAGAAGTAGGGGAAAATCAAGTTTAAATCAGTAGGACTTCTAAGTGAATGTTGTTTATTTTATAGAACTTTTCACTGTGAAATAGACAGCCATATAAATTAGGCTTGAATAGAAATACTAATTGAATCATGTTGGGGCTGATAAAATCCTTGCTCTTTTTGCAGAGGAATGGCTGCTTGTTGGGACAAAACAAGGACACCTCCTCCTTTACAGAATTCGAAAGGAAACGGGTGGGTCTGTAAGGATTTTGCCATGCTTTTGTATTTTAGTGCCCTAAGGCAGTGGTCCCCAACCTTCTCCAAGCCACGGACGGGTTGAGGGGGTGGGATCCATGCATGGGAGGACAGCCCCCGCACTTGTGGGGGTGGGACACGCTCATGGGTGGGCAGATTGTGTGCATGTGCATGCGTGGGTGGTTGGGGGTGCTTGTGGGTGGGCAGGGGTGCACTCGCAGGTAGGTAGAGCATCCACTCATCCATGTGCAGGTGGGCTGTGCCTTCGCACATGCATGGGCACAGCCTGTGCAGGTGGGTGTGGGGGGGAGTGCATGCAAGGGGCGGGAGATCTGTCTCCACAGCCCGGTCCTGCCAAGGCCATGGCCCGGGGGTTGGGGACGCCTGCTCTAAGGAGTAGGTCTTCTGTGGCTTAGTAACCCAAGCTCAACAGAGCAACCTAGTGGTGATTTTTGGAGATTAAAGGCTTCTCCTCCAAAGGCTTCCCCAGGGCAAAAGAGAGCCCAGGAATGGGGGAACAGGAAGTTTTTAACTAATTTAAATTAAAATTGACCAGTGTCAGTAAATAGTAACTCTGGGGCAGAGATCTATATTGAGACTGTGGGTAGTGATGGAGCATAATTTGATTTAATTTGTTTTAAATTATCCTGCTGGTTATTATATTGGTTGAATGTATGTATTTTATTTTTTATCCTATTTTGATATTGTACTGTTTATCTTGTTGTTAGCCGCCCAGAGTGGCCCGGTTGCCAGATGATGCGAGATAGAAATCTAATAAATAATAAATCCTCTTCTTCCCTTTCCCGCTGTCCAGGGACCTAATCTGCATTGCTTCTTCCAGAGCTATTTATATTAAAATACACACTCCACTATTGTAGGTACCAGTTTCAGGACTGTTCTCAAGCCTAATTTGGCCCTGAGTATCTCAGAAAACTAAGGTCAAAAACATGTTAGAAATGGGAAGAGAAACATCCTTAAGTAGTGAAATAAACCATATGAGTGTCACAGAAAAAGCTCCTCTCATTTCCTGTATTTTGCAAATTAACTTTTTTCGTTAAGTGATTGATCTCCTGGAAATAAATTCAGGAATACTTTGAGGTCTAGTTTTACAAACTCAAAAAGACTGCCTTAGCCACCTATCTGCTTTCTATCCCTGAAACGATCAGAATGTTATTTAGTGATCACTAGAGGTAGGGTTTTTATGACATGTCTTATTTTTTTTCTCCAGCCTATGTTTGACCTGATAAGTGGGTTTGAAATGTTTATGAGTAATGTGGTGAGAAAGGCCAGATTACTTGTGGGTTCAAGTATAGATTGCAGAGAAAGTGTGAAATGTCATGGAAATCTTTCCCCTATCACTATGTGAGCAATGTAAGCAGGAAGCACATGGTTAGTCTTCATGGAAGTTAGGTATCTACTAGAAATGGTTTCTGCTCTAACAGTCCCAGGTAGCTGTATGCTTCTTTTGCTGCATGAGCCTCTTTTTTATTCGGGTTGGTTTATAGAGCTTTGTTGCATTTTAAAATCAGCTATAAGATGTGAAGGAACATCATTATCAGATACAGGCCTATTCCTGTGAGCAGAAACCAACCTGTAAAATATATTTTGGGATGGCTCGGAAGAGAAAAAAGTAAAAAGTCTGGTTACACCATTAGTAGCAATTGTTGCTCAAAAACTTATTTTATGCATATTAGGAGAATTATATCCTCATTTTTGAAGCAGACAAAATCTTCAAGGATACTTCCTCTCTGTTTTTAATGCAATCTAAAATAGTTTTATGAGTGCACCCCCAAGTCTACAGTGTCAATTGCTTTCACAAGTCTCTGTAGTTACAGTTTCTGCTTGGGAAGTGTGAGGAAGATGGGGCCCTTTAATGGACAGAGATGAAGTAGTCATTCAAGAAGCTCCAGAATGTTACAGTTTGCCTGTCTCAGATCTGAAGGATAGGAGATACAACGGAATGCAGTGAGGAATGGGAGAAGTCAGAATATCACAGTGTTAGCAAATGAAGTAACATGGAATTAGGCATTACACTGGTGGAATTTAGTAGCTATGATTTTTAAACTAAATGCAACTAGTGGAGGAGTGCATATGGGCCAGAGATTGGGAGTTGACATTCAAACTTTTTTCCTCCGGAAGGCTACAAATATTGACCTGGAGGGTAAGCTCCTTATTCCTTCTCTGGGAAACACCTGCTTCTGCCTCAGAGAAGCTCCTTTCTTTTTGTGTGTCAGTGCTCTAGCTTTACAAGGAGATGTTTTTATGCTGAATTCATTCTCAGTCGCTTTAGGCAGTCAAATCATACTAGCTTTGATTTGCTTTTGTCTCACTTGGTAAATTTCTCCCCCTTTGTGCATCAACATCAGGAGAAGTTGCGTCATCAGAAAGTGGCTGTAAGTTTGTATCCATAAACCTCCTTTAAACCTTTATGGCAATTTTTAAAAAACCTTTCCCTACTTGCAGTATTTTATAGAGATCTGGTTTGCTAGCTTTTTATCTAGATAAGTGGTATTGGGGGCTTGTCTTTTTCTAAGGTAGATTTTTGATGTAGTTTGTTAAATTCCTTTAGATTGCAACTCCAGGTTTACTGTTGGGGTAGTTGGGTATTCTGCAGTGGGCAGTCTCCAGGAGGATCTGTGAGACTTGTAGCTCCTTTAAATTGATCACAAGACTTGGTGGGAAATTTTGCCCTAGCTGATGAAAGAGAGGTTGGTGAAAGAGGTATCTCGTAAAGCATCTGTGGTTTTAAAGAGTTCCTTTCCTGTTTTGTTAGGTTGCAACAGGTTTGAAGTGACTCTAGAAAAATCAAACAAGAACTTCTCTAAGAAGATTCAGCAGGTGGGTCTGACGGCTATGGACCCAAATAAGATAATTCTTTAGAACTAATTTTTTTACCTGAAGTTTAATCTTCATTTTAAAGGGGTTTGAGTGAGTTTAGAAGTATTTGTACAATTGAGATTTGTGCCCCGCTTAACGATTACCCTGTATAATGATGAAGCCGCTTCACGACGATGTTTTTGCGATTGCAAAACAATGATTCAATGGGGTTTTTTCGCTTTGTGATGATCGGTTCCTTGCTTCGCGAACTGATTCTTCACATTACGATGATCAAAACAGCTGATTGTCAGGTTTGCAAAATGGCCGCTGGCTGCTCAAAATGGCTCCCCACTGTGTTTTGGGATGGATTCCTCGCTTTACAGGCACAAAAAATGGCTGCCCCTATGGAGGCTCTTTGCTGGACGGTGAGTTATTCAGCCCATTGGAATGCATTGAATGGTTTTCAATGCGTTTCAGTGGGCTTTTTTATTTCGCTTTACGACATTTTCACTCTACAGTGATTTCGCTGGAACAAATTAACGTCGTCAAGTGAGGCACCATTGTATTGGTATTGATTGCAGCAAACATTAATGCAGTGGGGCTTGCTTTTTAATAAATGTGTCTGGGATTGCTGCCCAAAATTCAGAGGCAACAGAAAAGTTGTTCTTTCTTGAAGGTGTCTTTAGTTATATATTGTATATATATGTGCTTTTCAGCTAGGATTAGCTCCCAAAACTGCTTAACAGGTTTTTGCCAAAGGCAGAAGAAGCTGCATATGGAATCAGAAGCTAGCTAATATAAAAGATGGCACTTATGCGGAAACAGCTTTTCTAATCTACAAAGCCTGTTAACTAACAGCTAATTCAAATCTGTACACATGAAGATAGGAGACCTGAAGAGTGAGACATCTTATTTTGAATAACTGCCTTTCATACAGCTTACCATTCTATTGCTGTTCTTTTTGCCATGGAATGTTTATTTTAAGATACACATCATAGTTCTTTTTTCTCTTTCCCCTGCATTGCAGGTTAGAATCTAAACAAATATCTGGACAGATTGCGGTTTTCTGTATTATCTTTACCCTGAACGTTAATTATAATTCTGATGATTAATTTATTATATTGTTTCTGATTAATTATAATTTTGGTGGGGGGAAACTAGCCAACTTTAACTACTTTGTGTCAGAGTTTGTTCCTGATAATCATAGTCCAACTGCTGGATAGCTCAGTGGTTTAGGTCTTTGGCTGCAGAGGCAGAGTTTTTCTACTTTGCCTCTTAGGTAGGGGCTGGACTCGATGATCCATAGAGTCCCTTTCAGCTCTGTAGTTCCAAGGTTAGATTCCAAGATTAGATAGTTTACTTGAGTTCATAAGAACATACAAGCTGTGATTACTCAAATGAAATAGTATTGTTTACCTCTGAAAACTATATGGAAAATAAAGTTCTCAAGAGAGTGATTGGGGAAATCATTCAGTTTCGACCATGCTCTGTTGTCTACCTAAGCTACAAGCTACAGGGCTGCTGTTCTTAGACATTACAGCTATAGGTACAAATTAACTTTCTTTGGGAAATAACAGCCTGCACATAAATCAGCCCTATTCTGAGTCCCTTTTTGGTATGTAAATTTTATTTCTAAAAAAACCTTTGATGTTAATTTTCTTACAGGATGTTTTTGTTTTTGGTAGATCCATGTTGTGTCCCAGTTTAAAATTTTGGTCAGTTTATTAGGTAAGTGAAATAACTATTCAGTTGAATTCAGGAAATTTTTACGAGTAGAAGAATTTCAACTAAATGACATGTACTATAACTCAAGCAGTAATTTGTGTATCTTGTCCCAAATAGAAAACAACATTTACGTTCATGATCTGTTGACGTTTCAACAGATAACAACAGTTCCCAAGGCGAAAGGTGCAACTCTCTTCACCTGTGACCTGAAGGTAAATTCAAGAAGACATATACATGTTGTTCAAACTGAGGATTGAGGTTCTTAAAAATTCTGATTTATCATGATTGAACAACATGTGCTGGCGAATATTTGCTCCTGTCTGTCTGTCCGTCCATCTATCCTGCCTTTCTTCCAATAAAACAACCTAAGTGACAGTCCCTAGATGGGATATCATAATAGACAAACCACAAAAGGATGGTCTGTAGTTTGTTTTGCAACCTCCACTTGTAGGAGGAATGAAGGGGAATCATGGAGCAGCATGCATGACCCTGCTGTCAGAGGTATGTGAAATTAAAATGAAAGCAGTTTTGTAATAGATGAAAAGTGGATACTTCAAAACAAAGCTTACATTTTTCTACATTTTATTTTTACAGCACACTGAAACAGGGGAAGAGGTTCTACGGATGTGTGTGGCAGTACGAAAGAAGTTACAACTCTATTATTGGAAGGACAGAGACTTCTATGAGCTGCAGGTATGTTGGTACTGTACCAAATATATATTTAGATCCTCCCTCCCTTCCTTTGTAACTTACTGTTCATTAGGTTTGCATAAGAGGTGACAGAGACAACAGACTCCTGTCTCCAACCACAAAAATGGTTTGGGACCCCATTACTTGTTGGAGCATCTTCCTCCAAGTTTATTCATCTGCACCTTCAGATCCTCCCAGGCAGTGACTACCTTGAAGAAGGTTAGAAAATCATCAACAAGAAGTTGAATCTTTTTGGCAATTGCAGCATCTCCTAGTCAGGCTGTGCCTGTCCCTCTCCTTACTCACTTTTATGAGGTTGCTCAACATGCTGCACTTCAGGGAGCCTTTGAATGCAGCCTTGCCTGAATTTTTCTTTGTGTTGTGCCCTGTTGCTTTTAATATGGAAAGGCTGCACTGTCTATTCTGATTTAATTCTGTTCATTTGTTTATTTTACATTTAAATTGCTGGCTTTTGTTATGATCTGTTTTGATTTTATTATGCTGTTAACTTCCAAAAATCGTGCACTGCACTAATAAGGAAACAAACAAATGGTGAGAAAGTGGACAGGGGAGAGGATCTCCTTTGCAGTGCGCCGTTTTCCCACTGAGCACTGGAATCACATGAGCCTAATGAAAGGGAACTTTCTGTGAACACTCTCACCATAGAATTGGAGAAGTTGGGAAAGGAAGAAAAGGTGGGGAAAAGAGAACTGACAGGATAGGCAAAGCTAGAATGTAACGGGAGAGCTAGAAAGGAGGAGGACTTCACAGAGAGAAAGAAGGAAGGAAGAAGAGAAACAAGAAACAAGCAGTTATATGGTTAGGGAAGAGGGAGGGAAGGAAGATTATAAGTGGGTGATGAAACAGGATCTGTTTACCAGTGAATGGATTAGGTTTTATATTACCAAGAGAGCGGCAGAAAAGGAATGGTTGCAACAACTTCCCCATAAGACATCATACTGTGGGGAAAGAGAATGGAAAGAAAACACACACACAGAGTTGTGTGAGTTGTTGAGAGAGAGAGAGAGAGAGAGAGCATTTGTCTCAGAGCAGGATGAAATGGGGAACAGCAGGGATATGGGATTTCTCATCAGTGTCCATTAATGGTGTGCCTGTTACACCCAGTTGAGAAGTTCAGCCAGAAACGGTGTTTGAATGATTTGCAGACCCCGAAGAGGTGACTGTTGAAAGTCATGGAACTAAGAATAAAACTGTTGAGTTAAAAGAAGAAAAATTATATTTCTTTTACTGGAGGGGGAGTAGATCATATTGGGGGTGCGAGGGCTACCCCTCACACAAGCAAACATGATTACAGTTCCTTTGCTCCCTAAGCCAATTCATCTCTTGGCTTCATTTCTAGATTCATTCTTGGTAATTCATAAACAGAGGAAACAAAGCTGACGGTGAAGCAATGTAATTTAAAATCAAACAGATTAATAATTAAGGTCTAAACAACTCATTTTGGAGAGCTTTCCAGTATGTACCACACTTTTTGGTTGCTGTGGTGGTTGCATTTGGGAGGCCAAATTTTGCTACTTTCTTATGCTTGATTTCAAGCTGATGTCAAGCAATGGATATAGTGTTAGGCTCAGGAAGGTAACTGAGTAGTTGAACTTGATGGCCCTTTAGAACAGGGTCAGTAATCTACATGTAGCTCTGTATAGAATTTAGAAGAACTGCATTCCTTGAGTTGCAAGCCTCATGGCGCAGTGGTTAAACTGCAGTACTGTAGCTGAAACTCTTCATGACCTGGGTTCAATCCCAAATAGCTGGCTTAAAGTTCACTCAGCTTTCCATCCTTCCAATTGAGTGAATTGGTTCCCTTGTTGGGAGAAATGCGGCATATAAATAAAGCTGCTGCTGCTGCTGCTGCTGCTGCTACTACTACTACTACTACTACTACTACTACTACTACTACCAACAACAAAAATTGAGTACCGAGCTTGCTGGGGGCAGGGGAGTACGTAGCCTGCACAATTAAATTGAAAACTACCCAGAAAGTGCTTTAAATGCTGTGGGTGGTATATAAGCAGCACACTTTGCTTTTTTAAAAATTATTATCTTACCTCCTAATTTACAAGAGTGATCTACTGAAGCATCCTTTTTAGGCAGCTCAATAGCAAACTGTGTAGCCGCCTAGAGTGGTCTTTTAGGCCAGATTGGTGGGGTATACATCAAATAAATAAAATAAAGTAAAAATAAAAAAGCATTCAAATTCCTGTGTTAAGTATTAGGGGTAAACATAGCCCGGTTGCATAACTTTCTTTCTTTCTTTCTTTCTTTAATAAAAAAGCATTCAAATTCCTATGTTAAATATTAGAGGGTAAACGTAGCCCGATTACATAACTAACTTTCTTTCTTTCTTTCTTTCTTTCTTTCTTTCTTTCTTTCTTTCTTTCTTTCTTTCTTTCTTTCTTTCTTTCTTTCTTTCTTTCTTTCTTTTCGCTTTCCAGGGAGACTTGAGTGTTCCTGATGTTCCAAAATCAATGGCATGGTGTGAAGATTCAATTTGTGTGGGTTTCAAGAGGGACTATTATCTAATAAGGGTAAGAGATATTTTAGACCAGGGGTGGCAATCTCAGTGGATTTGAGGGCCAAATCCTTGTGAGTGGCACTAGGCCCAGAAGTGGTTGGGAACAATAATTCAAGCAAACAAACAGGAAATATCTTGATAGGCACTTCCAGTCTGATTTTTGGGAGTATTGGTCCTTAAGGTAAGATCTGCCACTCCTGGAGGCTCCATGAGCAGAAATTGGTCTTTTGAGGCCAAAATCCTTTCCCCCCATTCTGGGGGCTCTGAGAGCCACATATTGCACACATCTTATTTATATTAACTCAGGAAAAAAATAACATTGATCTTTTCCTCCAGAGGAATCAGTAGAAATGGAAATAGAAACTGTCTTTGTAAACTGACTATGATGGGCTCAGCGTAAGTTAGCTATACTGGCAGTTTCACATGTATGTCAGTGCACTGTGTGTACCTCAGCATGTACTGTAGAAGACTTGAAATTGGCTGTTCTAAATGGTCTTGATGTTCCCTGTTATTGGGTGAAAACTATCTGGTGCTTCTGAGATGAATGAAAAAGAAAGTTAGTTAGATATAGTGTTGTGTGTGTGTATTTGAGAAAGCATGTTTGCTTTTGCATCAACAGTTTCTAATTATAGTATATAACCTTGGTGGACTTTTGAATGTTCTTAGCTAATCTTGTGTAGTTCTTTTGTATGAAGTGACAGTTCTATTTATACGACTTGCAGGTGGATGGGAAAGGATCCATCAAAGAACTTTTCCCTACAGGAAAGCAGCTTGAGCCATTGGTAGCCCCTTTGGGAGGTGGCAAAGTTGCCGTAGGCCAAGATGATCTGACTGTTGTGTTAAATGAAGAAGGGACCTGTACGCAGAAATGTGCCTTGAATTGGACTGATATCCCAATAGCTATGGGTAAGAACAAGTAGCTTTTTATCTTCATTTAAGCCAACAATATCTCTCCTCTTTCTTAAGAATTTTATGTGAATAAGCCAGTTAAACAGGTCAGAAATGATAGCACATTGCTCAACGTAACAGGCAGTATGAAGGAGCCATCTTATTCATTTCTATTTTAAATATATTTGATACCAGCTTTCTGCTTTTGTGCATTTTCTTTTTCTGTACTTATAGTAGACATATTTCTATTTCTGGAACATACTTTGAATCCAGAGTTGAAAATCTCAATGATATATTAAAAAAAATTAACAAATGTTCATGTACTTTGATGAAAAAAAATCACTATTATTGACAGTAGATTTTGAGAGCATTTCTCTGGAGCTAGATTCTATTGTTTAATCTTTTGTTCCCAAAACAGAATATCAGCCTCCTTATATTGTGGCGGTACTGCCCAGATATGTAGAAATTCGTACTTTTGAGCCACGTCTCCTGGTGCAGAGTATTGAGCTACAAAGACCACGCTTCATTACTTCAGGAGGGTATGAAAAATTTAATGAACATCAGTCTTGTCTTTGTAGGCTTTAACATAGGTTGTACCTGACAATAATAATTATTTCTTAGCATTTAAAATTGTGGAGTAAAGGAGAGGAGAATAATCCAGTTTCTTGAGGTATGTTGATAACCAGTCTTTTTCTTTTTAACAGTACAAATATTGTTTATGTGGCCAGCAATCATTTTGTTTGGCGTCTTATTCCGGTTTCCATCGCAACCCAGATTCAACAGCTTCTCCAAGACAAGCAATTTGAATTGGCTCTTCAGTTGGCGGTAAGTGGAGCCATGTTTAGTTTGTGCTGGTGTTTACTTTTGTAAACCACCATCTGCTCAATGCTGAACCTAACTAGTTTTAGGGCTTCCTTTGTTTGGAAACTGAGCAGTTAGATGTCAAATAATGCCAAAAGTCAGCAGTCATTCACTAAACATCTGACATTAGTTTTTAGATATATTGACCCTACTTCTAATATTCCTGGTTCTTCACTGCATTTTTTTATCCTCCTGATCCTATTCAAGTTTAAATTTCTCTTGTAAAAGGACAGCTACAGCAGGAGCACATGACTTGTTCCAGATGACTGAGTAATCTTTAAATACTCACAATAGAAGTCTAAATATTTGATAGAACAAACGAGTTGATTAATACTTTTTGTTTTGAGACAGTGCATCAGTTCCCCATTTTCTAGATTTAAAGCTATCAGGTTGTAATATTCTGACGTATATAGGTTTCATATTGCCATAAACAGTAGCTAGATGGCTGGCTTGATAACACAGTGCTTTAAGTATCTGACTGCACAGCCACAGGTTAGGAGTTTGATTCTCCACTGTGCCTCCAGGGAAAAGATCCAGCTTGTGTGGCCTTGGACCAGCTGCAGAGTCTCAAGTTGCCCCCAGAAGGAGGGAATGGTAAACCACTCCTGAGTTCCCTTTACCAGGAAAAAAACTGAAAAGAGTTGCCATAAGTCAGAATTGACCCAATGGCTGATGATTATTATTAGACGGAGAATTCTTAGCAACCTTTGTCGAGCAATAAAGACAAAATGTAAAAAGTCTTAATTTATACCATTATTGCAGAGCTGGGCGACTTCCAGAGATCTAGGGGGACACGTGCTCACTCATGGATTTTGGAGAACTGCACTGACTCATGCAGTCCCACAATTTATTTGTTTATTGATTGATTGATTGGATTTCTATCCCACCCATCTAGACCAAAGGTCTACTCTGGGCGATTTACAAATTTAAAAACAATAAAATCAAAAATATATATTATAGATCCAAGGTGACAATTATTTTATTTACTCATCCCCAAACCTGAACAAGGAACCTTACTATAGATAGATAGATAGATAGATAGATATAGATATAGATATAGATATAGATATAGATATAGATATAGATATAGATATAGATATAGATGTGTGTTGCAGAGTGGGGTTGCTGATGGCCTCAGTGGTGGCATAATTGTTTCAATGCCCAAGAGAAGAGAAAGGGACATTTAAAGCAATTTATAAAAATCTTTTAAAAATTTGGGGGAAGGATATGTACTACTTAGATGTCAATTGATCCTGTAGTTGCCCTAAAACGAACTAAAATGTTGTCTTCCTGTAAAACCTCTTCCTTTTTTGTTAGTGTGATAATACATTTTTAAGAGACTTACTTCTTTGAACTGTTTTTTAAAACTCTAAACATATAGTATTTTAAGAATGTTGACCAGTGCCCTGTTAGATATACCACACATGGAACAGCAGTTGTGCCAACAGTTTGGCCATTTTCCAGGGTGTCTGTTGTGTGCCTGGACAGCTGATCAGCTGCAAAACCAGTGCATGACCAGGGCAGATGACAAAGTGGTGAACACTGCTTGCATGATTGCTGTTTTGCATGTGATAAACCTGACAGGATGCTGGCTTCTGTTTTTCCAGTATTTCGCTTCTTTTTATTCTTTTAAGGATATGAAGGATGACTCTGACAGTGAAAAGCGACAACAGATTCATCACATTAAGAACCTCTATGCCTTCAACCTTTTTTGTCAAAAGCGTTTTGATGAGTCCATGCAAGTCTTTGCCAAACTTGGGACAGGTAAATTAGTTGTGTAGCCAGCACTTGAAAGGAGCTAGTTGTAGGAGCTTATTGTAATCTCCCAAATCTGATGCTAAATTGTAAAGCAACCTGATTTAAAAAAAATAAAATAAAATCAAGGGCTTTTAACTGTTCATGACTTGAAGTGAATATATGCTACCTACTTGTGGTGGATTTGTGCAGCCATCGACTGTTGTTATTAATCAGGGTGAAGGAAAACGAATTTTGAGCAAATAGGATTTATTTTATTATGTCTCATGGGAAATGCTTCTAGAAATACTTCTACATAGCAAGAAATAGCCTCTTTGATGTGTACATTCTGCATTACAACTAAGGATGTGTGATCAGGTTTGGGTTTGTTGGTTTGTTTGTTTTTATTACAGCTTCCAGAATTATCAAAGAATTCCTCAGGTTGAATTCTGGGAGTTACAGCCCACAGACAGATACCTCCATTTTACTCACTTCTCCCAAGGCCTACCTCACGTCTTGCTTTCTGTATTAGGTCTTGCTTCCTGTTTAAAAAAGAAACCACCCTGGTTCTTCCTGTGAGCCTTAGGTCTTTCTGAGAGGTGTAGTTCTCTGTGGTTGGCCTTCTGTAGAGCTTAATGGGCAGTGAGACATGGGCAGAATCATAACTGCAATTGTACAAATCACAGCAGCAAAATGATAATTCAGGAGTTGCTGCTTGTATTTTTGTTCATAAGCCAAGTTTTGTGATAGGCATGTGACTGGGAATGTGATGGGCAACTTGTTAATTAGTGATAGTTTGTTGCCTTGATTTTACGTAGTTATTCTTAATGTTAAAATAAATCACCAGTGGGCTCCTGGCTGGTACTGTATATTTTTCCTGCTTTGTTATTGAAATCATTTTGGTTGTGTCTCATTCTTTAATTCCTATATGATGTATGGTAGGGAAGGAATTATAATCAAAGCTTGTGCACTCATTGTTGGCTTGAACTGTTTCTGTTTTCGATGTAGGTGGAAAGTCAGATTATTTCTAATATAACAGTTATTTCCAAAACACATCAAATATTAGTAAGAGGTAATGAAAAACTTGAATTGGAAAAATATCCTCAGTTTCAAATTTGAACACACTGTGCAGTGTTTTGAAAGACTATGACTTCACTATGTTTTTTAAAAATTTTCATTAGATCCTACTCATGTGATGGGTCTCTATCCTGAACTATTGCCCAGTGATTACAAGAGGCAGCTCCAGTATCCTAATCCAGTTCCAGTTCTGTCCCCAGCAGAGCTTGAGAAAGCACACCTGGCACTTATAGATTACCTAACCCAGGTAAGCTGTTAGCACTTGAATTGTTTGTGTTGGTCATGCAAATATTTTAATGACAGCACTTCCTGGAATTGGTTCTTAAAAGTCTGGAGTTCATCAGCTGTTACCTACAGGAGTGAAGTCTTGGAGAGAAAGAAACAAAAAAAATTAGAGACCACCCCCACCCCTTTTGGGATGAGGGCTCCCATTTTTCAAGCCTTTACATCTTTATTTTACTTTATTTTATTTATTATCAGTTGTAGAGTGCCTTTCTCCTGGTAAGGGGACCCAAGGCAGTTCACAGTGCTAAAAAAGGAATACTAAAAGCCTAATAAATTACAGATTAAAAAGCAATTAAACTACAATAATAATTAAAATCCACTAATTAATGAAAGGCATTTAAATCTTTAAAAATAAACTTAAACAGCAACAAAAACCCAGCATCTAGGTACATAGTCATAGTTATTAGAAGCTTGCCTGAAGAGAAATGTCTTCAATTGTTCGTGGAAAGATAAAAGGGAGGGGGCAACCTAACCTTCAAAGAGAGAACACTCCATAATCTGGGGAGAGCTGTAGAGAAGGCCCTGTCTCTTGTCCCCGTCCAATGGCAATCGGACTGAGAGAAGTGCCTCCTTTGAAGATTTTAAGGGCTGGGAAGACTCATATGGGGAGACATCGTTATAGTACCGTGTTTCCCCAAAAATAATAGCTCAAAAAGGCACGCATGATTCGTTTAAGGCCAATTTCCAAGAGCCATAATCTGGGGAGAGCTGTAGAGAAGGCCCTGTCTCTTGTCCCCGTCCAATGGCAATCGGACTGAGAGAAGTGCCTCCTTTGAAGATTTTAAGGGCTGGGAAGACTCATATGGGGAGACATCGTTATAGTACCGTGTTTCCCCAAAAATAATAGCTCAAAAAGGCACGCATGATTCGTTTAAGGCCAATTTCCAAGAGTGACATGAGAAAAGTGCCTCCTTTGAAGATTTTAAGGGCTAGGAAGACTCATATGGGGAGACACCGTTATAGTACCGTGTTTCCCCAAAAATGTAGCTCAAAAAGGTACGCATGATTCATTTAAGGCCAATTTCCGAGAGTGACATGAGAACCGTATCGTCTGCGTATAGTAGCAGGGGTACATTGATTTTAGCCAATTTCAGGGAGTGATATTCAGGAGCTAAACAACTTTTGGAGAGGTTGTTAAGATACAAGTTGAATAGTGTGGGTGCCAATATGCAGCCTTGGCGAACCCCTCTCTCCACCTGGATGGGGTTTGACAGATTTCCATCCATTCCACATCTTACCCTAATTGTGGACTGCTGATAGAGACTTCTGATAAGATATAAAAGCCTTTTGTCAATTGAGGAAAAATAAAGTTTTTTGAATCAAAGGCACACTTGATGTCTATAAAAGCTGCAAACAGGCCTTTTCCATGGAGGCCCATATACTTCCCTGCAACATGGTTTAAAACTATACAATGGTCAGAGGTGGAGCGGGTCTTTCAGAAGCCAGCCTGTTCGTGCCCTAAAATGTTTTCCAGCTCAATCCATGAGCTAAGTCTGTCGTTTAAGTATCTGGCATAAAGCTTACCCACTATAGAGAGAAGGCTAATCGGTCTATAATTTGAGGGTTCGTTCTTACTGCCTTTCTTATAGATTGGTATCACTATTGCCTCTGACCACGAATGTGGGATTTGCCCGGTGTTGTTAATGAATGTAAATAATGGAGCTAAAAGGGGGGCCCACCAGACTGCATTAGACTTTAAGAACTCTGCTGGAATTAAATCCGGACCTGATGCCTTCCCATATTTTAGACACGTAATTAATTACCTTATTTCCATTTCAGTGACTGGGTCCCAATATTGCAGTTTGTTTAAATCTGGCCATGAAATGTTGACCGTTTGGATAGGTTTGGCCTCCTCGAATAGCTGAGTAAAATGCCTTTCCCATATATATGGTGGAATGCTACAGTGA